CATCGCCCCATGTGGCGCTGGCCTGGCTGGGGAGCTGCTCCAGGGGCCAAGGTCATGGTGGGATGTCTTGAGTCATGGAAAGTTTCAGATGTGGCTGCAGCCGGGACGGCTCGGTGACCCAGGGCCACCCCGGACGGCGGCGACCCTGGCAGCCCCAACTGAGTTCCGGCTCCTCACTGGTCCTGGGGCGCAGCCGGCACACAATCTGAGATCTGCTCAGGGCCCTCTCCCTGCCCAGTCAGTGGAGCCACCAGCAGCCTCTGAGGTCCTGAGCTTTTGGTTTTGTTTCTAAGCACTGGGATCGAACCTAGGGCTTTTTCACTGAGCCACCTCCCCATCCCTTTTGTAAGTTTTTTTGGGGTACCGGGGATCGAACTAAGGACATTTTACTTTTGAGGCAGGCGGCGGAACCACTGAGTTAAATCCCCTGTCCTAGTATTTTTTATTTTGAGACTGGGTCTCACTAAGCTGCCCAGGCTGGGCTTGAACTTGGGACCCTCCTGCCTCAGCCTCCCAGAACGCTGGGAAATGCACCATGGTGCCTGGCTTAAATTTTTCTGGCTCCTGTGAGTCCGTCCCAAGTGTCAGCGGGCAGTGCTGTGTGGGATGGACTTATTCTTAAGCAAAAAAGGGTTCATTGTTTACCTGAAATTTAAAGTAACGAGGTGGCCTACACGGTATCGGTATCGGTATTGGTATCGGGTGACCTGCTGGGCGCCCAGCCCATTTTACAGGAGGAGGCCAACGCCTGCAGCGGGGGTGGGGGTGTGCCAGCCAAAGGCCCCAGGCCTGGGGCGGCCGGGCACGTGGGGAGAACAGGGGCCTCGGCTCTGGGGGTGGCCCATGGTCCCCCAGAGCCGGGGTCGCCTGGCATCCTGAGCTGTACACAGCGGCGTCCAGAGCCGAGGTCACCGTGCCCGGTGTGACAACACACTCGATACTTGGTAACAGTGTCCTGGTGCCTGGCCAGCAGCTGCTGTCTCGGTGGCAGGAGAAGGTGACGCTCCCACCCGAGTCCCCACCAGGGTAGCTCGGACCTGGCTTTGTTCTGCCACCTTGATCCCCAGGGAGCACAGGGCCTGCCCTCAGCTGTCCTGGGGTTTGTCCAAGCTGGGGTTGGAACCTGGGACCTCCACACTCAGCTGTATCCCAGCCCTTTAAATCTTTTTAATTTTAAAACAGGGTCTCGCTGTCTCTGAGTTGCCCAGGCTGGCCTGAAACTTGTGACTCTCCTGCCTCAGCCTCCCGGAGTGCTGGGACCACAGGTGTGTGCCTCCATGCCTGGCTAAACCCTGATCCTTTGTGACGCACCAAATGCTTCCTCTGGGTGCTGGCAAGTCCAGATGACCTAAAAAGAGTGTTGCATGGGTTGATTTTTAAAAATGCTCAATAGCCGGGCGTGGTAGCACCTGTAATTCCAGCACTCAGGAGGGTAAGGCAGGAGGATCGCTGCAAGTTTGAAGTCACTTTGGACTACGGACTGAGATACTGTCACAAACCAAAACACAAAACAAAAGTACAGGAGAAAAAAACTGGGGCGGGGGATGTAGCTCAGTGGTGTTCCGCCTGTCTGGAAGCGCAAGGTCCTGAGTTTGATCCCCGGTACTGGAACAAAAAACACAAGTACAGGAGAGGAAGCAGAAAAGGGTGGAGGGCGGGGACGCAGTGTGAGAAGGGAAGGGACTGGGGAGCAGCTGGGGTGCAGCGAGGTGACTCACCCAAGGCCAGGTCCCGAGGTCCACGGGAGGTGGGTGCAGCCATGCAAAGGCCCCGGGATGACACGTGCTTGCCCGAGGGCCTGCTGGACAGCGAGAAGCCAGTGTCTCCGCGGAGGCCAGCGGGAAGGAGAGCAGGGTGGCCACAGGGCCGGTGGACCGGCAGCCACAGCAGGGTTTCTCTTCTCGGATGCAACCCGGGGCGCTCTTCCCTTGGGCTACAGCTCAGCCCTTTGCATTTTTTGAGATTTAAACTGCCCAGGAGATCCTCCTGCCTCAGCCACTAAGTAGCTAGGATAGCAGGTGCTCGGGTGGGTTTGGAGCAGGAAAGCGATGGAATCAGCAGCAGCTGAATCACGGCTGATTTCGGAGCCCTGGGGGCCCCACCTGGGTCCAGATTCACAAATGCACTGGCTGGGACACGAGGACACGCATGCACGCCCCGCTCACGCGCATGCGCGCACAGGCGGCGCCATGTGGGGCCCTAGACGCATGCTGACAGAGGCGCATGCCCACACAGGAACGCAGGCGCTCACAGGAAAAGTGGCTGGGGCCTCTCTAGGGCCACCTTCCTGTTTGCCAGCTGCGGGTGCTCGGCAGAATCCAGCCCCACAGACCCGAGCCCTGTGGGCTCATCCTGCACTCTGGCTTTGGCGGATGAACGGACCGAGGCTTAGAGTGGCGATGCTACCCTGATCCCCTATTTGCCACCCAGCCCCTCCTGTCCATGTGCCCCTCTCTGACCCCGCCCATGGAGCCACTGAGGCAGCTGAGAATATGCCAGCTGTCTCCTGCCTAGAACAGCCTTTCCTGGTGAACTCCTCTGCATCCATCAAAGCCCCAGCTCTGATGTCCTCTCCTCGTGGAGAGCCTCCCATTTCCCTTTGACTTCCCTGTGACCCCGGGGGCTGGAAGTGTCCTTGTCCTTCTATCACAGCGACCTTGAGAATGCTGTGGTCCGCAGGGCAGCCACAAAGGCCTTTATTGCCTCCCGTGAGCCCCAAACACCCAGAGTGATTGGCTGGGCAGTGCCACCTGCCTGGTCCTGAGCCCCATGCTGTGCCCTAGTTGTCCAGAGCTGGTCACGTGTCCAGGAAGTGGGCCTTGGAGTGGACCCCAACCCCCCCCCACTTGGTGCTTTGCCTCAGTCTCCCTGTGAGTAGCTGGGTAGGCGGAGGAGTCCTTTGTTGTCCCCAGTGTGCCCTCCCTCTCCGTCCCCTGGGTGGCAGCACCAGGCAGGGCCGCTGCATGAGTCCCCGCTTCCTCCTGGGCCTTTGCCCAGCCTGTGCCTGCGGGGACTCGGGGACTTTCCTGAACATGGGACAGGGCTCTCCGGTCCCCCAGCTGCAGCCATTGGGGAGCTGAACAAATGCCACAGCCAAACAAGTGAATGTGGAACTGCAGAGGCTCCAGGCAGGGCCAGGGGACTGGGCGGGTGACCTGAGACACAGGGACAGGAGGAGGCCCTGAGGGAGCAGGGGTTGGGCATGGGCAGTTGGAGAGCAGGTGCAAAGGTCCTGGGGTCACCACACACTGCAGCACAGCCTCACCTGGGAAAGTCTAAGCTCGGGCCAGGGAGAGAATGGCTCCACAGGCTGCACTGGGGGGATCCGGCCAGGACAGGCTGTGCTGTAACTGGAGCTGGCTGGGTAGAGACACGTCCCATCCCTCCCAGCCGCCCCCTGCTCCTGCTCGGGACAGAATGTGCCGGGGCAGAGGTGGTAGCGGGCGGTGGCCATGCTGGTGGCTCCGGATTCCTGAACAGGAGCCCAGCCGGGCCCCTTGCCAGCCAGTGTGGCAGGGGACAAGCAGGGCCGGCCGCCTGCTTGCCTGGCACCCGGATCACCGCCAGGGACACATGGTGACAGGAACAGCGACACAGAGCCCAGGGCTGCAGCTCTGCACGGTGATCCCCTTGATCCCTCCACCCCTGAATCTTTACCCACAACAAAGTAGGGGTCCCCCCATCCTTTAGTCAGTCTACAACCCTCTTCGTGCCCGCTGGGGCTGGGGCACAGCCAGGACCCCACCCTGACCTTACAGTCTCAAATAAGTGAGCATCTAAGTGGGGTTTCTGAGGTTGATGAGGACTGTGCAGGCCTTAGAAGGCAGGGATGGGAGAGGGGGTGACGGGAGGAGACATTAACCGGCAGCCTGAGTGTCCCCAAAAAGGCGAGGCCAGGGGCTGCATGTGTGAGGGTCCTGGGGTAGGGTGCTCCCGCAGCAGCCAGGCAGGGAGGAGGGACTGAAGGGAGAGCTGGCAGTTTGGGGGTCTGGGGTTATTTCCTGTTGGGTGTACACTGGCCACTTTCCCCTGGGCTCCCATGTGCTCAGGGTGCCCCTGAATGGGGACTCGTGAGCGGGCTCCACCCTGCTTGTTGCTGATCTGCCTCAGAAAGTCTCCCTAGAGACCAGGTTCCCCAGATCTGTAGACATAAGAGTGCAGGGTGCAGGGTGCAGGGTGCTCTGTCCTCCACAGGCTGCTGTCTGTGGGGTAAGCACCTTCAGCTGCTCTTGCCATGGGGATGTGGGTCTGGATGCCGGGACCTTCCCATGCACACTGGTCCTGCAGTAGCCCATGCATGAGAAAGCCCAAACATCCCTCCATGGACGGGTGGAGAAACCCGAGCTGTTCCTTGGCACAACAGAATATTACACAGCCATGAAAAGGAGCAGAGGACTGATCCATGCTGCAATGCAGGTGAGCCTCAGAAACATGCCAAGTAACAACAGCTGGACACAAACGGCCACATGGTGTATGACCACTGATATGTCCAGGAAAAGCCAAGTCCAGCCGAGTGTGGTGGTGCACACCTGTGATCTCAGCACTTGAGAGGCTGAGGCAAGAGGATCTCACGTTCGAGGTCAGCTTGGCTACATAGCAAGGCCCTATCTCCAAACAAAGAGAAAATAGGCAGATTCCCAGAGACAGGAACAGCTCAGGGCTCTGACCCGAGTGCTTTGTTTCTCTGCCTGTGTGCTTCACCAACATTTTTTGTTGTTTTTTGGTACTGGAGATCGAACTCAGGACCTTGCCCTTGTGAGGCAGGTGGCGGAACCACTGAGCTACATCCCCGGCCCTTCACCAACATTTTTGAAAAGCACAGAATTGGGTAGGCAGGGTCTCCCTGCATCATGGGCCCTGCCACCTTCCAGCCCTGCCCTCAGTATCCCCTTCTGGACCCTAGGCCTCTCTGCCCTCCCTGGCCCGGAACTAGGTCCTAAGATGGGCACTCGGTGGCCATGGTGGCCCCGAAGCAGCTGAGGAGAAACCAAAGCACTGGCCTGGGTATCCACACTTTTATTTTTTGACAAATAATTGTACAAGGGCTGGGGACGTAGCTCAGTGGCACTGCACCTGCCTCACAAGCACAAGGTCCTGAGTTCCATCTCTGGTACCAAATTAACAATAATAACAATAATAATAATAATTGTACAAAAGGGTCAGATGCAAAGCTTGCTGGGACGCTGGGTCCTGAGGGGCCCAGCCCTGGAAGGCAGGGGACTCTGGAGCTGCCCACACGTGCCACCCCAGCTGCCTCCTGTCCCCAGGCCTGCTGCAGCGCTCCCTGCTTCGGCCTCAGTTCTCCATTGTCCTCCAGCAAGCAGGAGGGCTCTGGGCTGCACCTGCCTGGCCAGGAAGCTGTGGCTCTGTCTCCAGAGGCTGCAGCGCTGCCCGCTGCTCACACCCTGCACCGTTCCAGTGACCTGGCTCCCTGAACCCCCGTCCCCAGTCCTCTTGCCTGTCCAAGCTCACAGTGCAGCCTTGGCTGGGACACCTGCTTTTAGGGCCCCGATTCTGAGATAAAGTGGTGACCTGTAAATATCACTCAGCTGAGAACTTCTCTCACTTGTCCTCCTCCTTACTTGCCTGATGCGGAGCTCCTATTCATACCTCAAAGCCTCAACTTAAATGTGCTTTCCTCCAGGACTCTTCTGGTCCCTTCTTCTGGCCCCTCAAGACTGGAAGTGTCTCTGTCTGGCTCTCTCTCTGCCCACAGGCCAGGCTAAATTTTCCCAGAGGCCATGCTGGGCATCTGATGCCCATCCACATAAGCCAGGGTCCTCCCTGGCTCTTCCTCAGTCCTGTGTGATGTTGGACCAGCTTTGCCTTACTGAGACTCAGTTTCCCTGGTTCCAGTGCAGTCAAGCTTGCTGGTCTTTGACTTTGCCATTCTTCGTGGTCATGGCGGTGGAAGTTTATGTGCAGCCTCATCCCTGAGGCGTCTGCTCCGCACTCAGAAGGTCATGCAGCGAGACCTCATGTCCTCTGAAGGTGGGTTCGGATCCTCCTGAGTGAAGGATTCCTGTGAGTCAGGGGGCGGAGCATAGGGCAGACTAGGGGGCAAGGTGTGCTCAGACTTTGACGTATGCATAGGAGTTCTATCACCTATGAGGCACCAGGGCTCAGAGAGGCCCGGGAAGGGGTGCACCCCAGACCCCTGAGCTCACCTCAGAGTACAGGGGCGGTGGGAGGTAGCGGCACTCTTGGAAGTAAGGGAAGTAGGGGCCTTCGAGGCTCATGGGGTCCTGCAGCAGGGCGAAGGGGCTCTGTGCAGTGGCTGCCGAATCCTCCTCTGTCACCACGTCCGAGTACTCGGGAGGGGCTGGGACGGGAGCCAGGGTGAGTTGGGCCACCCACTGTTCACTGAGCTCACCCTGTCCTCCCCGGGTGCCCGGCAGAGCAGGGTGCTCACCTTCAGGTCGCTGCGGCAGGGTGCCCAGCCCCCAGTCCAGCAGGAAGCCAGCTTGGCTGTCCACGCTGGAGGAGCGGCTGCCGAAAGCATGCAGGGGGACGGTACCGATGACCAGGGGGAGCTCCAGGAGCAGCTTGGACGAGCCCGGTATGTCCACACAAACCTAAGGGAGCAGCGCTGTGATGGGGGCGCAGCGGCAGCCACACCTGCTCCCCGGGGCCGGCCACAGGGTCAGGTCAGGATGCCATACCTTGAGCGAGTAGCACACGTGCAGCACACGGCAGCGCAGGATGGACGGCCCCACCGGGGGGATGCGCAGCAGCCGGCCCTGCCACTGCGCGTGCCGCCCCGGGGCCACAGGCTCTCCCGCCAGGCTGGCCACCAGCGCGCACTTCTGCTTCTGGGCACCCCGCGCCACAAACGTCTGGGTTTGCACCAGGGCGGCGCGGGGCCGCACGGAGCGCGTGTAGCCATTGTCGATCTCGGCGAAGACGGGGATCGCCTCTCCTGTGGGGCGGCGGTGGTCTCAGCTTCCCCCGGGGCCGCCTGCCGCCAGCCCCCCGCCCGCCTGTACCTGGCGTGTAGCCTTTGCGATGGATCTTGGCCGAAAGGGACACTAGGCCGGGGTTACGGAACCACGAGCGGGCGACCTTTTCCTGGGATCCCTCCTGGGGTGCCTGCCGGGTGTGGGGAGGGACAGCAGTGGGCCGCTGTGGAGCGGGGAGCAGGACCTGGCGGCTTTCCCTAATCCCAGAGCTGTTAGCAAGACGGAGCTTTCTTAAAAGCCCCCATCTTTTTTGTTTTTTTGAGACAAGGTCTCATAGTTTAAGCCGACTTGGAACTCACTATGTCGCCCAGGCTGGCCTTGACCTCCTGGGGACCCTCCTGCCTCGGGCTCCAGAGTGCTGGGGTCACAGGTATGGCCCACCATGCCTGATTGGCTCCATTTTCTTTCTTTCTTTTTTCTTTTTGGTACCGGAGATCGAACTCGGGACCTTGCGCTTGTGCGGCAGGCGCCGGAAGCAGAGCTAAATCCCGGCCCTCCATTTTCTGTTTTATAAAATGGGTCCTTTTAGCCGGATGTGGTGGTCCACGCCTGTAATCTCAGCACTCAGGAGGCTGAGGCAGGGGAATCAGTTTGAAGTCACCTTGGGCTACAAGAGACCCTGTGTCAAAAAACAAACAAAAAAAGCGGGGCGTGGTGGTGTGGACCTATAATCCCACCACTCCCAAGGCTGAGGCAGGAGGATCGCTGCAAGTTGGAGGCCAGCCTGGGCTACATAGTGTGCTCAAGGATAGTCTGAATTACAGAGCAAGACCCTGTCTCAAAAAAAAAAGAAAAGAAAAGAAACGAAAAGAAAGAAGCCAAGGGAAGCCAAGCACTCTGGTGTAATTAACGCTCGCTAAGTAGCTATTTTCGCGGAGCCATCGGAGGGTCTCCGCGCCTCAGAGCCACGCGCCGGCCCCAGGACCCGCCTCCCAGCCGCCGCCCCTTCGCCGCTCGGGCCGTGCTCTCACCAGCAGCGCGGGGGTGTTGATGTCCAGGGTCTCGATGACAGTGAAGCCAGTCCGGGCGCGGCGCGCGGGCACCCAGGGCCGGTGCAGCGTGGCCATGACGGAGTAGCGGACGCTGCCGTGCTTGCCCTCGAAGGACGTCACCAGGGCCCTGGGGCGCCGGGAGGGGTCAGGCCGGGGCCGGCGTGGGGCGCGGGCGTGCGTGTGTGTGTGCGTGCGTGTAGCTCATGCGCTCTGGGGCGAGGGGGGCACCTCCAGGGCCAGGGCCAGGGCCAGGGCCCCGCCGCCCGCCGCCCGCCGCCCGCCGCCCGCCGCACCTCGGGGACTGAACTGCACTGAACTTACAAGGGCAGCTGGAAGCCGAACGCGAACTCGTGGCGCCCGGCAGGCAGGGTCCTGGGCTCGCCGGAGTCTGCGGGGAGCAGAGGGGCTCAGCGCACGTCCAGGCGCACGCAGCAGGGCGGCCTGGGGACCCCGCCGCACCTGGAGCCAGCAGGGCGGCGCGGTGGCTCACGAGGTCCATGCTCTCGCTGTAGCTCTGCGTGTACGCGGTGCTCGAGCCCGCGCCGCGCGACTCGGTCCAGTGCACGTGCGCGCGGCCCCGCGCCCGCAGCTCCAGGGAGCCCACGCGCGCCGCTCTCGACAGCTCCAGCAGCACCCGGCCCGACACACGCTCGCCACCGCTGAACACGGGCTCCGCGCCCGCCGTCGCGCCGTCTAGCTGCACGGCGAACGCCTTCACCTTGTCGAATAGCATCGTGCCAGGACGGGAAGTGAACGCTCTCTACTCGCAGACCCGGGTCTCGAACCCGCGGCGAGGAGGTGCAAGCAGCGGACCCGCAGTCTCAGGTCTCAAAGTCGCCGCACGTACAAAACCGCATGCGCACTCACTGACCCAGCCAAAGGCTCTGAACGGCGCCCTGGCGCTGCTTTTATGCGGCAGAGAGTAGGGCGGGGCGCGAGACGCAAGCCGCCCCACCCAGAAACGAGCTCAACCAATAGGGCGGCGAGGGGGTGTGGCTTCGCACGCAGTTCCTGGAGCAAAACAACAAACGCCCCTGGGCGGCCTTGCGCGCCTTCGCAGGCCGGGTTTCCTCTCACCCCGGAAAGCAGCGGGGAAGCTGAAGCCACCTAGCCGAGTACCCCCCGCTCCCCTGAATCATCCACCAGCTGCCACTTGCAGACGTGACTCCGTGCACGTCGGTCCAGATTGGAGAGGATCTTTCGACCTCCGTTTCCACTCCCGGGGGCCGGGAGATCGGCTGAGCTCAGGGGGCGGGCAAGGTTCACCGCACCCCGATTACCAGCCCGCCCCCAAGCTGCCCTCGCGACCCGACTCAGGCCTCCGTCAGTTTTCCCCGGGAATTGTCGCAGGGGGCGAGGCCTTGTGAGTCCGCGGGGCGAAGGCGCCCCCTGGTGGCGGCGCGGGGCGCTGCTGCTCCCTCGGAGCTCGGCTGGGCCACACGGGGACCCTCGCGGCCACAGCACCTCTGGTGGGAACACGACCACCCGCGACCCGCCCGGGGCCTGGGCAGGCCGGGAAGGGCGGCAGGCTCAGGGAGAGGCTTGGGGGGCTGGGGGAGATCGACGCGCCGCTCCCAAGCGCCAGGGCGGGCCTGAGCGCGGAGAAGCCAGAGTGCCCGGGAAGGGCCAGCCTGGTTCACGGGCGAGCTCCAGCGCCCAGCCGCCCCTCCAGAGTTTATAGGGGCCCGGCCCTAACATTCTGGCCCCTCACTGAGGACGGGCCCAGGGGCGCTCTCTCACCGAGCTACGCCCCCACCCCCTTGTTTTCCTTTTGAAATAGTCCAAGTTGCCCAGGCAGGACCCGAACGTTCGATCCTCCGGCCTCAGCCTCCCTAAGCGCTGGGACTACCAGCGTGCTCTCGAGCACAGCCCAGCTGAACGCCGGGGAAGGTCGCCTCCTGGACCCCTTCCTGCTCCCACTTCGCGCGGCACCAGGGCTTCCGGGGTGATCGCGAACCCCTCGCACCCCCAGAAGCTGTCAGCGGGCTCGGGAGCAACCAGCTGCCTCCCGCCTCGCCCGGGCCGCGCACGGAGTAGATCGTGGGGTCTGGCGGCGCCGAAAGTGTCCGCCCAGAGAAGCCGACCCTTCCCTGAGCCGCGCGGCGGGGCTGGGGCGCAGCAGCCCTTTTCTGGGAAGCGCGCGAGCGATCGCAGCGGGAAGGCACCCGCGGGGGTCCCGGGACCCTTGGAAGATGCGACCCCATCCCCATCCCTCCCCGTCGGAGGCACGACCACCACCCCCCCCCGATCCCCAACACCACCAGACCGCACCCCGGGGGACCCACAGCGGCAGTCACTGCAGGGTAAACTGAGGCGGGGCATGGGTGGCACGTGAGTGACACAGGCCCTTCTTTGGGAACCGGGGACCCTACACTGAGACCCGCAGGGGCACTCGCAGTACCCACAGGGGCTCCCAGACCCTGGATGGCTGGGGCCCCTGCTTTGAGAAGCTAGGCGTCTAAATGGGGGGGGGGTGGCGCGCTTGGGGCCCTGGAAAGAGGGCCTCAGGACAGGGCCGGGCCCGGCGCGGAGTCTGCGGGTCAGAGGCCGCGGGGATCCCGGCGGGGATGGGGGCGGCCTCGGGGTGTGGTCCGTGTCTCACTTGGGGGCAGCGGCTGCCGCCGTCGCAGGAGGGTCTCGCAGGAGGATCCCACGCCGCAGCCACCTCGAGCGCGCGCAGACGCGGCCGCTCCGGGGCGCAAGAGGACTGGGGTGCTCTCCTGGCGCCTGCGGACTCGCTGGTCCCGCGCCTCCGCCTGGGGACCCACACGGGGCGGAGCCACCCCCGGCGCGGGGCGGGCCCTGCTGTCCGCGTTGCCGAGGGGGAGTCAGAGGGCAGCGCGCGGAACACACCAGCGCTCGACTCACGGCTGCCCTTGGCCTCCCTGCCAGGGCCGCCCTGGGGCCACGTGTTCCCTCCCCACGTCTGCGAGCCAACCCTGGACACGGGGGCCACCCACGGGCGCTCCCTCACCGAGCCCCACCGCCCACGCTCGGGCCAGCCCCTCCGTCCCCGGCCTCAGTTTCCCCAGCCAGGCCCTTCTACGCCCTCGTGAGCCTCGGGGAAGGGGCGTGTACCGAACCCCTGCCAGGGGCCGGGCCCGTGGAGCGTCCTGGTTAAAGGTGTCGCCTCATCTTAGGAGACAGCTGAGGTCTCCGGCGGGGCAGCCAAGGTCCAGGACCGAGCAGCGCCCCCAGGGCCTCTGCTGCCCCTCTGGTCCCGCATCCTGCCGTCCCCCAGACCCCTGGCGGGCCCTCCTCTGCCGAGTGCCTGCCCTGCACCGCGCCGGAGGGTGGATTTGGAGTCCACCTGCGCTGGGGAGCCCAGCTCGCCCCCGGCCGCCGAGGAGGGCGCCCCCGGGCCCCTGCACGCCTTCCCTCCCGTGCCCCCAGCACCAAGCACCAAATCCAAGGTCTTCATCTTTTGGGTTTTGTTTGTTTTTTTGAGACAGAGGCTTGCTATGGAGCCCAGGCTGGCCTTCGACTTGTGGCAATCCTCCTGCCTCAGCCTCCCACGCGCTGGGATTACAGTGTGCGTCGCCACGCCCAGTTTGAGGCCCTCCTCTTGCCCTAGGGCTCCCCACTTGGAATTCTGGCTCCATTCCTCTGCTCGGCGTGGCCCTGGCCAAGGGGCTTTGACTGTCTGAGCCTCAGTTTCCCCTCCCACCACCACCCTGCCCTGGAGGTGTTCTGAAGTCACCGTGGGATTTGTGCCACAAGCCGCGAATACACTGGGTGCGCAACTCGAGTCCAGTGACAAGTGGGTGCCCCTCACCCTCGCCACCGCCCACGCGGGGCAGGGCGCAGAGCCCGTGGGGGAGGAGCCAGCGTCCAGTCAGCTGCTGCCCCTCGCGGCCAGGGCCAGGCTGACCTCGCTGGGCGAAGTCACCGAGGCGCTGCCCCCGACTGCGCTGGCCAGCGAGGCTCCCAGACGGTCGGGGGACCCGGGACACCGCGGTGACAAGTGTCCGGCCGCACGCACAGGCAGCGGCCCATGGTCCTGCTTCCTCGAGGCCTGGCGAGGACCCTCCCAGGTGCTCGCGCCCTCCGGGGGCCGGGACGCCTCGGCCTGGCCCTGTCCCTGCCAGCTGCTGCGTCCTGAGCCCCAGGGCGCGGTCCGCGCTCCCACGACGGTCGGTCTCGCGGGTGGCGGCCACACGATGGCCAGGATTGAGGTCCCGAGGGCGGGCATCACCCGCAGTCCGAGGGGCCGGCGGGCGGCCAGCGGCAGGGAGAGCTCGGAGCTGCGGGGCCGGGGCGGGGCCGGGGCGTTGGGGGCGGTCGCGTGGCTTGGACGATGAGGCCCGGCAGGGCCTGCAGGGAGGCGCCCAGCAAGTCCAGGCGGGCCTCGAGCGCGGCCAGGCGGGCCTCCAGCTCCTCGTGCTGGGCGTGCAGCTCCGACAGCAGCTCGTACATGGCGCCCTGGGTCTGCGGGGACAGAGCGCCTTGCTGGGGACCGCAGCCCAGTGGGAGGACTAGGGCCTGGCACCCCAACACCTGCCTCGGTGAGAGAAATAGTGTATCTGGTGGCACAGCCTGTGGCCCCAGCTACTCTGGAGGACTGCTTGGGCCCAGGACTTCAAAACCAGCCTGGGCAGAGTGAGACCCTGTCTCAAAAAAAATCTGTAACTAATTTTTTAATAACCGACTTTCAGGGTTGGGGGAGGAGCTCAGGGAGGAGCACGTGCAAGCATGCACAAGGTCCTGGGTTCAATTCCCAGGACTGCCAAAAAAGTCAAATCAACCTTTCTTTCTTCCTTTTCTTTCTTCCCTCCCCCTCTCCCAGCACCTCCCTTCCTTCCTTCTTTCTTCTGAGACAAGGTCTCATTATGTAGTCCAGGCTGGCCTTGAACTCACTATGTAGCCTGGGATGGCCTGGAACTCAAAGCAATCCTCCTGCCTGAGCCTCCTGAATGTTGTGATGACAAGCGTGCACTGCTACTCCTGGTCCAAATTCAATTTCTAACGGTGGTGTTCTGTGGCTGATCCAAATTAAAATGCCTGATTTATGTCACATAGTGAGTTTTGCAAAGTCATTTTCTATCTATATATACTTTTTTCCTTTTTTTCTTTTTTGAAGGGGGTGCTGGGGATGGAACCCAGGGCCTCACACCTGCTGGGCAAGCACTCACCACTGAACTACATCCTCAACCCTTTCAATTTTTATTTTTTTTACCCCTTTCAATTTTGAGATAGGGTCTCACTAACTTACCAGTGTGGGCTTGAACTTTCAATCCTCCAGCCTCAGCCTCCTGGGTGGCTGGGATTATAGATGTGTGCCATCATGCCTAGCATAGGAATCCTTTTTTTGTTTAAATTTATATATATATATATATATATACACACACACACACACACACACACACACAGGGGATCGAACTCAGGACCTTGCGCTTGCAAGGCAGGCAGGGCACCACTGAGCTAAATCCCTGGCCCCTGCTTTGAACTTTTGAGAGAAGGTCTTGCTGTATAATCTAGGCTGGCCTTGAGCTCACTATGTGGCCCAGGCTGGCCTTGAACTGCAGCGATGCTTCTGCCTCCGCCTCCTGAGTGCTGGGATGACAGGCGTGCACCACCACACCTGGCTAGCATATTAATCTTTTAAAATAAAAACCAACTGCCCATGCTGAAGAGTAAAGATGCTACACAGCAATGCAGATTTCTGGTGCCCCTTGTGAGTGGGGCACAGTGGAGCCCATGTCCCGCAGCTCCTGTCCCCCATCCCGGGGCCCCCAGGGCCTGCCCTCACCTTGGCCAGGTCGGCCAGTGAGTTGGCCTGGTCACTCAGCCTTCCTTGCTCGATCTTCACACTCCGGAGCCTGGGACACAGTGGGGAGCCCGGGTCAGGCGGCGGCTGCCTGGGGGCTGCGGACTGGGGCAGCTCGGCGACCACACACACCAAAGGGGGACCCCAGCCAGGACGACCCAGGCCAAGGATCCGGGCCCAGGGACAGACATGCACCCGGCCACCCCATGCACCCGGTCTCCCGGCTACCCTGGAACTTACTTCTGAGCCCTGGCAGGAGCCGGACAGCGAGGGAGAGACCACAGGGGAGTTTATTCTTGGCACAGCCGGCGGTGCGTGCCCGTCCCTGCCCATCTCCCGCGGGGGCCACCAGGCCCAGCGGGGCGAAGCCACTGGCCTCACCACCCCTGCTGGCTGGCCTGGGTGCTGTGGGGGTGCTGTGGCCCCTGGACAGCTGTGCCTGGGCAGCCTGATACTGAAGCTGAGTCGGCCCAGGGCACTGCCCAGGTACCCCGTGCCCCCCGGGACCCCACTGGAGGGAGAGATGGAGACAGACTCCCCGCCTGGAGTCAGGGCCCCAAGGACTGGCCACCGGGGATGCCAGTGCCTTCCGGGGCTTGTCTGGAGCCACCTGCTCAGGGTGAATGGTGTACCCCAAGGGTATGCAGGCATCTGATGCCCCAGGAGCTGGGCGCGCTGTCATGGGAAACAAGGTCTTTCCAAATGTGACCAGGCTAGGGTAGGGTCGCTAGGGTGGCCCTAATCTCATATAACTGTTGTCCTTTAAAAGAAGCAAAAATACCCGGGCGCGGTGGCGCACACCTGTGGTCCCAGCATGCAGGAGGCTGAGGCAGGAGGATCGCTGTGAGTTCGAGGCCAGCCTGGGCTACACAGTGAGTTCAAAGCCAGCCTGAACCACATAGTGAGACCCTGTCTCAACTCCCCCCATGCATCTGAACAAACAAAAAAATAAAATAAAATAAATTTGATTTTGACAGAGAGAGAGTCTTGCCTTGCGGTTGGGCTCAAACTTTTTGTCCTCCTGCCTCAGCCTCCCAGAGTGCCGGGATCTCAGGCACGAGCTACTGCTGCATATCTACCTACTGTTGAAATCCTAAACTGGCCACTGCTCCCCCGAAGAACTTGGGCCCAGGCTGCCCCTGGACTCTTATCATAACTGGTGGTGTAGGTGGCCCGTGAGACTTTGTAAAGTCCCCCAAGGGACTGTACTGGGGGCCACAGCTGAGATCCGCCTGATGAAGTAATTGTCAAGACAAAGGAACAACAGAGGAAATGAAAGAATTTCTGATTGGCCCATCTGATCGCATGGATCTGACCACAGGTGTCATTCTGAGGTTCTTGGCAGCCAGAGCTAAAAGGGGAAACTGTTTCCAAGATGAAAGGGTCAGACTGCTTGATAATTCCAGAGAATGAGTTATGCTTCCTGCCACTTGCACTGGGGACCTCTGGGACTGATCCGAGGGGACTGTCCTGGCTGAGCACCAGGGCCTCCCTCTGTCTTCCCATCCTGCCCAGCACAGATCTGCCGGCCCCAACCAGCTTTCCATCCGGCCTGGAGGGGAGCCCAGGAAGAGGCCACAGGAGCTGCTGGCTTGGCCTCGCCTCCTCCCAGGGCCACAGCTGGCCGCCTCCATGCTAGGCGGACACAGAAATGTGAGCTGGAAAGGTTCTGGACTTACTGATGGATGGCTTGGAGGAACTTACGCTGGTGTTTCCGAACCCGGGCTTGGTCAGGCTTCTTCACCAGCCTGGTATGTTTGTAGATGAGCCACGTCTCCCTGAGAACATTAGCAGCGGCATTTTTTACCTGGGTCCAGAGAAAGAACAGTTCCTCAGGGTAGGTGCACAAAAACAAAATGAAACAAAGCAAACAGAAATTTCTGGAAACCTCTAGAACCTTCTAGAAATTTCCAGAAACTTCTGGAACCCTGGGCTGTAAGGCAGAGCCACACTTGCATGTCCACACTTGCGCAGTATGGTTGTGTCTCACATACGTCCTTACTCGACACACCTGAACAGTGTGAACTTGGTGAATCTGAATAATGCTGATAGCTTATTCATCTGTACACAGGGAAACTGAGGCACGGGACAGTGATTCACACATGCCTGGGCACATGGGTATGCCCAGCGGGTGCAGAGGGCATGCGAGCAGGGCCTCACCCGCTTGGTGAGCTGAGTGTCCATCATGAAGTTGTGCACGTGCTTCTCGGCCTTGGTGAGCTCCAGCTTCCGGGCCACCACAGCCACCACCAGGGCAGTGCAGCCAGCTCCCTGAGCGGGGCAGAGGGGCATCAGTGTCCCGCGGGGCTGCCTGGCCCACCCTGTCCTCATCCGGTCCCTGAGAATGCTGAGGGGCAGTGGGGCTCAAGGATAAGAAAGGGACAAGAAGCTGGATACAGGGGCGCACACTGTGAGCCAACCTCCTTGGAGGCTGAGGCGGGAGGATTGCAGGTTTGAGCCCAGCCTGGCAAACTTAGTCCCTGTCTCCAAACAAAATGAAAAGGGCTGCGATGCAGCTCAGTGGTGAGCACTTGCCCGACATGTGTGAGGCCCGGGCTTCTGGACCCCGCACTCCAAAATATAAAGATTTAAAATATATATAGGGGCGAGCAGGGGCCCCCAGGACACCTTGTCTTGGGTTTCTGGCCAGGATGAGTATTAAACACCTGCCTACCTTCCTTCTTTCTTTCCCTCATTCCCTTCTTCTGTATTTTTTGAGACACTGTCCTGCTAAATTGCCCAGGCTGGTCTTGAACTTGATTTCTTCCTGCTTCAACCTCTAAGAGCACTGAGATTACAGGTGTGTGCCGCATCACCCGCCTCCAGGAGTAGGGTCTCGAGAGATCCCAAACCCTGTTCTCAGGAAAACTCTGCCAACAGTCACAAAGCACTTTGCTAGAATCTCTGCCCGGAATACTACGTGGCCAGGAAGAAGTCTGGCTAGGGATCCTCACACAAGAGGGAGCAGGATGAGGTGCTGTTTGGGCCACCTGAGTCACATGAGGTGCCCTCCACATCGACAGGGGTCCTAGGCCAAGGATCAGGGCTGGATGGGACTCTTGCAGTTTGAGGCATTTCACATAAAGGTGCTGACTATGAAGGAAGTGACCACTGGGGAAACTGAGGCACAGAAGCATCAAGTGCTTGATGCCAGGGCTGTGGAGAATAAAGGGATGTCCCCGGAGGCCGAGGGCACCAGGGAGGACGATGGGGTGACCCCCGGTGCCTCACCATGATGCCAGTGAGCAGGCACACGCCCTTCCCACAGTAGGTGTGTGGCACCATGTCGCCGTAGCCGATGGACAGGAAGGTGATGGAGATGAGCCACATGGCCCCCAGGAAGTTGCTGGTCACCTCTTGCTTGTCGTGGTACCTGTGGGGGGGGCAGGAGGCCTGGTCAGGGCAGGTGGCCCTTGGCAAGTCGCACCGCAGATGTGTCCACCAGCCACACAGGGACTGGCCAGCCTGAGGCCGGGGACAGAGGCTTCTGGGGCAGTCAGGGCCCCAGGCAGCCCCTGGGGACAGGACAGTGACCTGCCCACCCCTGCTCCTATTTTTGACATGGAGTCTCACTATGTGGCCCAGGTTGACCTTGAACTCATGGAGACTCTCCTGCCTCAGCCTCTGAGTGCTGGGATCACACCACGGCCAGCCTCTGTCCCTTCTGATCTCCACCATGCCAGTCCACCCTCCCTGGCCTGGGCCATGACAGGGCACGCAACCCATCCCAAGGACAGACACACGGACACACGGGACACGGTGGCCGAGGGCACCAGCAGTGGCAGGGAGTGCAGCGGGACTGGGTCAGGCAGCAGGAGGAGCAGCCGGGCAGGAGGCCTTGGGACAAGGACAGAGGTGTCAGACGGAGCTGGCTGGGGGGAGCCGGCCTGAGCCTGGCCTTGGTGTGGGCAGGAGCAGCTTTCGAGGCCAAGATGGGTCCCAGGGCCACAGCAGGGACACAGCTGGGCTCCAGAGAGGGCCTGCATGACCGCACCAGGCCGGGGCTGGCTGGCTGGCTCTCGGGGTCCGGGCACAACTCGGGGACTGGGCGCAACCCCAATTCTTTCAGTGGACTCTGCTGCTGCCTGGCTGGGTTCGGGCTCCCGGGGGTTGGGGAGCCCTCGCCACTGGGGACCTGTTCCTTCCTGGGACAGTGGGATTTGGGACAGGGACCAGGAGGAGACAAGCCAGGTCCTGGAGATGAAGGTTTGGGGTCCCTCCCTGGCCCCCAAACTGGGCCTCCAGGTGCTCACCAGTGGGCGCAGGCCCAGGAGCAGGGCCAGGGGACGTGGGGTGGGGACACAGCATGGGAGGCAGGGGCCAAGTGTCACGGCGGGCATGGAATTTAGGACTGGCTGCCCGCTGGCCCTGCTCCGACCCAGCTGGGACCTGGGGACCCCAACCCCGATGTTCCTGGCTCGGCATCTGGGGGTGGGCTGTGGCAGCAGCTTAGGGATCCGAAGTGACCCGCAGGGGGAGGACCCCCAAGGCCCTCCCTGTGTCCCCCATCAGGGCTAGCTGGGACCTTTTGGTCCCTCGGACAATGAGGCACTGGGTCTGGGCATTCGAGTGGCCCCTGAGCCTCAGCTTCCCCCAAAGCTGGGAGAGCACCCTGCTGCCCTCCAGGGCCACCTGGTCACTGCCTCCAAGGTCCTGGGGCTCAGAGAGCGTGAGGCCACCTCCCCACAGGCCGCTTCCCCCTCACGGACCTCTGGGTACCAGGACGGGGTCTGGGGCGATGCCCTCCCACCTCCCCTATGGCAGCGAATCTTAAATTCCTAGCAGGGGCCAGCAGGGGCCAGCGGCGGCTCTGTGCGGACTCACATGTCTTCCCTGCGGCCCGGCAGGGTGGGCAAAGGGGAGAAGGAAAGCTGGTTAAGTGTGGGGGCAGGGCCAGGAGGGGCGCCTGGCCAGAGGTCAGAGGTCAGAGGCCAGAGGTCAGAGGTCAGAGGCCAGCCCCCAGCCTAGGGGCACCCGCGGCACAGGCCCCACCTACCTCTCGCACACGCGCACGGTCCAGGCGGCGATGACCCAGGAGGAGATGCTGAAGACCAGCAGCACGGTGCCGGGGCAGATGGTCATGAGCGTCTTCATGACGAAGCGCGTGTTGAAGGTGATCTTGTTGAGCGCCCCGATGCTGCGCGAGGAGGCGTCCGTGAAGATCTTGCTGTGCAGCAGCATGACGCGGCCCAGCAGGTAGAGGCGCAGGAACATGGGGATGGACAGCAGCACGTCCACGTCGGCCTCGGCCACCGACGGTGCATAGGTGAAGGCCAGCCGCGCCGTCCAGGTGAAGCGGTAGTGGCCGGGCACCGGGTGGATGGCGCACACCGCCAGCTCCAGCGAGATGCGGAGGATGCGCTCACGGGTCATGGCGATGCGCCAGTCGTCCGCCCCGTTGTCTGCCATGAACAGCTGCGGAGGGAGGGGGGCGCTCAGGCACAACCCAGCGCGGCCTAGAGCAGCCCGGGCCTGAAACCCACCCAGGCTGGAGCTGCGCCCCACCCGAGTCAGAAATGCGGTGCCTGAACAGCACCCCCGAGTTGTCTCTGCTGGGGAGAATTCAAACAAAACAACAGCCTAGATCTGCAGCTACTTGGGAAGCTGAGGCAGGAGGATCTTGACTTGAATCCCAGCCTGGGCAGCTTAGTGACTTAGCAAGATTTTATCTTTAAAAAAAAGGGGGGAGGGGTCACCTGCCTCACAAGTGCAAGGTCCCAAGTTCGATCCCTGGTACTAAAAAAAAAAAAAAAGGGTGTGAAGGGGAGTAGAAGGGGAATAGGGCGGGTAAAGAGGGATGAATATGATCAAAACACATTACACACATTGACCCCCCAAAAAGGTGAGACTAGGGGCCAGAGGGCACAAGGCGGTGAGAGAACGAATGATTAAAGCCTTTGCTGGGCGTGGTGGCTTCACTTTTGCCTTGTAGAGGTGCTGGAGATGGATCCCAGGCCTTTCCATCCCCAGCCCTTTCTACTTTTTATTTTGAGACAGGGTCTCCCTAAGTTGCCCAGCATGAGCTCCAACATGAGAGCCTCCTGCCTTGGCCTCCCAGAGCACTGGAAAGACAGGCAAGGGCCACCACGCCCGGCTTACCTCTTTTCTCTGCGAACTCGGCAAAGTGTAGGCCGTGTTACAGGGAATTCTGGAGGGATGGAAATGGTCTTCTTCCCCTCTAAAGAGCTCATCTGGCCCTTGGCGTCCCCCCAGGGGCTGGGGTGCCTGTGGCTGGCGGGGCCACCAACCTGGATCTCCCGGGCGTGGTACAGCACGACAAGGCCCAGCAGGATGATGGTAGACAGGCTGATGAGGCATTTCAGGGCAAAGGAATACAGAGACGCCTGGGGACAGAGGGGACCCAGGACGCTGCAGGGAGGTCGCCAGGGACAGCCAGAGGCAGCGCCCACCTGCCCGCCCGCCAACCCTCGACTTCCCCAGCGTTCCCAGGCCCGTGAGCTTTGCTTTACTTCTGTTTTGATTTCCTAGCACTTCACAGTGTATGAGGCCTGGTCTCGGTGGCCTCGGCCTGGTATTTGTCCTCACACAGGCGGTGGCGGAAGGGGAGGGGACCCAGGTCCTGGCTGTCACCGAACCGGTGCCCACCTTGGTGTAGACGCCCCAGGACAGCTCGGTCTCCGTCACCATGACGACGATGCCAAACATGCCGAAGATGAGTGCGTAGTCGCTGAGCCGCTTCCGCTTCTCAAACAGCACGCGGCGGTGCCCCAGGCGGTGGCCCACGGCAGGCGGCTTCCCTGCGCTCCGGCTCCGCGGGCGGCCGTCCTCCTCCTCCTCATCGTCCTCGGCCTGGTCCTGGGGCTGGCCGCGGACGCTGCGGGAGGACAGCCGTGCTGGCTCGCCCTTGGCCACTAGCACCTGCAGGCCGGGGCTGTGCGGGGGCAGCGAGGGGCGGCCGGCCTCCGGGTCCGGGGGGTCGCTGCCCAGCGGCCGCCCCACACTGCCATTGTGGCTGTGGCCGTTCATGGCTACCTGGGCGCAGCAGGTGGGCTGGCGGCAGGCCACCCGGGGCCCTGCATGGCGCAGCGGCGGGGATCCCCAGCCGACCTGCAGGGACACGGGGACCTGGTCACAGGAGGGAGCAGCGGGCCTCACGGCCATGCCGAGGCCCAGCACGCCCTGCTCCTCCCTGCTCTACAGCCCGCCGTGGCTCCCAGTCCCCAGTTTCCCAAACCCACGCCCAAGACACTCCTGGGCTTGGGCTCTGTCCCACCCCTTCCTCCTCCCTCCCTTCCAGCCACGCCTGGTCTCCAAGTCCGCAGAAGGATGGCCCTCAGCCCAATGGTGCGAGGTGGGAGAAAACCGCAGGTTTTGTACGTGTAGTTTTGGCTGGGCCAGGCCACAGTGAGTAGGGAGGAATTGGCCGGCACAGTGGTGCATGCCTGTAATCCTAGCACTAGGAGGCTGAGGCAGGAGGATTGAAATTTCAAGCCCAGCCTGGGAAATTTATTTTATTTAGAGACGGGGTCTCGTTACACAGTTCAGGCTGGCCTTGAACTCACTATGTAGCCCAGGCTGACCTGGAACTTGCAGTGATCCTCCTGCCTCAGCCTCCTGAGTGCTGGGATGACAGGTGAGCGCTGTCACGCCCAGCTAAGCCTGGGCAATTCAGCAATTTAGTGAGACCCTGTCTCAAAATAAGAAAGGGCTGGGGATACAGCTCAGGGTAAAGGCTCTGGGATCAATACCCAGTACTACAAAAAAATTTCCTTTTTTATTATAAGATTTATTTTTGTTTTTTGAGACAAGGTCTCGATCTGTATTCAGGCTGATCTTGAGCTCACTAGCCCAGGCTGGCCTCAAAAATCTCAGCGATCCTCCTGGCTCAGCCTCCTGAGTGCTGGGATGACTGGCATGTGGCATCACACCCAGCTTATTATACCATTTTTAAAAGGGGGGGGGCAGTTGGATGTAGTGGCGCTCGCCTGTGATCCCAGCACCCTGGGAGGCTGAGGCAGGACGATCCCAGGTTCCAGCCCAGACTGGGCAACTTAGCATCTTCGTGAGACCCTGTGTCAAAATAAAAACTAAAAAAGAGCTGGGTGTGAAAAAAGCAGCTCAGTGTGAAGGGCCTGGGTTCCATCCCCAGCACAGCACACGCACACACACACGCACACCACACATGCACACAGGCAGCGTGTGCAGGCTCAGGTGGTGACCAGGGGACGTCAAGGGCCAGACAGTGGCCACACAGGACCTGAGCCTGCTTCTGGCCCCAGCAAGTTCCAGGGCCCAGGAAGGGGGACCTGGAGTCGGCCACTTGTATAGATGGAGAAACTGAGGCAGGGGGCTGGAAGCGGACAGACCCAAAGTCATGCCATCTCTGGCCCCCACTCTGACTGTCACAGCAGCTGGGCCATGGCTCCTTTATCTGGGGACTTCACGCTTTATAAGGCCCGACTTTCAGCCTGGCACTGCCCAGTTTACTTTATTATTTTTGTGCAGTATTGAGGATGGAACCAGGGCCTCGAGCATACTCTCCAAGCCGTCTACCCCTGAGTGACACGCCCAGCCCTTTCAACTTTTTATTTTGAGACAGGGTCTCTCTACGTTGCCCACGCCGGCCTGAACTTGAGACCCTCCTGCCTCAGCCTCTGGAGTGGCTGGGACGGCAGGCATGGGCCAGAGGCCGGGCCAGTACTTCGTGGCTTTTAAGGCACTTCTGTGGGTGAGGCGAACTCACTGGTCTCCTCCACACACACACTCAAAGGCGGCCCACACTCCAAGTGCCTCAGGCTGGGAGGGATGAGGAGCCCTAGACACCCGCTGCCTTCCCCCCAGGTGCGCGCACCCTGCTGGGGCACAGGCAGGACGGGAGCAGGAGGCACTGGCGAGGGCCGCTGGCAACGACCTTCTGGGACACATGGCTGAAAGACCAAGCCCGGTGTGACTCAGCCACCCAGTGCCCGCCAAGCCGCGGATCTGCCCTGTGCTGTCCCTGCAGCACGTCCTGAGGTGCCCTGGGCAGGGAGACTGTGGAGGAGGGAACAGCTGGCAGGTGGCTGGCTCTGAGAGGCCGCGGGCAGAGGGCTTTGCCGGCGCCCACCCTGTGATCAGCAGAGTCCCCGACGGGCACTGCCGCATGTCACCCACTTTTCACCGGAGAAGGATCCCCATTCCCATTTCACACAGGAGAGACAAAGCTCAGAGAGGGTAGCACTTTGCCCAAGGTCACACAGCCAGGAAGGGCAGGGACTACCTGAGTGGGCCTCAGGCTGGGAGCAGAGGGGCTGTGAGTAGCTGTCACTTCCCGACCTCGGCGGGACACAGGACTGAGAGGCTTCCCTGAGATCCTCCAGAGGGGGCCCCACTTCCAAAGGCTGCCCGGGGCGTGTGCGTGTGCATGTGTGTGTGTGTGTGTGTGTGTGTTTGTCCTGGGGAAGAGACACCCCGGTCCTTCATGGGCCTTTCTCCTCCCTTGCTCCAAGCCGGGCCACAGGTTGGGGTCCCTGGGACTCTTGGGGACTTGCAGAGGGTGGGGAACCCTCTGCAGCCAGGTGGGTCCTGGCTGTCCGTGTAACCGGGTGAGGCCGGGTGCAGATTCCAAGCTTGCAGTGGGGGTGGTGGTGCCTGTGGGTTAGGGACACTTTAGTGACCGTGTTGGGGTTTGAGTACCCTGTCATCTAATGCGTCTGTCACGGGATTCCTGTTCCCCAAAGGCTGAGGTGGGGCCATCCATGACACCTAGGAGATGCATAGTTTTGGGGAACCTGGAAGGTCAGGGTGCCCCAGAAGCAGAGCAAGGAGCAGGAGGTAGCTCCTGTGCTCCCCACTGCACAGCACTGTGGGAAGGGAAAGAACCAAGCCAGGGCCCTCAAGCCCCGGGAGCAGCCCTTCCACCCCGAAGGGACCAGCCTTGTGTGGTGGCGCACACCTGGGATCCCAGCACTGGGAGGCCGAGGCAGGAGGGTCCCCAGGAGTTTGAGGCCAGCCTGGACTACATAGTAAAATCCAGTCTCAAGAAACCAAAAACAGGGCCGGGATTTGGCTCAGTGGTTTCGCCGCCTGCTTCGCAAGCTCAAGGACCTGAGTTCGATCCCCGGTACCAAAACAAAAAAAACCCCACACAAGACCACCCCACCCCCCCATGATAGGCAGGATGAAGCAGTGGCTCGAGGGCACCCTCAATGTCCCCATGCATGACCAAAGTCACTGCCCTCTACGGGGCCTCCTTTGAGGAGGGTCCCCAGAGTGGCCACCCCACACTACGGTGGCCAGAATGGAGTGACAGTCGCCTCTTTCCACGCTGGAGAACTGGGTCAGGGGAAAGCGTCAAGGGGCTGTCAGTGCTGGGGCAGAGCCCCCCGCGCCCAGGATCCGCAGGGGAGCGGGACACCGGGACACGGCAGAAACTTCCAGGACAGCGGGGCCTGCTGCGGGTACCCAGCCGGGGTTCCCGAGGCTGCGTGTGCCCTGGAGGGAGAGGCCGTCCTGGGGACCCTCGCCGGCGCTCCCCCAAACCCTGCAGGCAGACGCTGGCCTTGCCTTCCTGCTCTGGCCGCTTGGGAGCCGTGCGGGAGGGGGGCTGCGGTCAGTGGCTCTGGTCACTGCGGTCACCGAGGGGGACCCTGCCGGCCGGCCGGGCGGGCACAGTGAGCCTCCTTGCCCAGGTCCCTGTCCAGGGCACCAGGCCACCAGCCTCCTGGCATCTGCGCCTCTTCAGGGACACAGGGGCAGTGCCCGCGCCGGGCGCCAGGACCTGTGCTGGGGACCGCTGGGGGTGCCAGCTGCCTGACCCGACCCAGGGATCCCGCGTTCGGAAATGGGGGCCCCTGCCTCCGACCCCCGAGTCAGCGCCCCCGCCAGCCCCCCACCGTGGAGTCTGGGGACCCCGCTCCCCACCCGCCCAGTGCCCCTCGGGCATGGGGTCCCCGCTCCGCACCCCGCCGCCCACGCACGCCCCGCTCCCCGAGCCTGCGCATGGGGGCTCCGCACCCGTCCTACCTGTACCTGGGAACGCGAGGCCCTAGGCGCGAGGGTCTCGTGCGGCCGGGGTCCCCCGGGCGGGGGCGGGGGCGGGAGCGGGACGCGGGGCGCGGGGCCCGGGGGCGGCCGCCGCATCCCCCGCCGCCCAGGGTGCGGGCCGGGCCGGGGGGCGAGCGCCCGCCCCGCGGGGAGGGAGCGAGGGGCGGGGCCGCACGGGCAGCGCTGTCGATTGGTCGAGCCCAGGCCGGTACCGCCCCCGGCGACCCCGCAGGGCCCGCCCACATTTAAAGATCCCACGCTCCCGGCGCCTGCTCGCCCCCCCCGCGGCGCGTGCTTGGTCCCCTCAAGCCGTCTGCTCCAGCGTGACGGGGTGGGGGTGACCCCGGCAAAGCCACAGCCCTGGGGACCCCTTGCTGCCCATCCTTCCCCTACACAGTCCTCTAACTTCAGCTGCCCGTCACTGCGTGTCCCACAAGGGCAACTAGGCCACGTGACCCGGCGGATTTCCCCCCCCAAAGCCTGGGGCTCTGCTCAGAGCTGGGGAGCAGGGTGCGGGCAAGCGGGGGTGGCGGCTTCTGGGGTGTCTACTGGATAATGGTGGAGGCCACCTTTGGGAAGAGAAACGCCTGCTCACATCAGGGACCCCAGTCCTGAACCCCCAAACGGCTAAGCCAGATGGCAGGCAGCAGGAGCCCCCAGAAACGGGGATCACCAGGGCTGGGGGCCTGTCCCCAAAACAAGGCTCCTTCCCCAGGACCCAGAGAACCCACCGGCCTTGGGACTCATCCGTTCAACCCTAATAGCACCGGGGGACGGAGGTGAGGGGGCCCGCAAGGCTTCTCCCCGCAGCAGCGCTGGGGTGACCGCATCAGCTGTGGCCCCTGGTCTGGGGCCTCCCCTCCCACCCACTTCCTGCCCTGCATGTTTTCTTCCCGGCCTTGAGATCGGCCGACCAGGTGACACTCAGGGTCCAGGGGCGCAGAGGGGTCCCTCTGCCCCAGAGCCTCGCCAGGAGATGACAGCAACCAGGCCAGAGGCGGTTAGTGGAGGCCTGGGAGCCCCTTGCCATGACCCGGCCCAGGCGACAGTGAGGAGAGACTGCCCAGCCGCACCGGTCCCCAAACGTCCCCAAGGCCCCCCTCGCCCTGCCCCCTCCTTCCTACCCCAGCATTTAAAAAACAGTAGCACTGGGGATTGAACCGAGGGTCTTTGCCCTGAGCTGCATCCCCAACCCTTGTTACTTTCTGAGTCTCCCTAAGTTGTCCCACATAAACAGACTTGAACCTGTGACTCTCCTGCCTCAGCCTCCCAGAGTGCTGGGATTCCAAGATTTACCCCAGCCCTTTGCACAGCACTGAAAGGGCCACCGACAGCTCCCTGGGGATCAGAAACCCATCCAGCCCTGACTCCCCTCTCTCCTTGGAGTCCCTGCCCTGGGGGAAGCTTTTGTGTGAGCCTCTGGCTGGCCTGGAAACAGGACAGAAATTCAGAGAAGTGTCACCTGCAGCCCCCCGGGGGGCCTCCATCCCTCCTGCCCAGGGGCTGTGGCCTGAGCTGGAGGTGGCCTGGCCACCCCTGTCCCCAACAGCCAGCCAGTCACTGAAATCCTGCACCCATTGGGCTGCCTGGACGCGGGCGGGCCGTGAGCTTCCAGGACAGAGAAACGTCTGCCTCTTCCTGGCCACTCAGACTTCCCTCATTCCTTCATTTGTGGATTCATTCACTCAGTCATCACTCACCCCGCAGCCCCTCCTCGGAACCTGGTGACCCGCTGCCAGACAATCTGAGCCGGCAGAGACCCAGCTCCTCCCACAGCTGGCTTCCTTGAGGAGGGGACAACCTTCTCAAAATGAGGGACTGGGGGGCTGGGGATTTAGCTCAGTGGTTCCGGCGCCTGCCTTGCAAGCTCAAGGTCCCAAGTTTGATCCCCGGTACCCCTCAAAAAATGAGGGATTGGGGTGCAGTTTGTGCAATGTGAGGCCCTGGGTTCCACTCCGGAACCACAAAAAAATTTTAAAAACAATTCAAGAGAAAAGGAGGTCAAGAGAAAGAGGACCAGGGATGGAGGTTTTTAGCTAGGGTAGTCAGGGGCAGACTCTACGGACAGGAAACATTAGCCAGGTGTGGTGGTGCATGCCTGTAATCTCAGCACTCAGGAGGCTGGGGCAGGAGGATCCCAAGTTGGAGCCTTGCTGGGGCTATTTAGTGACTGAGACTGTGGCTCAAAATAAATAAATAAATGAAAGGCTGAAGATGTAGTTCAATTCAAAGGCCCTGGGTTCAACTTCCAGTGCCACAGAATAAATAAATACATAGCGAACTTCTCAAAGGGAGGGAGCACCAGGTAGAGGGAGCTGCAAGTGCAAAGGCCCTGAGGCAGGATGGGAGGGTGTGCAGGAGGACCAGGGTGCTGGCCTGAAGTGCACATAGGGAGTGTCATCGCCGCAGTGGCCCTGAGCTGCCTGTGACTGCAGGCTGAGGAGACATCTGGTTCCCCTCTCTCTGCACACTTGGGCTGGGACACCCCGGGCCACCTCTCCTGCCCCGAGGACAAACACTTGACTCTGAAACGTGGTGTCCTGTTACATGGCTGGTTTGAATAGCAGCCCCCCCAATTTGAGGTGTCCCCACAGAGCTGCAGAATGGGATCTTGTTTGGAAACAGGGTCTTTGCAGATAGAGCTAAATTAAGAGATCAAGCCAGGCAGGGCTTGGTGGTGCACGCCTGCCATCCCAGCACTCAGGAGGCTGAGGCAGCAGGATCGCTGTGAGATCAAGGCCAGCCTGGACTATATAGCAAGATCCTGTCTCAAAAAACAAAACAAAAACAAAAATTACAGTGGATAGGGTAGGCTCTAATCTTACAAGGGGCTTCTTTTTTTCTCTTTTTTGTGCAGTACTGGAGATTGAATCCCAAGCCCTTTTTTCTTTTTTCTTTTGGTAACAGGGATCGAACTCGGGACCTTGTACTTGCGAGGCAGGTGGTGGAACCACTGAGCTAAAAGCCTGGCCCCCCTTTTTCCTTTTTTGAGACAAGTTGGCCCTAAGTTGCCCAGTCTGGCCTTGAATTTGGAATCCTCCTGCCTCAGCCTCCCCAGTAGTGGGGCAGATAGGTGTGCAGCACTGTGCCTGGCTAGGGTGTCTGTACAGGAAAGCCATGTGACAGCACAGAGGCACTGGGAGAAGGCCCGGTGAAAATCAAGGCCCAGCACCACCGAGTCCCGAGCCCCGGAGGTGAGAGAGAGCCAGGGATCTACAGGGGCTGCAAAGGGGAAATGGCTCTTGGGCTTCCAGCCTCCAGCACAAGAGGACACACTTCCATTGTTTCAAGCCACCTGAGGGCAGTCACTTAGCTGCTCACTTGTTTATCTCTTTCTGGTTTTTGCTTTTGAGACAGTCTCGAGGTGTACCCCAGGCTGGCCTCCAACTCCAACTCCTGCCTCAGCCTCCTGAGTGCTGGGATTCCAGGCGTGTGCACCATGCCCTGCTTATAGCCCCAATTCTGAGTGCCCAGTGACTCCTGGTGGCCCGGCAGCATGTGGACATTGGGACCCTGCACAGCTGTGGCTGTGGCCACTGCAATCCCCTCCAGGGTCCTCCCAGGCACAGCCTTCTGTCCCTGCACAGCCCTTCCACGCGCTGCAGAACCCCGGCCACAGTGCCCAGCCTCACCCATACCTCATTGCTGAGATCCTATCCTGGACCCAGCCCAGCCAGCTCCTCCGGCTGCCGCCTCTGCCACTGCGGCCTCTGCCACTCTTGCCCTGATGGTCCCTGACCTCCACGACAGCCACTGAGGCCTCTGAACATCACAAACCACACCGCTCCTCTCCCTGCTCTGGAACCGCTGTGGCACCCCACTGCCTGTCACCCCGCTCCCAAGCCCCCTCCCAGCCAGCCTCTCCACTCCTTCTGCAGCCCCTCTCTTCCCCTGCTTCACTGTTCCAGCTGCACTGGCATCCTCAGCATCCTCATGCAGGCCAGACTCAAATGAGTACAGTGGCGCACGCCTGTGATCCCAGCACTCTGGGAGGCCGAGGCAGGAGGATTCCAAGTTTGAGTCCAGCCTGGGGAATTTAGTGAATTGGCAGAAAACCTTGTCTCAAAATAAAAAATAAAGAAAAAAAAAGGGCCAGGGATTTAGCTCAGTGACACCACACCTGCCTCACAAGTGCAAGGTCATGTGTTCAATCCTCAGTACCAAAAAAAAAGAAAGAAAAAAAGAAAGAAAAAGGAAAAGGGTGTGTGTGTGTGGGGATGCAGCTCAGTGCAAAGGCCCTGGGTTCAACCCAAAGTACCACAAGAAAAAGAAAAAAGGAAAAAGAGAAAAAGCCAGGCTTGTTCCAACCACAGGAACTTTGTGCATGCTGCTCCCCTCCCCCCATCTCGGGTGGCTTCCCTTCAGGTCCTGGCTCATGGTCGGCTCCCTGGAGGGGCTCTGCTGGCTTGGCAGACTCTACCTTCTCCTCCTTATTATTTTTATTTCTTATTTTTTGTCCATTTCCAGTAGTGGAACAGGAACCCTGGGACTCACGATGTTAGCCAAGCGTTCTACCAGGAGCTCCCTGGCTTTTAAGTTTTGAAACAGGGCCTTGCTAAGTTGCCCAGATGGAGATGTCTGGAACTTGGGATTCTCCTGCCTCAGCCTCCAGGGTGGCTGGGATTATAGGTGTTCGCCTTCAGCCTGGCCTCCCCCGGTCATTCTCTAACACATCACTGTGTTCTATTTTCCTTCCCGTCACATCACTTTCTTAACTGGTGTCCCAAGAAACCCCACAGGGCCGACCTGGACCTGTCTCAGTCCTTGGTATATTCCTAGAACCCAGCCCAGGGATCGGCACACAGTATCTAGGTGCTCAGTGTTTGTCGACCGACTAACTGACCACTACTTTCCCACGGTCAGCTCCTAGCTTATTGCAGAGGTCAGCCAGCGTTCACCAGGACAGGAGTAGAGGAGCCGGATGTGGGTCTTGCCACCCTGATTTGACTCTGCCCCCCTGGCTGTGTGATGCTGGGCAGGTCCGGCTGCCCTCTGAGTGTCCTGTGACAGAAGAAAGGGAGGGCCCGACCCCCCAGGGGCTCCTGAGACCCACCGCTGCCGCTATGAGCATGGCTATTATCACCACACAACCTGGCGCTTTCTCCCTCAACCAGCAGGCTTTCTGTGCGACTCTCGTGGCGTCACTTACCCTGGAGCACAGGGGTCTCCTGGCCGAGCTGCTGCCCCAGGCCTGCGCCCTTCAGTCCCGCCGGGTCTTCTCTGAACACCTGCGCACCGGAGACGGAGACGGGGTGTGAGGGGCTGGAGGGCAGCGCTCCGCGACAGGGGGTCACCTTGGGCGCTGGGAACTTAGACCCGCGCTGTCTCCGAGGCCCTGGGCGAGCCCTGCGGAAGGGGCCGCTCCCCACCTCCCCGCTGGACGCCGGGCACGCTGCCCCCGGGTCCCCCCCAGTTCCTCTCCCAGTGCCCGCCGGGAGGGGAAGCCCGGCCGTGAACTTGAGCAGCACGGCTGGGACCCAGGCTGGGGGCCCTCGGAGCAGCCCCAAGGTCAAGCGTCGAGACTCGGCCTGGGCGGCTCCTTCCTCCCGCCCTATCCCTCCAGGATTCCCTCTGCGAGGTCGGCGGCCCCGGGAGGCTGAGGGAGGAAGGGGCCCTGGGAGGGGACAAGCAAAGGTAGGGGCTGAGAGCCGGGGGGGGGGGAGGCTGACGATGACCCCAGGACCGGGGCCTCCCACACTGAGCCCCAGAGGCAGGCAGCAGCCCCCCCAGAGCCCCCCACCAGCCCCACCCCTGTCGCGCCCCTACCCCACTGCCCTGCGTGACCTTGGCCTGGGGCCACCCTCTGGGGCGTCGGCCGCCCTCCTGTCCCGAGGGGTGCGGAGAACGGTGTGGAGGCTGCACGGTGCCCGGCGGGTGGGGGTTCCCCCCTCTCCGCGGAGGGGCAGCCCAGGGAATCCCCGGCACGCCGAGGAGACAGGGAGGGCGCACGGGCAGTGGGGCCCCAGCCCCCACTAAGGGGAGTCCCCAGGTCCCCGCCCTCCTCGCTCAGCGTCCCCAGCCCCGCCGAGGGAACCCCCTCCTCCTGGGGATGCAGGTGGGGTCCCCAGCCCGGGACACAAGGGACACAGGCACCCCCGCCCACGAGATGGAGGGGATCAGGCTGGGACCCCGCCCGCGCTCCCGCCGCTGTCCACTCACCCGGAGGCGCCAGCCGCGGAGCACAGGGCTGAGCGCACGGGAAGGAGGCGGCGACCGCGCAGGGAGAGGAGGGGAGGGGAGGGGAGGGGAAGCCCCTCCGTCCCGCCCGGCTCCTCCAGGGCCGTGACAGCTAATCTGAGAGGCTCCCCGGCTGGGCGTGTCTCTGCGGTTGCCGACTCAGGCGCTCGATTTACAACTGGGGAAACTGAGGTCAGGAGAGCTGAGCCTCCGGCGGGGCGCAGCGACTGGGCGGCACGGAGGACGCTGTCCCATGCTCCGGGCTGATCTGGCCTTCAGGGAGGAGGCGGAGCCCAGGGAGAGGCTGGAAATCAGGGTCCCCACCCACCCTGCCCAGCCCAGCCTGGCCCGGCCCGGCCCAGCCCAGCGCGCCCTGGGCACCAGAGGAGATTCCGGAGCCCGGAGGCTCAGGGCTGCTGGTGACGGCGCCCAGGCTGGAGGGTCCCCGTGAGGCAGGGGGAGCCTGATGGCCAGGAAACAAAGCACAGAAACTTCTCCGCCTCCTCGCTGGCCCGAGGACGCCCCCTCCTCCTGCGCAATACAGGGCTGCTCCGAGCGCCGAGGCGGAGGCGGGCGGGACCCTGCTGAAGGTCACCGGGCCGAGGGACAGCAATGCGGCTCCTGGGGTGCGGGTCACCAGGGGCTGCGGGACCGCAGAAACCGTGGTGGCGACCTTGGCTGCCCAGATTCCTGTCTGAGCAGGGCCCACCAAAGACAGCTCTATGGGCTGCCGTCCCCAAGCGGGGCGCCCCCCAGGACCCCCTGCAGCCCCCGCCCCGCGCCTGAACGCCCACCCACCTTCTTCGGCGGCCTGGGGCGGAGGGCTTTCCTCCTGGCAGCCGGGAGGCTCCCGAGTGCCTCCATCATTTTTTTTTTTTTTCCCTCTTTTCTTCCAAATATTCTAAAAATAGCTTCCCCCTCCTGGGCCCCAGCCCAGAGCCGCCGTGAACGGCTCCGGGCTCCCGGGGCGGGGGGTGGGTGGGGGGATTTCTCGAGCGGGCGGGGCGGGGACCCCGATGGCGAGAGAAGAGGCGGGGACCCCTCCCCTCGTGCGAGCCGCACGCGCTCGGGGCGCCGCCGGCGTGGCCGTGACTGGCGCGCAGGGATGGGGAACAAAGAGGGGCGCCCCGGGCAGAGATCAGGAGACCCGGGGCGCCGCCCAGCATGTCGGGGGTGACATCAGACACCCGAAAAAGTCAGGAGGACGAGGGGACCAGGGCTCTCCGATCCTTGAGGGGTCCCCTTCCACCCTGAGGACCCCCAAATGGACCTCCGATCCCTCCCCTGTCCCAAAGCTAGTTCTGTCTGCTCTGTCCCTTCTCCGTGGCGCAATTTTGTCCCTGTGACGGTCACATCCCTGTCCTGCAAGCCGTCCTCCTCTCCCTCTCTCATACGCCGTACCCTGGGGAGGACCCTGAGTTTCCCCAGGCACCAACAATCCCTGCCTCCCACCCGGTGCGCCAGGCCCGGCACCCTACAGAGCCATCCGGCCACGCCCATCTCGTGTCCCGGCGCCTGCGGCCCTTTCCGGGTCTCCCCACCCCGTTCCCGTCTCTGCCCCGTCCAAAGGCCTGCGGAAAGGGCCCCTGCTGCGGGCGCGTCGCCCCGGTTTTCTCGCTGCTCCCAACCCCGGGGTGATCTGATCACCGCTTCATCCCCCGCCTGCCCAGGACACGAGGACCTCAGGGTCACGCTGCGAAGGGGCGCAGGGCCGACCCGGAGGGCTGGGGACTGGCACAGCCCCACTCCGAGCCAGGGCCGCACGTTCCCTACCGAGGCGGCTAAGCCCGTGTAGTGTCTTCGGCTGGGAAAACGGTCCACGGGGACCGCGTCCCGGCCGCTGAGCCAGGCTGGAGGGGGCAGTTTCGATGGGAGAGGAAGAAAAGCAGAGAAGCGTGAAGTGTTCCGGGCAGCGCTTGGGGGCGGCTCAGGGCCGGGGTCCCGCGGGGGCTGCCCTTTCCCCTTTATTAGCTTTCCGCGGTGTTTTATTATCTCCCACTTTCTGAAATCCGTGGGAAGGATGAAAGGGAAATTGCTTTGTTGAAAGAGACAAAGGCCAGACAGGGTGTGCGCCCCCTGGAACGAGGATGCGGCTGTCCGCGCAGACACGAACCGTCCCTCCCCGGCTCCCACTGCGCGCCCGGTGCTTCCGCGAGCAGGGCTGGAGGGGGGCAGGGCCCCCGGCGCGGGAGGCGCAGAGCCCTGAGGTCCCGGGTGCCTGCTTGTGTGTGTGTGTTCGCCTCGGGCTGCGTTCAGGGACCGGGAGACGGGAAGTGAGGGGCGCAGAATCCCTCAACTAAAAACCAAGTTTAAATGGGAGCCCTGTAATTTCTTTCTTTAGAGTCCATTTCTGAGACCTGCAGACCTGAAGCCGGGACCCAGGGCTCCCGCTCTCCGGCCCCGCAGGCCGAGGTGCTGGGGGGAGGAGGAGCCGCAGGTGCCCAGCCTCCTAGGGGCCCCCACCCCCCGCCCCGTCCCCGCCTAGGGCTCTTTGTCCCTCTCCGCCTCGAACAGCTTCCCTCGCCCCAGTCCCCTCCCCCTGCTGTCCCCGCCTTTGTTCTCTCCCCACCTCCACCGCACTCTTCATCTTCCCGGCCACTCGCGCCCCGTGCCCTCCCCGCTCCTCCGCCTTCCCCGGGGTCCCTTCGGCGCACGAGGGGAACCCCGGCCGCTGGTCGCAGCCCCGCGCACGCGCACAGCCGCCGGCTTTCCCGAGGCCGCCTCCGCCCCCGCACTGCGGCCCGCGCGCCTGGTTGTCAAGGCGACGGTGGGGGCCGGAGCGGGAACCCCGGGAAGACCCCGCTCGTGCTCCCTCCTCTGCCACCCCTTCGCGAACCCCACTCCGGTTTGAGCCGGTTTCCCCGCCCCGCCTCCACTGCGCACTGTGGCGGGAGAGGATTCCCTGGCCCCGCAGGTGAAGGGGGAGACCGGTGGGGGTCCGCGCATGCGCCCCGCTTCTCCCGCTCCGGCGCGCGAGGGGGAAGCCCTGGCGCCGGAGACCCGCAACCTTGACGCAAGCGCAGTGAGCGACCAGAGGCTTCGCGGCCCCATCCGGTCGTCCTGGCAACGCGAGCTGGGAGAGCACGGAGCTCCCCTTTCACGCCCTCTCCTGAAGCCGGGGATTCCCTGCTGCTGGCGCGCTTGCGCACACTCGGGATTCCCGTGGGGGCGTGGCCGGTTCGAGAAAGGTCTTTTGTGTAAAAAGGAGCAAATGTGTTATCTTTGTCTTTAGTTGTTGAGGGTTGACAGCGATCCTCCGGCTCCGGGCCTATTACCTTCATCCTGGCCAGCGCTTTCACAGGCTTCTGGAGACCATGCCTCGAGCGGTTCCCTCCCTCCCGAAACCGCCTTGGCTCCCACAGCCCCGCGCTATGCCCGCTCCTCGTTTCGCTTGGCCGCTTCTGAAGTCGATTCACACTGATCACCTCCCCTCCTCCCCGCCACCAGGATCCCAACTCGCGCACGTGGGAGGCTCCTCGCCAAACCCTTCTTGGGGACCTGCTCTTTCCAGGCGCCAGGTCGCGGTTCTCCACACCATCTAGGGTTGGGCACTTGGGGGGGGGCAGAGTCTCGCTATGTAGCCCAAACTGGCCTCGAACTCTCGCGATCCTCCTGCCTCATCCTCCTGAGTGCTGGGATGTTGGGCGTGCACCACCACGCCCGACTTGGGCACTGTCTTTAGTCCCATTTTATAGGGGAGGAAACTGAGGTTTAGACCCCCGAGGCCCGTGCCCGAGGCCTTGGAAGAGGCAGAGGTGGGAGGCCTGGCTGCGTACCATGATGTTCCTTTCCCCGCAGCTCTGAGCGCTCCGCCAGCTGGGGGACACAGGCAGCCTTACTCTCCCTGTCTGTAACGAGGTTCCATTCGCCAGGGGCTGCGGCAGGTTCAGCACGGTGCTGCGGCGCTTGTGTGGACAGAGCCCAGCAGCCGGTGGCCCCACGTGTGCTCCTTGGTGCCCTACCTTCCCGGAAAGCTTGTGTGGGGTGCTTCTCTCCTGTGTACACCACCTGAGCAACCTCCAAACCGAGCCTGTGCTTCACCTACTTTGGGTAGTTTTTTTCCCCTCAGTGTTAGGGATGAACCCAGGCCCGCACATGCTCACAAGCGCTCACACTGGGCTGCACCCCAGCCTCATGCTCAGCCCGATCCTCACATGTTCAGCTGTCTCCAATCATCAATGGCTCTTCTTCCTTGCACAGAGGGTGACAGCCAGGTCTTTGCCAGTAGGGCTCCTTCTGCCACTCCTGAGGCTTGCCTGGGTGAAGAACTCCTATGCATCCTTCAGCGCCCCTCCCACAGGAGGCCTTCCCCTACCTCCACTAGAGCCCAGCCTCGACACCTCAAAACTGGGGGCGTCTGTGGGGTCTACATTCACCCATCTTTCTTCTTTCCTTTATTCTGAGGGCTAAATTCAGTACTGGCTGCACTATGCACTACAACCCCTGCCCTTTTGGGGGAGGTGTCTTGATATGTTGCCCAGGTGGGCCTCAAATTTGCGATTCTCCTGCCTCAGCCTCCAGAGTAGCTGGAATTAAAGGCTGCAATCTTTTTGCCAGAAGAAGCAAAAGGGCAGAGGGAGTTCAGCTGGCTGTGTCTGAGATTCTGTGGACAAGGAGGCGGGAGAAGGAACTGAGGGGCAGGGCAGGGCGGAGAGAGGGGGTGCCACCCGGGTGGGAGCTGTAGGGGCGACCTGGTGAGTGATTCAACCTGCTCTCGACCCTTGCGCCTCAACTTGCCCATCATGGGTGGGCTCAATCGCAGGACTCTCCCAGGCCTGGCACCCAGCAGGTGCTCAACACAGCCCTTCCTTCACGCGATGGCATCTGCGGCGCCGGGAGCTGCTTTGCCCTGTGCCCCAGCCGCCCGCTAAGCGCTGCAGACGTTCAGACCACTGCCCTCGAGCCCAGTCTGGACGGAACGGCTCCTTTCCACTCGGGCCTCCGCTGGCAGGTTTAATGAGGGCCCCTGCTGGCTGCGCGCCAAGCGCTGTGCACCCCAGGGCTGCGCAAGCGCTTCTGAGCCAGCGCAAGGCGGGCCTGCCCCTCCCCCATAGGCATCAAGGGCATACAGGCCTCGCGCAGCCTCGCCTGCCTTTATTGGGCGCTCAGGCCTGGGCACGAACGAACGCGCGGTGTCGCCGAGGAGGGAGGGGACCCTCTGTCCCGAGGTGGCGGTGATGGCGCCGGGGTCCCGCACTGCTCTGCGATCCTGGTGGCCGAGCCAGCGGGAGGACGAACAGGGTGTCGGCCTGGCCCGAGGAGAGGGGCGGCGCCCCCAGTTCTGGTCTCACTTGGGAGCATTGAAGGGCAAGGCCCGCTGGTTCATGGGGTTCTCCGGGGAGCGCAGCCATTCCTTCTTCAGCAGCTGCTTCAGCTGCGACAGCCGCATGTTGGGGTTCTCCTGCTTGAGTCGGGGCAGCTGGGCCTCCTCGAAGGCTGTGAAGGCCGCCCGCATCCGGCGCTCGGGGTGCCGGTCGGCCTCCTCCGCCACACTGCAGCCGACAGGGGGCGCATCAGCACGGCCGAGCCCCGGCCCCAGGCCCCGCCCCCGAGGCCGTACCCCCATTCTGGAGGTCTCGCTCCCACCCACATCCTAGCCCCGCCCCGTACCTGAGCACGGCGATGGCTTCCTCGATGGTGCGCGCCTCCACGCTGCCCTCCTCCTGCACGCGGCGGTTCACGTTCTCCTCCAGCGGCACCTCTAGGTGGCTCCTGGCTTTCTCTGTCGGGGGCAGGCAGCGACCGGGGTGGGGGGTGACAGAGAGTCAGCAGAGGCACAGGGTTCCGGGGGAAGGTGCAGGGGCCGCCCCCTGGTCTGTCCCCCCCCTGCCCCCCGCGGCCGGCTGGCGCCCACCTGGCTCCGGGGCCTCGCGCTGCGGGTGCTCGCGGCGCAGCGACCCCTCGATCTGCGCGCGTGTGACCTTGCCGGGGGCCGGCGCCCGGGCCGCCTTCCCGCTCTTGAGCTTCAAGTCCTCCTCCTCCAGCAGGCGCTGCGTCTCCTTCTTGCGCTCCAGCTGCTCCAGGCGCCGCTTCTCCTTCTCCTCCTGCGGGCGAGTCAGGGCGGCTAGGGACAGCGCCGTACCCCGCAGCCCTGGCGCGTCAGACCCCTGCCGGCGCGGGGCACAGGGGAACATCCGGGGAACCTCTGGCAGAGCGGGCGGGCGGCTTTCGAAGTGACACCTGGGCCAGAGCAGAGCTGGCCAGGTGAGATCCAGGGGTGCCTCCGGGCAGGGCATGGTGGGTGCAGAGGTCCTGGGGCAGGAACCACAGACTCGGGGCAGCTTGGGCGCTGGTGTGGCTGGAGGGGCAGGGATGTGGGAGCCCCAGGGACATAGGGAGGGGTCAGCTTTGGATCCAAGCACTGGGGAGTCCAGGGGTACACTGTCCCACTGGCCCCTACCCAGCACCACTGAGACTGGGGTGCAAGCCCACAGGACCTCCAGGGAAGCCCTGGTGCCGCTGAGGAGGGTTCAACAGGCCTCTGGGCTTGTCCTCAGCTACCGCTGCCACCCACAGGGTGGGGGCTCTGGGTCCTGCACAGCACGGCCACAGGCTCGGCACTGCCCCGCCCCTGGGGACCCCTGCTCGGGACTCTGCTGTCTGTTCCTGACCTGGAGGAACAGAGTTCTGGGAGGGGGACCCCATGCCTGACTCCTACCGGAGGAAGGGGGTGTTAGAGTCGATGTCTTTGAAGGCAGCCACCAGGCACCTTAGGCAGGGCCCCTGGACCCCGAGCCTCAGTTTCTCCATCAGAGCCAACAGCCTCCTGAGGCTCCAGACCCACACAGGACCGTGCACGTAGCACAGCACTTGCCGCCAACACCACCATGCCCCAGGGCCTTTGCAAGGCAATTCTCAGCCTGGAGAGCCCCGCCCACCCCCTGGCCTGCTGAAGTACCCCCCTGCTCCTGCCCTGCCCTTCCCCACAGCATGCTTGCACCCCGAAGTTTTGCCCAGGTCTCATGAGCTCCCTTGTCCCGGGGCGGGGGCCAGGCAGAGGGGGGATGCTGCCTTCCAGGGCCTGCTGGGTGCACAGCAAGGCTGTGAACACAGGAGAGGGTGCTGGACAAATGTCCCTGAAGTTCCTGTGGTGGGAACTTGCCCCAGGAGGGCTGCTGAGGCCCGGGTCCCATGGGTACTGAAGGTGAGGCCAGTGTTGGCATGGGTGACTTGATGGTGACCCGAGCTGGCACCTGAGAGGCCGTCACTATGCCGCACAGAGCCCCGGCCGGGGCTGCCACCTCCACGGTAGGCTCCGAAGCCCCAGAGCCTGAGCGGAGCCAGACTTAAGTGTTTGCTCTGTGGCGCTGCGGATGGAGCCCGGGCACCGGGTATGCTAGGCAAGTGTTCCTCCACCGAGCCACACCCCACAGGGGCTTGGTAAGCGGCACCTTGGGCTTCATCTTGTGATCCTCCTGCCTCAGCCTCCCCAGTTGCTGGGATCACAGGCATGCACCACTACACCCCACTTAAACCTGTATTCTTTTTTTTTTTTTTTTGGTACCGGGGATTGAACTCCGGTCCTTGAGCTTGCGCAGCAGGCAGTGAAACCACTGAGCTAAATCCCTGGCCTGATCCCTGTAAGTCTGAGGCCAACCTGGGCTACAAAGTGAGACCAGTCTCAAAAACCAAAACAAACAGGGCCGGGGATTTAGCTCAGTGGTTCCACTGCCTCGCAAGTGCAAGTTCCTGGAGTTCAATCCCCGGTACCAAAAAAACCCCAAAACAAACAAATAAAGAGCCAAACCTAGTGGTGCATGCCTATAACCCCAGCACTCAGGAGGCTGAGGCAGGAGGATCGCCTCGAGGTCAAGGCTAGCCTGGGACTACATAGTGAGTTCAAGGACAGCGTGAACTATATAGCGAGATCCTGTCCCCAAAAAACAACAAAATTTTAAAAATGTAAAAAAAAAAACAATGTAAAAATGTCCCCGGATCCAGTGCAGCGTGGTTGAGAGCTGGCGACACTGAGGATTCACGAATATAGGCAGGACAGGGTTATGGGGTCCCAGGCCGGGGACTGGAGCTGCGGGCAAGGCGGGTCGCGGGCGCCATCTGCTGGGCGCTGCGGTGAACACCGGGCCGGGCGCGAGAAGGCCGTGCTGCAGAGCCTGTCAGCGAGCCGGATCTCACAGCAGGTTTGGGCCGTGCTGCTGCTGGTCGCTCTTTCCTGGATGCCAACAGCACCGGCACAAGGTGACAACCAAACATGCCTCCAGCCCAACCCCAGTACTTCTCCAAAGACACGAAGCATGTGCGTGGGATCCCCGCGCCCCAGGGGCTTTGCATAGCCAGAGCCTGCCCGCGGCTCACCTTGCGTTGCTCCTTCCTCATGACGTGTTTGTCCTCATCCCTCCAGTACGCATCCTCCAGCTCCTTCTGCTTCCGGGCATCGGCCGCAGCCTTAGCCTCAGCCCTGCGCGCCCGGGCTGCCGCCGACTTGGTGTTCTCGCCCTGGAACTTCTTGGGCATCCCTCAGCAGCTGCGGGGGTGTTGTGTGTATGTGTGTGAGTCGGTCGGGTGGAGGGGCCGCCGTGACGGCAGGGTTAGATTCCCGATACGTCAGTGTCTCCTACGTAGCCCAAGCTGGCCTTGAGATCTCGGTGATCCTCCTGTCTCAGCCTCTGGAGCGCTGGGATGACAGGTATGTGCCACCACGCCCGGCTCTCGGTGCACCTTGAGCCTCGGGTTCCTCATCTGAGACGTGGGGCGATTCCAGCCCCCCAGGTGGGATGTGGTCACATGAGCCTGACCCCCGCTCTGCCTCAGTCTCTGCACCAAAGGCTGACCGCGCGCCACGCAGGTTCACACCACAGGACCTTGGCACCTGCTCTGCAACCCGCCCCCTGTGGGCTTTGGCTTTTTTCCTAGTAAACTTCGGGGGCCCTGATCAAATGTCGCCACCTCCAGGAAGCCCTCCCTGAGACCCTGGAGATTCCTGATTCACACCACAAACCTCTTCGAGTTACTGTGGGTGACTGTGTTCGTTTCATTTATGATTTTTTTTTTTTAGTACTAGGGATAGAACTCGGGTCCTTGTGCTTGCGCAGCAGGAGGCGAAACCACTGAGCTACATCCCCGGCCCCTCATTTATGATTATTTGACGAAGGTCCATCTTCCCGTCAGGCTGGGAATGAGAAGGTGCTGTCTACATGGCAGGGCGAGAACTCTCACAGCGAACTCAACTAGCAGCCACCTTGCTCTTGAATTTCCCAACGTCTAGAACTGTGACAAAAATCTATTTCTGTTGGGTAAGACACCTAGTCGGCTTTTTTCTGTACTGAGGATTGACTCCAGGGCCTTTACATGAGCTACACCGCCAGCCCTTTTTATTCTATTTGAGACAGTGTCTCACTAAGTTCCCCAGGCTGGCTGAGGTAGGTGGATCACAAGTTTGACCCCAGCTCAGGCAACTTAGTGAGACCCTGTCTCAAAAAAAGGTCTGGGATGCAGCTCAGTGCGAAGGTCCTGAGTTCAATCCCCAGTACCGCGCCCGGGTGGGAAGATTTGAGCCCGCAGCGGGGTGCAGGAGCAGGCTGGAGAAGGGGTGGTGGAAGTGGTGGAGCCATCAGGGGCGGGGCCCACGCCTGTGATTGACAGATGCAGCGGGAAGGAGTGGGGGGCAGGCAAGGGTCCCGCGGAGGGTCTCTGACAAAGCGATCTCTAGGCAGAGGGAAGAGCCCGGGACAAGGCGCAAGGCTGCCTCCTCCGAGCAGCCCTCCCGCTGCCCACAGGTCCCCGCCCCGCGCTTGTCCAGCACCGGAAGCCGCTCTGGGGCGGTGCGGGCTCCATGGCCTCCCAAACGGCGCCGTCTCCCAGGACTTCAGACCTCAGGTTCGGGAAATGGGCACAGCCTCCCTGGAAGCTGTCGACAGTGGGCGCCAGAAGCGGCCGCGTTCCGGACCGCCCCGCCCCGGGCTGCGCCGGGATCGATCCCAAAGCCAGGCACCCCCGCCGCCCGCCAGACCCCACACCCGGGCTCCGCCCGCGCCGCGGCCGCTCCTACCTCCTTCCCCCAGCGCCCGCTCGGTCGCGCCTCCCTGACGTCACTGCGGAGCCTGCGCACTGTCCTCCGGGCGGCGCGCGTTCCCTACGTTTCAGCGTGGTCGACATCTTGGTAAAGGAAAGGTGTGCTGGCCTTGGGTTTAAAGGAAAAGTTCTCAACTATTTTTTATCTTTTAAAAGAGGGTATTCATAAGCCTTTGTTCTCTGCGCCCGATTTATATATCGAGGAACCAGGAAGGCGGGTAAAGGCTAAAATCGTGAACACTGCCTTTACCAAGATGGCCGCTCCCAGAAAAAAGATGGCGGCCACGGTTTCACCCGTGGTCTGACAAGTGTTGCCCGGCCTCTAGGGGGCGCCCGCGGTCCATGCCCTGAAGTGGATCCCTATGTTGTGGAGGACTCCTTTCCTTTCAGCCTTTAGTAGTCACTTTAGGCTGTGAAAGCGCTCTCCTGGCCCAAACCCTGTGCACCTCACTGTGAATCTTATGGTGGGGGAGAGAAGGGAGCATGATATTAACACTGCCTGTGGTGTCCAGGTGGGGAAACTGAGGCTCGGGGGACTTTACTGCAAACTGAATCACTTTTAACCTCTCAAGATTGTGGACCCACTGGGAGTGGTGGCACATGCTTGTTATCCTGGCACTGTGTAGACTAAGGCAAGAGGATTGCCACAAGTTCGAGGCCAGCTTGGGCTACATAGCCAGACTTTGTCTCAAAGAACAAAAAACAAAAGATATGGACCCAATGATGAGACCAAACGCTGATCTCCAGTGAAGGAAATGTTTGTCTTGGCCAAGAAAGGAAGTCCAAGATAACACTTAAAATCAACCTCTCAACTCATCGAGGCTCTGGAGATCATAGGTATGGGGTAAGAGAAATGAGGTAATGGGCTGGAGGGGAGTTTGGATATGATCTCTTTACACTTGGGTGATTGTTTCCCATCATTGTCATGGCTACTGTCAACTATTGTGGCACTGGGGCTTTTGCTGAGCTCTAGGTGGATTATGGTAAAGATTGAGGGCACCTAGCGGTCACTCCCAGCCAGTTGGGGCTGGACAAGGGGAGAAGAGCTTCTGTGGCCAGGCACCTTGTCCCCAAAGACAAACAAGGAGAGGCGGAAGTGAGCACCTAGCTAGGCCAAGGCAGAACATGGTCCCGGGAGCAGAACGGGTCCTCTTTCTTATTTTCACTCTCATTCCTTCTTCTTTTTTGAGACAGGGTCTCACTACGTTGTCCAGGCTGACCTAATAGTGAGACCCTGTCTCAAAACTAAATAAATAAATAGAAAAACATTTTAAACAGCAAAACCCTAAGTCAGAGCACAGAGCAGAAGCTGGCTGAGAGGAAGCAGAATGCAGATATCTGTGTGCCCCTGGGGACATTAACCACTGGACTGGGACGGATCAGGGGTCCAGTGTCTACGTTCCAGCCCTAAAGGCCTTGTTGGTGACTGGCTCTGGCGAAGCCAATGCCAGGAAGCCTGAGCCCGAAAGCCACTTTATACAATCAAAGGAACAGTGTTCCACGGCTACCGGTTTAGCACACAGAGCCACACCTGACACTTTTATTTAATTTGGGGCTTTTGGGGGGGGGTTGTTTGTTTGTTTTTTTGGTACGGGGGATTGAACTTGGGACATTGCTCTTGCAAGGCAGGTGGCGGAACCACTGAGCTAAGTCCCTGGCCTATTTTGGTTTTTTGAGACAGGATTTCCCTATTTAGTGCAGGCTGGCCTTGAACTCTCAGCAATCCTCCTGCCTCAGCCTCCTGCATGCTGGGATTACAGGTGTGCACCATTGTGCCTGGGGTCTTCAGTTTTTTTCCCCTAGCAATGGCAGGGAGGGTCAGGGTCTTGCTGGCTTCCTGGCTTCTGTGGGAAGTGTGGGAACCTCATCTTTGGTCAGGGGTGGGTTATGGCTGTCCCCTCCTCCCTGGGGGCTTCGAGGTCCCCACAGCAGGGGCTGGGAGACCGCAGACCTGCAGGGCCCTGGGTCCTGGCCAACCTTGGAAGGCAGGGCCGGGGCAGGGATTGGCTGTGGGCTCCAGGCTTCTGCACTGACACCCAGAGGGTCAGTTTCGTGTTGGTCTGCAGTCTGTTGTTTTGGATTTTGTTTTGTGGGGTTTTTGTTTTTCCTGTGCTGAAGATGGAACCCAGGGCCTTGGGCAAAGAACTGACACTGACCTAGGTCGCAGTCCTTTTCATAGTCTTTCTCTTTTGTTTTCTCCTCCCCTCCCTCTTTCTTTCTCCTTCCTTCCTTTTTAAAATTTGTTTTTCTTTTGGTACTGGGGGTTGAACTCAGGTCCTTGAGCTTGTGCAGCAGACGGTGAAACCACTGAGCTAAATCCCCGGGCCTTTCTTTTTTTCAAAAACAGCTTTTAGCTTCCTGACTCCTCCAAAGAAAACACAGATGGCATCTTCCCTGAGGACCAGAGCAAGGGCCAGGAGCTTGCGTTCCCTTTTGTCCCTGAGGAGGTCTCTGGAAACAGCAAAAACTGGAAAAAGAAGCCGTGCTCTGTGAGCTTGCTTTCTTGTTGATTGGTAGCTTTCTTTTGTTCTCCTCTGCCGTCCTCCTCTTTTTTCTTTGTTGCTGGTTTTTGAGATCAGTCTCAAGATGTAGTCCTGGCTGGCCTCCACCATGAAACGAGCCTCCTGCCTCAGCCTCCCATATGCAGGGTTGACAGGCATGCGCCGGGGCCTCTCTGCAGGGAGAAGGGCTGAGCTGGCTGTGTCCCTTCTGGGTCACCGAATCTGCCATCCCTGACTCCATGCTTTCCCCTCACAGAGTTGTGAAACCGAAGATCAGATGGAGCCCCAGTTAAGGAGCAAAGATTCTGCTCTTGGCCAAGAGTAAGGGAAATGGGAGATGACGTCGCCGATCTGCTTCCCACCCGTTGGTGTCGGGTCCCGCGGGGGAACGCGATCCTGCTGTGTCACGGAGCTGTCACCGCGCCCAGGTAGACTGTGGCCGGTTGCTCCCGGCCGTCGCAGTGCCAGCCAGTTTGGGCCGGGTCCTGGGAGGATGTGGGCAGACTCCTGTCCCCAGCGACAGAGCAGGCCAGGCAAGGGGATGTCCAGCCCCGCAGGGTCAGGGTGCTGAGGGGCCGGAAGCCGAGTCCTCAGTGGAACCTGAGTGACTATTTCTGTCTCCTTTTTCCTGAAGGCCCCGCTTTCCGGGTTGCAGAACCCTAACCCCTGTTCATGTTCTTTCCATTTCCCTTTCTTCCTCTTTCTCTGCCTCCTGTTCCTCTGCTGCTTCTGTCAGCAATCCGTTCCTTGGCGCCGCTCTGCCAGAGGCCCTCCTGCCTCAGCTTCTCTGCACTTCCTGGGCTTGGTGTCCCCCTGGGGACAGGTGGCTCTGTCCTGCCTTAGGGAAGAGGCCCATGTAGGGACTCTGGGCACTGGAGGGCGCGCCCTCAAACCCCAGGGGCAGCCTGGCCCACGCTGCCCTGGCCTCCCAGCTCTAGCACCGCCCACGTGAGGCCCCAGCACCCCGCAAGTCTCTGCCTCCCTTCCCGCCTCCCCTCCCTCCAAATTACCAGACACTGCCCTGCCTGAGTCACTCTGGTCCTCCCCCGCCCCGCTGTTCGGGTAAGGGGCGTGGCCCCACAATCGGGGCGGGGCTCAGTCCTCGGGGCGGGGCTCAGTGGGTGCGAGTGGAATTCGTAGGTTCGCATGCGTGTGGCTATGGGCTCCCTACCCGCGTCTTTGTGTGTGTGTGTGTGTGTGTGTGTGTGTGTGTGTGTGTGACGTGATAATGTATGTAATTCACTATATAATTCAGGATATCCTTGAACTCACAGCCCAGGCTGGCCTTGAACTCATAGCGATCCTCCTGCTTCAGCCTCCCAAGTACTGGGACTCCAGGCATGCTGCACCCTGCCCCACATTCTGCTCAGCGTTTTAAACCAGGAAGGGCCGAGGATTTAGCTCAGCGGTTCCCAGGCCTGCCTCGCAAGCGCAAGGTCCCGAGTTTGATTCGCAGTACCAAAAAAAAAAAAAGTATTTAAACCAGGAGGCGCTTAATGAGTACCCATCGCAGGCTCCACAGAGACAGGTGCAGGCGCATCGCACCTTCCCGAGGTCAGGGAGCCCTTACCGGATACAGTTAATCAATGGTCGTTGTTGCTAATGTTCACGAGGTCAAAGAGCTTTTGGAATTGCTTAAAGAGGGCTTAAAAATGTAAGCAATGTGGCACGCTGCACTCATTCGCCTGTGAACCCAGCACTCTGGGGGGAGGCTGAGCCAGGGATGCTCAAGGTGGAGCCCAGCCTGGGCAACTTAGTGGCTTTAGCAAGACCCTGTCCCAAAATAAACAGACAATTACAAAAAAGCCCCTTGCCCCCCCAAAAGCTCAACAAAACCCGAACAAACAAAAATTATGAGGTTATAGTCAGTGAAGTGGTTATAGTGAGATTATAGTCGAATAAAATTTATATTCTATTTGCCATCATAGTTATAAAGAGAGAGTATACAATTTAAAGCGTACAGTGCAATAGATTTCTTCTGAAAGGGCTTAATTGTGTAATTTATGTATCAAGGCACAAATCATTCAGACTTTAGGAGCTGCTGAAAATATCATTTCCAAATCCTTAATAATTGATCTCAGGAGACAAATTTTAAGGCACTTAGTTAATGGGAATCTGTGGATCCCTGGGGAATTTGTTTTTTGAGACCAGGTCTCACCATGTAGTTCAGGTTGATCTTGAGCTTGCTGCGATCCTCCTGCCTCAGCCTCCCAAGTGCTGGGATGACAGGCGAGAGGTGACAGACATGCGCCGGCCAAGCCCTTGGGCCATGTAGATTTGTATGTGTGGTTCTGGGGATGGAACCCAGGGCCTTTCCCATGGTAGCCAAAAGCTCTATCTCTGATGTGCTGCAGCTGCCATGTATATATATTTTAGTACCGGAAATTCGTAAAGTCATATAATTTAGGGTCCATGGGAGAAAATAGCTAAGCCTTTCCAGTCTTTTCTCATGAGTGGAGAAAGAAATATAAAAAGAAGCAAAATATCTACTACTTGGTTAAAGATGATAAGATAAATGGTTGGATATAGTAAGCAGAATAATTTCAGAGAAATACAAATATTGACGCAAGATAAAGGATATGGGGTGTTTGTTTTGTATGAAAGTCATTAGGTCTATCAAGATGGCAAACTCTAGGTACCGCATTTGTTTGCTTCCATGACAAATTACATTTGAACTTGATTATTCGGAAAGTCATCATTAAGAGCATTACGGTTATTAGACATTCTTCCTTTTTTCTTCATACTTTTTTTTTTTGGTACTGGGGATCGAACTCGGGTCCTTGCACTTGTGCAGCAGGCGGTGAAACCACTGAGCTAAATAAATCCCGAGCCCTCTTCCTTTTTTCTTATTTTTGCAGTGTTGGTGAGGGACCCCAGGGGCTTGGACATCCCATGAAAGTGGAACCACCAAGTCACCCCGCGCTGTCTCTTTGGCTGTTTTAAAATAGCCTTCAAGGGCTGGGCACAAGGACACACCCATCATCCCAGCACTTGGGAGGCTGAGGCAGGAGGACCGCAAGCTCAGCCTGGGTAACTTAGCAACTTCCTGAGATCCTGTTTCAAAATATTTAAGAAAAAATACCAAAAACTACCGTCACTAGGGTTTTTTCATTTATCAATTGGAGATTAAAACACATGAAAAATGCGAGGCTTCGTGTGCTTAGGCTGGTTCTATATAAGTGAAACCTGCTAATATAAATATCTTTCTCTCTGTAACTCTGGGCTTTGTGAATGGAAAGAAACACAACCATGCTGGACCACAAACATTAGTGTGATAATCAGCTCCAAAAAGAAATTGTTAGCTGGGTGTGATGCCGCACACCTGTAACCCCAGCAGCCCTTGGGAGGCTGAGGCAGGAGAATCTCAGAGAGTTCAAGACCAGCCTGGATGGCACAGCGAGGACCCTGTCTCAAAAAAGAAAATAAGAAAAATTGTTTCCAGACTGAAGATCCCCAGAGTCTTTTCTTCCTTGTTCGAGGAAAAGGCTGGAGATGGGATACAGCTGCGGGGGGGAGTGGTTGCTCAGCAGGTGTGAGGCCCTGGATTCCATCTCCAGCACCAAAAATCAAACAGACAAAATATTGTAATACAAGTTCTTCAAGGTTAAAAACAAAACAAATAAAAACAAGTTAATTAAGATTTTTTGCCAGTGTGGCGGGACAAGTCTGTCATCCCAGCTACACAGGAGGCCGAGGCAGGAGGATCTCAAGTCTGAGCTCCGCCTGGGCAGCTCAGTGAGACCCTGCCTCAAAATAAGAAATAAAAATGTCTGACTAGAAGCCAGGCACACCCCTGTCATCTCAGCCCTTCGGAGGCTGAGGCAGGAGGATCCCACTGAGTTTGAGACCAGCCTGAGCTACACAGCGAGACCCTGTGCCCCCTAAAAATAATAAATAAAACAAAAAGGACTGGGCATGTAGTTCAGTGGGAAGGTCCTGACTCAGTTTCTGGTACTGCAAAAGAATGGATCAAATATAGAGCCACAGTGGTTTCTGTGGCCGTGGGCCTTGGGCGACTTCTTCTGGCTCCTCCTGTGTCCCTGCACATGGGTGGCAGCCCTGGCCAGAGTCGGGCCTAACCCTATGTACACAGAGCGCTTCTGCTACGGAGTCCTGGTGTGGTCAGTGCACCCAGCCCTGCAGGAGTGGCAGCCAGCACTGAGGCTGTCTCTGGCCTAAGAGTCCGTGTGTCCTTAGCGAGGCGTCAAGCTTTCTATTTTTTATATATTGATTTTTTTTGTGTGGTGCTGTGGGAAACTCAGGATCTCACACATGCTAGGCAGCCATGCACCGCTGAGCTGTGCCCTCAGCCCTTTTTATTTTGATAAAGCGTTTCCTTAAATTGCTAAGCTCCCCAGGTTGGCCTCAAATTCGAGACCCTCCTGCCTCAGCCTCCCAGAGTGCTGGGATCATGGGTGTGCCCTCCCCAGCTGCCCCAGGCTTCGTCAGAACCCTTGATGGCTGGCATTGGAAATGCTCCGGATGCGAATGGCCCTTGCACGCCTGTCCCCCTGTCTGTCCTGTCCTTGTGAGGGCGCAGGCTGCCTCTGGAAGCCAACAAACCAGTTCCAGTTTATTTCCCAGCCGGGATTTCACTGAAGGCGCTGGAGGGGGACTTATGCAGTGACCAGGTCTTTCCACGTGACATCCTGCCATGGCTCACATCACAGTCCGGGACCTCGGCCAGAGGAAGGAGCAGACCTGCAGGTCGGGGCGCCTCCGAGCCTGGACCCGCTTCCCCTCCTTCCTGCCTCTCCTTTTCATCTTTCTTTGGTAGTAATAAGCATTGCGCTCCAGCTGTTTGCCCTGAGCTACACCCCCAGCCCATTTTTGTGGGGTTTTTTGGGGTTTTTTTGGTACTGGGGATCGAACTTGGGTCCTTGCGCTTGCGCAGCAGGCGGCGAAACCACTGAGCTAAATCCCCGGCCCCCCAGCCCATTTTTATTTGTTTTTCCTTTTTCTTTTCTTTCCTTCTTTTTTTTTTTTGAGACAGGGTCGTACCGTGTAGCCCAAGCTGGCCTTGGACGCATGGCGGTCCTCCTGCCTCGGATTGTAGGTCGGCACCACCACGGCCATCAATGGCCCTCTTTCCCTTCTTCTTCTCTCCTCCCTCCTTCCTTTCTGTCCCCCTTCCCTTCTCCTTCCTCCTTGGTTTTGGTGCTGGGATGAAGCCCAGGGCCTCCCGCATGCTATGCAGTGCTCTGCCACCGAGTCCCAGCCCCAGCCTCGAACTGGACTTACTAACCCACCTTTCATGCACTCGGCACAACAGCAGGCGGGAGTTGGCCCTTGTGAGATTACGTCTGCAGCACAATGATGCCTTTCCTCCACCTTCCCTGCCCCAGTTCTGACTCATGAGGCCCAAGTGGGCAGCATGTGTGGAGCTTTCCAGGAAAGCCTTTCCTCTCCTGATACGAGGGAGACGCACAGAGCCAGCTTCCCTCATTCCCCTCTCCCTGGGATGTGAATGTGTGTTGGGGACCGGCCAGGATGTGTGTAGATTGGTGGGGGCCAAGCCCCTGGCCCACCGTCACGAGGCAGACGTTGACTCGCTTTAGGAATGGGGAAGCCTGTGGGAAGCTGCTGGCTCCCTGGCTGGCTGGGACGGAATCCTGTAACCCTGGCGCTCCTGAGGCCAGACAGCATCTGCTGAGGGCGGCACAGGGAGCGCCAGCACCCAGATGTTGGGAGGCCCTCAGCTGGTTTCTTTTGTGATGCTAAACCTGTTCCTCATTCTACTACATCATCCTTACTGCAGTCTCTATTCCAGGAAAAGGACACTAAGCCTCCCTCTGCACTTCTCACTGACTAATAAAAGTGAGCCATGCTGAAGACATCTTTGACTTTTGCCCAATCTGAGGCACTGAGCTCCTGGTCTCTTCATACCTGCAGATTTGTCTTTGTCTTTCTTTATCCCTCGTTGTACCCTTGAGCAGGCAACAGAGAGTCTGACTGGGGCTTGGTAAACGTGATATCTGGTGCTGCAGTAGCCACTTTGCAACCAGAAGGCAAGGAGCAGGGGGATAACTGGACACACAGAGACGAGAGAACCAAACAGAAAGACTGTGGCGTGGAGGGCCAGGCGAAGAAGAGAAATGGGTAGCCGCCTAGTTGTGCATTTACTCCCTTGTTCTTTTATTTTGTTTTTGGCTCTAGAGTTGGCCAGTCCCACACAGCCAAGTTTCAGCCAATCATACACAGTTGAATGGACAGACCACACCCACCGTGACAAGCACCGCAGAGCCAATCAGAAGATTTCTCTACTTTGTTTCCGGTTTGGCCCAGTAGAGCCAAACAGCCCCTTCTGTTGCTTCCCGAAAGCACTGAATGTTTTCTGGTTCTGAGTGCTGCCCACTTCAAGAATTGTTCTTTGCTTAAATAAACCGTTAAATCAAATTTGTCTGAAGTTTTTTTTGGCACGCACCCGTGTGGATGTGGTGTGCAGAAGTATCCCAAGAGCGGATGTTAAAACCTTGGAGCTGGGGATTTAGCTGAGTGGTTCCGCTGCCTGCCTTGTAAGTGCAAGGTCCTGAGTTCGATCCCCGCTACAAACAAACAAACAAACAAAACCTTGGAACCCAGTCCAGGCCCTGTTGGAGATGGTGGGACCTTTAAGAGGCGGGGCCTAGTCAGAGGTCCTTGGGCTGGGGGCGTGGCCTCACGGGATTATGCGGCCTTCCTTCTGAGTGTGTGTTTTGAGGCAGGGTCTCCCTTGGTAGTTCAGGCTGGCTCCGAACTCAGTGTGCAGCCCAGGCTGGCCTCCAACTTGCGGTGATCCTTCTGCCTCAGCCTCCCCGGTGGAGTGCTGGGATGACAGGCGTGGGTCACCACACCTGGCTCGCTTCCTCTTTTTGTCTTTGCTCCTTGGCTGCCCTGAGCACAGTGGCTCCAGTCAGCATGGACTGCACTCTCCAAGATTACAAACCCAAACGAGCTTTTGCCCTTTAAAAGTTGAAGCTGGATGTGGTGGCAAAAGTGTCATCCCCAAGCCTCAGGAGGCTGAGGCAGGAGGATCACCGTGAGTTGGAGGCCAGCCTGACACTGTGTCAAAACAAAGCAAAACAAAACAGAACTTGACTCTGTAGGAATTTGTTATGGTGACGGAAGGCAGACACAGGCTGGGAGATGGGCACACAGATTGCTGGATTTGCAACTTCCTGTGAGTTTTGTTTTCCACAGCTCTGGGAATGGAACCCAGGGCCACCGTACTGAGCAACATCCACACCCCCTTTCTTATTTTGACAGGGCTTCTCTAAGTTGCTAATTGCCCAAGCTGGAGTGGAACTTGTGGTCCTCCTGCTTCAGCTTCCCAGGCTGCTGGGATGACAGGTGTGCACCTCCACAGTCTGCTTCTAGTTTTTAAATTTTGCACCAGGGTCTCCTAGGGGCGCTACGGGGAATTGAGCTTTCGGTCCCCCTGCCTCGGGGTCCTGAGTGCAGAGGTGACAGTGTGGGCCCCATGCCCTGCTCTGTGTGGCCTTTTGCACCTGGCTTCTCCCCTGGCTGGTGGGGTTGGAGCCAGGCTCCCTCAGAACACAGGTGTCTTGGGTGCCCAGCTGGGGACTGACCTGAGGGAGCATGGAGGGCAAGGTCCCTGAAAACAAATGTTTGAGCAAGGCCTGGGGCCAGCGACAGCGCCTTCCGCTTCCCCCTGGAGGGAGGGTGCCATGGGCTGGGCTGGGACCTGGGTCCCCTGTGTGACTCAGCCCCTTGGGGCGATGGGGCTCAGACTGTTTGCCGTCTGCCCACAGACAGCAATCTATCTGGTGGCCCTGGTGGCCCAGGTGTGTCCCACTGTGCCCTGATAGCTGCAATCTGCCGCGCCTCTTTCCCCACATCAAACACGGGCCTCACCGCCTCTGAGATGGGACAGGGTGGGGGGCAGAGCTGGGTTTCCTGTCCCCTGGTGAACCCCATGGAGGGCACTAGGGAGCCATGGAAGATGTGAGAGCCACGTGTTGGGATCCTGGTGGGTGGAGCAGGGCAGTGGCCGAGGCTCTGGTTGGAGCCCAGGAGCTGCCGTGGATTCAGAGTGGATGAGGGGAGGGGTCCAGGTGACTCTCCAGGGCACATGCCATGCCCCAGGGCCCTGTGTGCAAGGTGCATGAACACAATGGGAACAGAGCCTCCGAGAACCCACACTTAGAGGAAAGCAATGCCTTTCCTGTTCCTCCCACTCCTGTGTCCATGTTTTCCTTGATTTCAGCCAACATGGGAGCTGGGGGAGCGGAGGGAGTCTGGGCTCAAATGGATCCTCCTGCCTCAGCCTTCTGGGTGCTGGGGATTCCAAGTGAGGACCACCACATCCAGCAATTTACTTTTTTTTACTTGTTTTTGGTGATGGAACCCAGAGCCTTGTGCATTCCAGGCACGAAGGAAATGTGTAAAGTATGGAGTTTGTGTTGTTGGGCCGACTGAGTGACCCTTTGTCAGGTCACAACCCAGGGAAAGTGAGTTACCGGCTGGGGTCACACAGCAATGTCACGGGGATCCCACCCTGCTGAGTGAGAGGGTAGAACTTGAGGAGCCACCAGTTGGGGGATTTCCGTCCCATTCCCGGGCTGAGGCTGGGCTCCGGGGACCATGGTGCAGGGCATACCCTTCCCCTGTGGCCCCAGAGCTGGCCACGCTGCAGTGGACCCAGCTTCCAGCTGAGGCCGCTGGTGACCTGGTGCAGTGGCAGCTGCCCCGCTTCTGGTCTGGTGCTGTGCTCTCATGAGCCTGGCCTCTTGCCAACTCCCAGGGCGCCAGAAGGAGCAGGAATTTGGGGGCCCCTCCTGGGTTCAGTGGTGGATGCCCAGGTCGGTGGGGAGCCGGACACAGCCCCCAGCCCCCAGGCCTGGGTGTTTAGTTAGGGGAAGCAGCTGCTGCCAAAGCTCCAGAATTCCTGTGCCTTGGCTCAGCTGCAGGGCCCGGAGAGGCCAGGTCAGGGCTTCACAGCTGAAAACGCTAAGCAAAATATTTGCAAGTGGAGTTCAGCTCTGCTTGAAAAGACAACACAGCAGGGGCCACGGGGTGTTATTGCACAGAGGCCGCAATAAGTCAACCTCAGAAAACCTTGTTCATCAAAGGAAAAGATGAAGAAATACCAGAAGATCACCTTTGGCTACCGCTTCCAGTGTTTAAAAACCAAGTGGAGGAAATTAGCCTGATCAGAGATGAGAAGGGGCTGCCTACATTGCATTGGTGGGTGAACAGGGGGCAGCATGTTCCAGTTCGAGATGGCGACACCCTCTGTCGGTGCTGGGCACTGCCAGAAGGAAAAGTACAGAAGCCGGGCCTGGTGGCGCACGTCTGTCATCCCGGCACTCTGGGAGGCTGAGGCAGGAGGATCCCAGATTTGAGGCCAGCCTGGGCAGCTTAGTGAGATCCTGTCTCAAAATGGGAAATAAAAAGGGCTGGGGATGGAGGTCAGCATTCCCATCCCTAGCACCATAAAGAAACAAAAGGCAAGACAAAAGAAGATTTGCACACGAATGTCTGTAGCAATTTTATTTCTAATCACCAACAGCTGGGAACCATAGAGGTCCACTCCTGGGGAATGAATGGCGCATAATGGTCTATCCAGGCAACGGACTACTACTCAGCAATGAAAAGGAATGAAGTATTCAGGGGTGACAGGGGCTGGGTCAGGCGGCAAGTGTCAGGAGGGGCGTGGCTTTGAGGGCTCTAAGGCAGACCCAGCCCCAGCTTCCCTTGGCTTCTGGTAGTTGCTGACAGCTCCTGGGGTTTCCTGGCTTTCAGATCTGTCACTCGATGTCTGCTTCCATCTTTTTATGGCTTTGCCCTCCTTCTGTGTGATCCGTTTCTCCTCCACATTTTCTTTTTCTTTGTTTCGTTTGATTCAGGCCCTCGCCACGTAGCCCAGGCAGCCTCCCGAGTGCTATGAATGAAGGGGGGTGCACCACCACGCCCGGCCCACCTTTTATTTTGATTTTAGTTTTGGGGCATTGCTGGGATGGAGCCCAGGGCCTCGAGCACGCTGGGCAGGTGAGCCCCTCTGAGCTGGATCCCAGCCCTCTTCCCTAGTTTTGGATTCGGGTCCACCTTGCTCCCGTGTGACCTCATTTTAATTTAGACGATAGCCGCACTGACCCTATTTCCAGTAAGCTCGCTTTCTGAGGTTCCCAGTGAACAGTGGGGCTTCCCATTAGGCAAGGGGAGCAGAGGCAGCTGATAGGCAAAGGCTGGAGGTTATCTGGCCCAACTCTCCCTCCCAGGCCCTGGGGCGCACAGGGACTTCCGGGGGGCGGAGCCTCGCCTCCTCCCATGGGCGGGGACTATGCCAGTCGAAGCTTATTTGCATAAAGATGCTATCCAGCCAATAGGAGTGGGAGGCCTCTGGCCTTGGCCAGGCATTGGCTCATCTAGAGGTCCATCCCAGGTGCTGTCCTGCCCTCAGAGGTTGGTCTCAAGGTCCTGTTCCCCTTTGCCTTTGCCCCCGCTGGGTGCCCAGGGCCCAGGCCCCCTGGCCTCATGCTGCAGGAAAAGCGGGCGGTTCTCCTCCGTGGGCAGGAAGTCCCGGGAGTCCGGGGCACTCTTGGCTCCCACAGGAATTTCTTCCAGACCCTGGGGGAGGGGAGACAAGAGGACCCCATCAGAAACCCTATTTCTGCTGTTATAGGCCTTGTCCCAAAGCAGGACACTGAGGAGCTAGGGGACTGGCACAACATTCGGCACAGTAACCCCAGCTATTCAGGAGGCTGAGGCAGGAGGATCACAAGTTCGAGGCTGACCTGGGCAACAGTAAATCCCTGTTCAAAATAAAAACATTACGAGGGCTGGGGATTTAGCTCAGTGGTTCTGCCACCTGCCTTGCAAGCGCAAGGACCCCAGTTTGATCCCCAATACCCTCCCCCAAATATATATAACAAAATAAAAACATTACAAAAGAACTGGAAGCTGGGAGTCGTGGTGCACACCTGTCATCTTGGCACTCAGGAGGCTGAGGCAGGAGGATCACTGAGACTTCAAGACAAGCCTGGGCTACATAGTGAATTCAAGCCTAGCCTGAACTAGTAAGACCTTGTCTCAAAAAAAAAAAAAAAAAAGAGGAAGCCGGGCGGGCGTGGTATCACAATGCTTGTAATGGCAGCCCTCTGAATAGGTTTTTTTGTTTGTTTGCACTTTTTTTGAGGCTGGGTTTGTTTTGTTTTTTTTGTACCAGAGGTCAAACTCAGGACCTTGTGCTTGCCAGGCAGGTGCGGTGCCACTGAGCTACATCCCTGGCCCTTTCTTTTTGCAGGGTGGTTTTGAACTCACTATGTAGCCCAGGCTGCCTTGAACTCACAGTGATCCTCCTGCCTCAGCCTCCACTCTGGGAGGCTAAGTCAGAAGGATCAAAAGTTTTGAGCCAACTGGAGCAATTTAGCAACATAGTAAGATGCTGCCTTTAAAACATAAAAAAAGAGCTAAGAATGTACCTCAGGGGTAGAGTGGTTGCCTACCATGCACAAAGCCCTGGGTTCAATTCCTAGTACTGTAAAGAAAAAGAAGAAGAAAGAGAGGAGGAGGAGGAAGAGGAGAAGAAAGAAAATACAAGAAAAGATTTCCCATAGCAGCTGGAGGCAGCTTCAAAGCACTTGGACCAAACCTCTCTGCCGCAGGGCTTTTGCACCTGTGCTGGGCCACCCTCCCTCACATGTGGTGCCCGCTCCCTCCAGTCCTTCCATGTCATCTCCTCTAAGAGCCCCACAGTGCTCTGGCTGACACTGCCGGGCCCAGCACCTCTCTGTTATGTCACCACCCCTCACCCGCTGAGCACTGCTTGCTTTATTTTTGTTGCTTTCCTGTCCCCCACGAAGGGAGATCAGACCCCCAGAGACAGGGCGGCCCAGACGCCAGGCCGTTGCTCAGCAGTCACATGGCTCTGGCCAGGAGCCATTGGCTCTGTGGGTTTCTTATGTAAGATTTCCTCCAACTTGGCTCATGTTCAATTCAAGTAATTTTATCTTCATGAGAGACTTTACATCAATATCCGGAGGGCAAACGTGTTTCCTTACTATACATTGGAAGAAATTATAAAAATCATCGTAGCACTCAGAAGGCTGAGGCAGGAGGATCGCCTCAAGTTGGAGGCCAGTGTGGGCTGCATAGTGAGACCCTGTCTCAAAAAAGAAAGGAAGAAAGAGAAAAAGAAAACACCCTGTAGGAGAGTTGCCAAAGCACCACCGCTGACACCTGAGGCGACTCACTGAGGTAAGGACAGCTGGACACTCCGGACCCACAGCCACACCCACAGGCACCTGGCCGTCCCCTGCGTGGGGGCAGGGCCCGGACTCACCTTCACCAGGCCGTCTCCCAGCGTGGCCACGTCCTCCTTGGGGGCCACCGACGCTGTCTTCCGGGTGAGATCCCACCACAGCAGCCCAGGGCCCAGGCTGCTGCGCTTGGTGGGGCCTGAGGGGCACGGACAGGCAGGGAGCGGTGGGTGTTGAGCGCCGTGGGGCTGTGCAGGGACAGGTTCCCATCCCTGCTCCCACAGCAGTGGCCTGGAGGACCCTGGCGAGCCTCCGCCCCTCTCTGCCCCAGTTTCCCCACCCACACACTGAAGGACTGCAATAGCTCGATGGCCGGCTGGCTTCCCGATTACTGGAATGGTACTCAGCACCTAGGAGCGTTCAATGAAAGCCTGAAGAATAATTTAAAGTCTATTTTCTATCATTATTGTTTTCTGTTTTTTTTTTTTGAGACAGGGTCTCGCTGTGTAGCCCAGGCTGGCCTCCAACTCTCTGCGATCCTCCTGCCTCAGCCTCCCGAGTGCTGGCATGACAGGCGTGCGCCACCACAGGCTTGATGTCTATTTCTGCGTCTGGGTAGCCTTGGGAATTCCTCAGGGGGGTGGAGTGGGCACTTCTGGGAGGAAAGGCCACTTCAGCACCGCGGACAGCACCACGGTGGCGCCTCGGCCGGAGGGCGTGGGCGGAGCCCCAGGCAGAGGGACCGGAAGAGCCCGTGCGTCCTGCTCACCCGTCAAGTAGCTGACCAGGGCTCCACACAGCACGGTCGTGAGCGTGCCCAGGGCTCCGTAGTACAGGTAGGAGATGGCGTAGAAGCTGTGAGCCAGGGCAGGCCGCCCCGGGTCCCCTGCGGAGCTGGAGCCGGAGCCCGTCACCCCAACACTCGGGAGGCTGAGGCAGGAGGATCGCCGCGAGTTAAGAGGCCACCCTGGGCTGCATAGCGAGACCCTGACTCTATAAACTAAAAATAAACTTTAAAAAGCCCAGTAATTAATTTAAAAGAAAGAAAAAGGCAGTGAACCAGTGACCACACTGTAACCACGGGTGAACCTCGAGTGACTTAGGTCGGCCAGGGGCTGGGAGGCAGCAGGACATGGGAGGTGACTGCTAATTGGGGTGAGGGTTCTTTTGGGGGTGGTGAGGATTTCTTGTGCTAGAAAGTGAGGATCTTTGCATAAATCTTGTGTTTACTGCACATCCCCCCCTGCAGTTCTGGATTTGAATCCAGGGCCTTCTGCATACCAGGCAAGTGCACAGCCACTGAGCTGCACCCCTGCCCCAAAGCTCCCCTTTATAATGGTTAATTTTTTTTTTTTTGGTACCGGGGATCGAACCCGGGGCCTCGCGCTTTTGAGGCAGGCGGTGGCACCACTGAGCTAAATGCCCGGCCCCTATAATGGTTACTTTTATACTGTATCAATTATATATGAATAAAAAGGAATCAAGTTCCCCCAGCTGCAAGTGTCACCAATCTGGCTTCCGTCACACCCATCCCAGCTTACTGCAGAGGCCAGCTCTGGCCACAGGGCCTTTGCACCTGCTGCCCCCACCAGAGCCGCAGCTCCTTAGGAAAGGGACTCTTCTTGACCCCGCCCCAGGCCACGCCTCCCACTCCCACAGTGCTCCCTGCTCACCTGGAGGCGGAGGCGTTGACGGTGGGAAGCGAGTCCAGAAGGACTGAGGCGTTGCTGGAGGAAACCACACAGGCTGTGGCCGAAGACGGCAGGACGCCCATGGTCTGCTCGCTGGGCGGGTACAGCGTGGCGCCCAAGGCCACCCATAGGGAGATCGAGAAGCCCGCGCCCAGCCCGGAGAGGACGCCCTGGGGCGGGGCCAGTGTGAGGGGCGGGGCCTCACCGCTCAACCTCGGCTCACCCCCTTGTCCTTGCCGGGCCTTTGCTCCGCCACTCACGATGCCGCCACGCCCACAACCCCCCAGCACAGCACGCCATCGCCGCAGCCCTCCAGGATATCGCCCCGCCCACACCACACCCTGTCGCGCCTGCTCAGGTTCCGCCGCTTTGCCCCGCCCCTTCCCGGCCTTTCCCCCTCTTTCCCCGCCCCCCGTCTTTGCCCCGCCTCTTTCCCCGCCCCGCCCCTCACCGGTGCGTTGCACGCGGGCAGGAACATTCCCAGCGCGAAGGCTCCGAGCAGGGGGCCGCTGATGACGCCCATGACGGTGAAAGAGCCCTGCCGGGGTGGGTGGGGTGCGGCTCAGTTTACCCGCAGGGAGGGCGAGACCTGAGGGCGTCCCGCCTGGCGCTCACCTGCAGGACGCCGCCCCCCAGCAGGGAGGACAGGGCGGCCACGGCGAGGCAGGCCGAGCCGAAGACCAGCGCTGCGGGGACGGGCGCGTGAGCGAGGGCGGCGCCCCGGACCCCCGCCCGGGCGCCCCAACTCACACAGGCCCTTGGAGACGAGCACCAGGCGGCGCGGCGCCAGGCCGGGCAGGAGCGGCTTGATCAGGTCCTCCAGGGTCACGGCCGCCATGGCGTTGATGCTGGTGGACGCCGTGCTGCCCGGGACTGCGGGCGTCAGCGGGAGCCCGGCCCGGCCCGGCCCACCCCGCCCACCGGGATGCCCCGCCCACCCGGGACGCCCCGCCCCCAGCCCCGGGTGCCGCCCCTACCTGAGGGTGCCGCTGTAGGCACAGGCCAGGAAGAGCCCCGGCACGCCGGGGAGGTCCTCGAAGATGTCCAGCACGAACAGGGGCATGTACTGGGGCGGGAGCCACGCGCTGGGCCAGCGGCACCCGCGCGGGACTTCCGTCCGCCCTGCCCCGCACACCCCCAGCCCCGGACCAGCGGGTGGCGCCATGGGCATTCGTGTGTTTGTTGATTGACTGCGTGAGGCCGAGCGGCTGCACAGTCAGGCAGCCCGGACTCTGATTGGGGGCAGGGAGGGGGTCTCACCTGGTCTGGGGCGGAAATGCGCCCTGTGAGGAGAGGGTCGCAGTCGCTGTAGAAGACGAACATGAGGATGCCACAGCAGGCGGCGCTGGTCACAATCACTAACAGGCCCAGCTGGTTGATGAGAACGGCCCTGGGGGGAGGGGGTCAGCTGGGGAGGGGCAGCGCACCCGGACGCGAGGCCTCGGCCCCACGCACTCACAGCTTGGCCTTCCGCTCCGTGCTGCAGGCCACGTAGCGCTGCACCTGTGCCTGGTTCACACCGTACATGGAGAGCCACACCAACGTGCCGCCCACCACGAAGGTCCAGAACGTGTAGCGGCTCCGAGGATCAGGGTCAAAGCTGCGTGGCGACAGCACAAGTGGGCCGTGAGAGGATGCAACACTGATTACCTTTCTAGGGGCCCCAGGTAGCCATTCAGGACCTTAAGGGACTTTTGGAGTGGGTTTTGAAGGGTGAGTAGTTTAGCAGGTTGATTTTTTTTTTTTATGGAGTTAAAAAACATTTTTTCTCTGCTCAGCCAGGAGATCAGAGAGGTGATGCCATCTCCTTTGCCCTATGCCCCGTCCCTCTTTTCGTGTGGTACCGGGGATGGAAGCCAAGGCCTTCACACTGAACTGCAGCCCAGCAATTTTATTTTTTGATGCAGTGTCTCCCTAAGTGGATAAATTTCACCCTCCTGCTTCAGCCTCCCAGGGCGCTGGGATGACAGGCCTGCACCCCGAACCCTGTCCTGCCCTCTGCATTTCCTCACTCCAGCAGGTTGATCCGGGAGTGGTTCTGGGCCAGCCTGAGCACTTGCCGAGGCCCGCCCAGGAGCACAGCCCCGCGGGCCAGGATGGCCCAGAAGCCGCTCAGCATCACCACCACCTGGAACGCGTCGGTCCACACCACGGCCTTCATGCCGCCCTGCGGGAGAGAGGCCGCGTGACTGCCCCCCGCCCCCGCGCAGCAGGCAGGCAGAGACCCACCCTGGCTGCTAGTGATGGGATGAACGCCCTTCTCTGCCTCGGCTTCCCCATCTGTAAAATGGGACCTTCCTACCCTGGAGTGAGGATTAGATAAATTAGTAAGTGACAGATTTGGAACAGCAGCTGGCTCGCACAAGTGCTCAGGCAGGGCCACCGTGTGACGGTTGTCACTATGGTTCCTCCTGCCATTTTAGCCCTTCAGGACTTCCCGCCTCAGCCTCCTCAAGGGGCCCCAGGAGATTTTCATGGAAGAGCCCCGCCCTTTCCAAGCCACTCAGGGGGCTGGCTCCGCCCCAGATGCGGGAGTAGCCAATCAGAACGCCCCAGCCAGAACCTCCCCCGGGGCTCGGATTAGGACGGGCCGAGGGGCCCAGGGACTTTTGCCAGCCCCAGGCTGGAGCCAGCTTTCTGCAGCAGGAAACCAAGCCGGAGCCGTGGAGCCCAGAGAGTGGGAGACGGACGGGAGCCCCTGGATCCAGCCACTCCTGAAGCTAGCCGTCGCTGGATCTCAGCACCGAGCTTTCCAGAGCCCTTGCGTTAGGAGACAGAAACTCAGGCCCAGCTAGGACGGGGTGGGAGGACAGAAGGGGCAGGGGGTGCGCAGGCGGCCCAGAGTCTGCCGTGGGAGGCCGGCGGGCGTGGAGCCCTGCGTGGGCCGGGTCCCGGGCCGCTCACTACAGTCGTGTAGAAGGTGCAGATGATTCCGGTGGACAGGAGCGACGCCCAGATGTCCAAGCCGGTCACTGCGCGAAAGCAGAAGCTCCCCTGAGGGCGCTGTGCCGCGGCCCCTCCCTCCCGTCTCCCTCTCCTCTCCCTCCGGCCGGTCGGGATCTCCCACCGCCACACCTTGGTTCAGGATGAGCGCAGGCGCGTAGATCACGATGCCCGTGTACAGCACCTGCGTGGGGAGAGGGCGGGGCGGTGGGGCCGCTCAGGGGCGGGGCCGGAAGGGGTGGGCGGGGCCGCGCAGGGTAGAGGCGGGGCCTGAATGTTGGGGGGAGGTTGTGGGCGGGGACAAAGTGGCGGACCCGGGAGAAAGGCGTGAGTTGTGCTCGGGCAGGGTGGGCTGGATAGGGGCGTGGTCCTGAATGACAGGCTGTGGGCGGAGCCAATGGGGCGGGACCAGAAGGGAAGAAGTGTGGGCGGGGGCGGGGAGGGGCGGGGCGGCTCACCGTGGCCAGCAGGTACTGCAGCGTCCCGCAGAGGCGCACGGCGCGGTTGAAGCGCATCTCCAGGTACTGCAAGAGGAGCGGAGGACGCGGGGGTCACCGGACAGCCCGGCCCGGCCGGAGACCCGGATCCTCCCGGCCCCGGGCACTCGCCCTCCATCCTGGCCGAGCGCGCGGCTGCTTTCTTGCCCGAGGGCCCCGCACACGGCCCTGAGCTGCGCCCCGCGCCCACGGCCGGTGCTCCTGGCGCCCGCTACGGACGGGACACGGCCCTGACCGCTGCCCTGACCCGAGGCGAGCTCCTGCAGTGAGCCCTCGCCCTAGGTAGGGGAGCGGAGCTGGCTGGAGCCGGGCTGCGGGCGCCGTCGGAGCGCGCGCTGGGGCTCGAGGCGGGCAGGTGCGCGCCCGCCCGGCAGAGCCCGCGGCCTCCTCCTCCCGCCCGCGGTGCCGGAACCCGGGTACCTGGTAGGTGCTGGTGAGGCCCAGGCGGTAGAAGACCGGCAGGAAGAGAGCGGCCGTGAATGCCGAGCACAGCACCTGGCCCAGGCACATCCACAGGAACTTGAGGCCATAGCGCGCGGCCTCGGCCGGGACCCCCAGCACCTGCACAGCCGACATGAAGCTGGCGGCCAGCGACAGCCCCACGGGCAGCGCCCCGAGCCTCCGGCCACCGGTGAAGAAGTCGTCGGGGCTGCGCTGCCCGCCGCGCGCCAGCGCCACCCACAGCCCGATGCCGGTGGACACCAGCAGCATCAGCGCGAAGACGCCGTAGTCCCAGGCCCCGAAGGCGGCCGGCGCCCCCACCCCGGCGGCCGGCATGGGCTGCGCTGCCCGCGGTCCCCGCCGCCTGAGGTCCCGGCTGCGGGCTTCAGATTTATGGGCTCCGGTCGGCGAGGCTCCGCCCCACCGAGAGGCGGCGCGACCCGCACCCTTTCCGGGCTGGGACCGAGGGGAGGCCACCGGCGCCATCCTCGGCCCTCACCGCGCACGGGAGGGGCGCACAAGGGCTCCCTTGGCGATCGGAGTGCAGGCCGAGATCCCCAGCTGGGGAGGGACCCCGGGGCTCAGGTCCTGAGTGGGGAAACTGAGGAACTGGGGCATCCTGTGCTCTCGGGGCTCAGTTTCCCCACCTGAACACGGACGAGCCAGCTCTGGGGAGCTCCCTGGCACAGGCTGAGAACCCCGTCATCTTCGACCGCTTTGGCACAGGGGCGCGGCCTGAGGTCCCGGGCGGAGGCATCGGTGGCCTGGAGCGGGGCCCCTGGTGACCCTGAGAGCCGACTGAGCCTCGGGAGCCTGGGAGCTATCACCTCTGGAGGTTCGGGTCCCTGCTGGGCCCCCAGCTTCCTGGGCTCGCTCCTCCCAAGAGTACTGGGGCCGAAGGCCGCCTTGGTGCCCTGTGTCCCCCCCCCCCCGCCGGCAGGGCGCTTGCTTCTCCCCCGCGCGCCGCCTGCGTCAGGAGGGTGGGAGCCCCAGCCCCGCACCTTTCTTCGCTTTTTCGGGCGGGGCCGCACCAAGGCCACCGGGAAGGGAGGTAGGGGACCCCCTGGGGAGCTACGCCCGCGTCAGCGAGGCGATGCAGGTCATGCTGAGGACCCAACCATGAAGGCGCAGGAGGGGCTGCTCCCCGCCGCGGGCCACCGGGCAGCAAAGGACAGGGCTGAGGGCCGAGCCCGGGGCTGGGGACACAGGTCTCACAGGCTCTGGGCACTAAGCCAGCCCCTCCAGGGGGTTCTGGCCGCCGGGACAGCCTGGGTGGGGTGGGGCGACCTTCTGTGGGTCCCCAGGAGGGGACTTCCTGGTGACTGGACATCTGTGGGTGGAGAAAGCTGAGGAGCCAGTGTGGTGGTGCACACCTGTCGTCCCAGCACCTGGGAGGCTGAGGCAGGAGGATTGCTGTGAGTCTGAGGCCAATCCGGGCTACATATCGAGACCCTGTTCCAAGAAACCAAACCCAAACCCAGAATGAACTGCGGGAAGGGAGCTTGGGGCAGGGAACTCAGTTTGAATGTGAGGTGTGAGGTGAGTAGGGTGGAGCTGAAGGAGCAGCAGGAGCCCGGGGAGCCCACAGGGCTTCTGGCCTCGGGGAGGTGGGAGGCGCAGATCTGGTCCTGAGGGTGCTGGGAGCTGCTGAAGATTTGGGAGCTGGAGGCGCCTGGAGTTTGCAGTTTTGGAGAAGCGGCCGCAGCCATGGCAGCCGAAGTGGATTTGGACCCGGTCTGGGACTCAAGAGGAGGTGAGGCAGGGCGGCCACTTTCTGTGACGGATTCATCTTTGCGTGCAGCCTGCCGCCACCCCACACCTGGGGACGCAGGGGGCCCCTGAGCCCCAGCAGGGGCCAAGGCGGGGCCTCATGGCTGCTGTGGCTCATGTGACCTTCCAGATGGCACCAGGACTGGAACCCCAGCCCCAGGGCTACAGCAGTGCCCTGGAGCCCCCCGCTGCCATCCTGGGGCTTCTAGCCCTCGCCCCCTTTGCTGTGTCCTGACTTCAGCTCAGCAGCTGAGCCCAAGCCCCCAGCCCTGCCTGAGCTGGGCCGGGGTGGGGGGGCTGGAAGGGACCCTCGGAGCAACCAGTTGGAGCCCCTGTGCAGTCCCTGGCCCAGCTTCGGAAGGGCCCGTGCCCCGTGGGTGCACCTCCCGACAGGCTGCCATCCTCTCCCGGGCCTGCGAGGGAGGCCCAGGGTCTACATCCTGCCTGTCCCTGCCAACACAGGCCTCTGCAGTGGGGCTCCACTGGTAACCCCAACTGCTGGGAAGCTGAGGCAGGAGGAACATGGCTGGAAGGGCTGGAGGACTGGTGAGTGGCAGGCGCAGGAGCAGCTGTGTGCACTTCCCACCAGAAGAGGAGCCCACAGAGCCCTCATACTTGGCGCTGTGAGGTCAGCAGTGACCGGTGCCTACTGCCCCAGGCTCCTAGTGGCGGGCACAGTGGGGCAGCTTGGGGCCAGACAGTCTTGCTGGTCCTGAGCTTAAGGTCTCTCACTGGGACCTTAGGCTCCACACCCTCACTGCCCACCAAGGTGGCAGGCAGGGACTCCCCAGCACAGGCATCAGGCCAAGTCACACAGCACCACACCCAGTCGGAGTCAGGACTCTGCAGCTGAGGATTACAGTGAAATCCTAGCCTTGCAGAAAGGTTCAAGCCAGGGGTGGGGAGGACTGCACAGGGTCAAACACCCAAACTCCTTTTGGGAACTCTAGTATTTCCTCATGGCCTAAGATGGCTGCCAGAGCACTGGCCATTGCATCCATGCTGCAACCAGACAGGTCCAAGATTTCCTACAAACGGCACCTATCACTACTGCTAATATCACACGGCCAACCTGACTGAAAGGATGGCTGGGAAACGTGTTCCTTCCTGGGAGGAATCTAATTAAGGGGCTCCTATTACTGACAATGAAGAGAAGTGCTATGAAGGGCAACCAGGTATCTGTGCCTAAACCCATAAGGTTAATGAAAGTGCAATTCTATGACCTACCACCCTGAATGCACCTGGCATTGTGTGAAACCCGCAAACTTTTCTGTGGAGCTGGGATGGAATTCAGACCTTACACATGAGGCAAAAGTTAAGAATTGTAGAGGTGATGGCCAGTCCAGGGCTGGCCGATGGGAAGGGCAGGTGCCAGACTCAGCCCAGGCAGCCTGCGTGGGTGGTGGTGCAGTGTGTCCTGTTCCCAGCCTCCCACGAGTGACCCCTCCAGCTCTGGCCCTGCACCCCACCCTGGGCTGCCTCTGCACCTCCTTTCAATCAGCAGACCTTCAGGAACCCTGTGCCTGACCCCAGGGCCACCCAGCGGTCCCTTCCCAGGCATGGCCATGAGGCCACAAGGCTGGTGGTCACTCCCAGCGGGGGGGTTGGGTTAGCCGGGCCTGGAATTCTCAGGTTTCCTGGAGACCCTAAGCTCCTTAGGCGGATTAGGGCAGCTAAGTGCAGGTGGCCCGGGTCCCAACCCGAAGGGTGGGCCTTGGGGACAAGGCTGGGAGCCCTCGCTGGTGGAGGCCTCAGGCCCTTCTGTGCTCTGCCAGTCGTGAAAGAAAACAGCGGCCGAGTCTGGATGCAGGAAGTTTATTGGCAGAGCGGTGGCCACCCCTAAAAGAAGGTGTTGGGCCTCTTGGTGGTGAAGCGGGGCTTGTGCTGGTGGCGCAGGACCCGGTGGGGCAGCGGGAACTTGATCTTGGAGTCCTGTGGGAAAGGGTGAGAGCCCTCAGCACCCGCTCTGGGGCCCGCCGCGGCACGACCCCCCCCCCCCGCCCGCCAGCGGAGCCCGGCACTCACGTGGAACTGCTTAACAGCTGGCCGGCGGCACTTGCTGGCGGCGATCTCCTCCACCTTCATGATCTGGATGGAGTGGGCGCGGGCACGGTGCCTGGCGCCCATGTCGCGGTCTGCATGGGACACAGCGGGGACGTGGCTCAGGCCCGGCTGCAGCTGCTGGGACCCCCAACGTGGGCCTCACAGCCTCTGGCCACGCGGGGTGTGGAACCTCTGAGTTCACTTTGAGGGGCACAGTCACAGCCCCCAAAGGCGACGAGATCCACTTGCTGTGTGCACCCCTGTTTAAACCGCCACTACAAGAAGCGGCAATTCTTGGGTTGAGGTGCAAATGGGAGGGAGGCTGGCCTGCGCTTGGGTAGAGCCCCGATCCCGGGCCCTGGAGCCCTCAGCCCCCACTCACAGCACTGGGTGACGGCGCCCGCCGTGGTCAGGTCGCGGTACTCGCGGTACATGTTGTGGGTACCGCTGCGGGAGTCATAGCGCAGCCAGATGCCGAAGTTCTTCACCCGCAGTGGGGACTTCTCAAACACCTGGCGTGGGCGGGAGGACAGCAGGTGGGGAGATGCTGGACAGTAGCCCCGGGGTCCCTTCTGGGGCCAGACTCTCCTGCCTTGGCCCAGGCCCCTTGGGAACTCCGTGGTAGGGGTGTGGGCCCACAGACGGACACAGCTCCAAGCCCCCCACCACCCCAAGGCACGCGCACCCCACCTGCCCACAGTAGACAATCTCCCCCGAGGACTTCTTCATCTTCTTCAGCTGGGACACGAAGTACCAGAAACGGGACTTGGCGACAACATGGTTGGGCGCAAAGATCCGCATACGGTAGAGAGGTGGCGTGCGGCACTTCGGGGTGGGCAGGCAGCGCCCCACCACCTTGTATTCTCGGAGCTGAGGGGAGGGCGGGCTGAGTGGGGCGGCCAGCCAGGGCCCTTACAACCAACCCACAGTGCACCCCAAGCAAGCCTAAGTGACCCGGGCAGGAAAGCTCCCTGTCCCCAGCGGGCAAGCGGAGGCCAGGCCAGCAGCTTCCTCTCCCCAGCCACGCTGAGGGACTCTGCACAGTGCACTGGCCACCACCTTCTCTGGCCCAACACAGTGACACCGGGAGTTTTCAGAGCCCACTGCAGGCAGAACCAGGCGAAGAGTCCAGGTCTGTCCTGAGCCGTGGGGCCTCAGCTGCTCTGGTACTTCCAGCAGGTGCCAAGGTGTTGAGTCCAGTGGCACACACCTATGATCTCAGCAGACTGAGACCAACGCAGGAGGATGGCAAGTAACAGTGCACAAGGCCCACCGAGGCAGTTTAACAGGATCCTGTCTCAAAATAAAAGACTGGGAGGGCCAGGGATTTAGCTCAGTGGTTTCACCACCTGCTGCGCAAGCGCAAGGACCCGAGTTCGATCCCCGGTACCAAAAAAAAAAGACTGGGAGCTGCGGATGGTGGCACATGCCTGTAATCCAAGCACTTGGGAGGCTGAGGCAGGAGATCTACTTGAGGGTGAGGCCAGCCTAGGCTACACAGTGAGTTTAAGGCCAGCCTAAACTACAAAGTGAGACCTTGCCTAAAAAACACAAACAGAACAAAACAAGACTGCAGTTGAACACGCAGCACAAGCCTGTAATCCCAGCACCCTGGGAGGCTGAGGCTGGAGAATTACCACAAATTGAATTCCAGCTTGGGAAACTTAATGAGAACCTGCCTCAAAATACAAAAGGGCCGGCGAGGTAGTGCACCGTTTAGAGCTTAGTGTCAAATCTTTAGTTAAAAAATAAAAAAGGCTGCAAAAATGTCAACTTTGTCAAGTCCCAGACCCCGTGATATGGCTGACAGAGGCCACCTTTGTGAACGACCCCAGCTTCTTACTAATGCCAAATATAAATAACCATGAAGTCCTTCCCGCTCTGCACCCGACCCACCAGCTTCGCGATCACTTCCCTTTCCTGGCCAGGAAACTAAGGCTGGGGACCCTCACAGGACCCATCGTCTAGTTCCCCCCAACTCCCGGGCCACCTGCCTTTGCCCAGCACGGGTCACAACGATGAACCAGCTTCAGCAAATCTGCAATTTTATTCTGCTTCCCTAGTGCCGTGTCCTTTCCCATACTTACTTTGCAAGGGAAACTGAGGCTCAATGGCTCGACCAGGTAGGTGGCACAGCCCTAAGACGCGTGCCTCCCGTCCCTCATTCCTGGGAAGCAGACCCGGCCCTTTGGGTCCCACGGTCGCCCCCGGTCGCCCCCGCCCGATGCGGCCCGGCCTGGCCTCCCCACGCGGCGCCGCAGCGGCCGCCATGTTGTGGGCACCTAAAGGCGGCGGCGGCGTGCGTGAGGGGTCCCAGGGCCGTACCACCATCGACCCGGCCGCACCACCTGCCCCGGGCTCCCGACGGGGTCCGCGCGGCGGCGCCCAGCCCTCAGCCCCGCTGCAAGCGCCTTACTGTGCCCGAGGCCTTCATGGCGTCCCCTCCTCGCTTGCCGCCACCCACAAAAAGGAAGTCTCTGACTTGGCGCAGCCGCTCACCACGATTCACTGCCGGAAGTCCCACCTTCTCAGCGTCGTGCATCTATTGGTTTCTTGGCCCTGAGCTCAAAGAGGTCGGCTTCATCATTGGCTCCGGGTCCGCCTACAAATTCACAGCCCCACCTCTCTCGTAGCCAGACTACATTTCCCAGGAGGCAGCGCAGCTAGCTTTGCTCGTCCTACAGCGGCTCTAAGGGTGCGTCGGCGCGCATGGCACGCTGGGAGTGAAGGCATCGGTGGGCGTGTTTCTATTCCCTAATGTTTAATTCCACTCCTGGCCTCTTCTCCCCTATAGATGTATCAAAGAGGTCTCAAAGCCATGTACCTAAGACTGGTGACGAACCTATGGCACGAGTGCAGCAGCAGGCAAACAGAGCCTGCTCTGTCCGCACGCGAGCCCAGTTGCTCCAGCATTCTCAGCGGTGGAGCAACAGGTAACAGTGCACATAGGGCGCATGCGTATGCTCGGAAGAGCGTAGCCGTCAGGCCATGACGTCAGGAGCTGCGACTCTCCAGAGCTTTTGCTTGGCGGGTCAGTGTGCTGCCAAGGAGATATATATATATTTGCTTGGACTGGCTGTGAGTTTTAATACATTTGTTCTTATGAATGCAAGATTTTAGGTTTGACTTTTCCTATGGAAAATTGAAATTTAATGTCTTAAGACTTAGCAACGAGATGTTCTAATTGAGAGACTGAAATTCTTTTAATGTGCTGATCCCCTAGAATATTTGGATCTGCAGCATCATATTTAGTTTTTTGTGAAGAATTTATGAAAACAAGAGGAAGGATCTATATTTGCTTGGGCTGGTTGTGACTTGAGCGGAAGCTCCTGCAAGGTAGCAAACGCACTCGGATGCCTTTTTCAGAGCAGGCCAATAGCTGGTGGTCAGTGGAACACTGCCCCCTTGCGGTGATGGTCAGGAAATTCGGGGGAGCCCCAGCCGGAATTGTTGATTCAGGGAATAATATCCAGTTCTTTAGTGTTAACCAATAGTGTTAGCAATTTTTGGTATAGGGATAATTTGTATTGGGTGCTTCATTAAAAAAATTGTGTTTTTGTAGACTCCAAGGCTTGAACCCCCCAAAATGACTACACCAAAAAAGGCAAAACTGAAAACAGATAGTGGAAGATCGTTCCAAGAGGCCTGGACAGAGTCATTTGGGGTGATTGAACGCGATGGGAAAGCGTTATGTATTCTGTGCAGTGTAAGTGTTGTGTGTCGCACATCAAGTGTCAGACGGCATTTTGACACCAACCACAAAAGTGTCGCCAAACTTGGTGAAACTGAAAGGAAAGAGTTTCTTGAACGGAAATTGAGGAAATATCATTCCCAGTATCTGACAGCTGCCAGCTTTCAAATTTCACTGTGCATAGCGAAACATGGCAAGCCCCTCTCTGATGGGGATTTTATCAAAATGGCAATGTTGTCTGGGAGTGATTCCCTTTTTCATGATTTCCCAAACAAGGATAAAATTATACAACGGATCTCTGACATGCCGCTTAGCAGAAATACTGTTAAAGATCAAATCCTGTGCATGGCCAGTGATGTTAATCAGCAGCTCACCACTGACTTACAGAAGGCAGCCTGTTACTCCATATGTTTGTATGATAGCACAGATATAAATAATCACACAAGGCTAGCAGTAATTTTGCGTTATGCTGTTGGTGACATCATGAGAGAAGAGCTCGTGAAACTGGTGTCTTTGCCTGGAAGAACACAAGGGATAGATATCTACAGTGCTGTGATGGAGGCTTTTTTGTCACAAGACATAAGACCAGAAAAAGTGGTTTCAGTTACTAGTGATGGAGCACCTTGCATGGTGGGGACAACATCTAGTTTCATGCAGTTCTTTGTTAAAGAGGCAAAACATCCAGTCATTCAGTTTCCTTGTATTTTACATCAAGAAGCCATTTGCGCCAGGGAAAGCAGCAAAAAATTAGATGATATTCTCAAAGATGTCACAAAAATGGTGAATTACATCATGGCTCATGCTCTTAATTTTCCACAGTTTCAAGCACTTTTTGATGAGGTTCAGGCACAGTATAATGCTTTACGTATGCACAACAACATCCGGTGGCTGAGCAGAGGACGAGTCCTGGAGAGGCTTGTAGCCTGCTTGGATGAAATGAGGCTGTTTATGAATGAAAAGGGGCAGGAATATCCACAGCTCACTGATGTGGCCTGGCTTAACAACCTCATGTTTTTTACAGACTTTACACGACACTTCAGTGTACTGAACAAAAAACTACAAGGTGTAGGGAAAACAGCAGAAAGGATGTTTTGTGATATCAAAACATTTGAGAGAAAACTGCAGGTTTTTGAAAGAGATCTTGAAAGTGGGCAGCTGAAATATTTTCCAAATCTAAAAATGCATTTAGAAAACTCCACAACGTTTGCAGGAAATCCTACAAGCCATCGGGAAATCTGCAAGGAATTTTCTAGCATTGTAGCCGTTGCAAAGGAGAATTTTAGTCACAGATTTCTACAGTTCCGTAAGATGGAGGCGACCCTGAGTTTTCTTACGTCTCCAGATAGAGCCAGATTTGAAGAGCTTGATCTTTCCTGCGTACACTGGTTAGATTATGGAAACCTGGAAATGGAGCTGTTGGAATTTCAAGAAAGCTCTCTCTGGAAAGATAAATTCTATGACCTGCGTGCGACCCTGGAGAAGATAGAGAAGGCGGAGTGTGAAGGGATGGCAGAGGGCAGCACGGCTGGCAGCTCGGAAAATGAAATCCTTAAAGTGTGGAATTCTCTGCCAAATAATTTTAAGTCCATGAAAGCACTTGGGATTGCTTTTCTTACTTTGTTTGGATCATCTCATGCTTGTGAGCAGCTGTTTTCAGCTTTGAATTACTGTAAGTCGCCAACTTACGAACATTCAAGTCACGAACTTTCACAGATACCAACGGACCTCGCACTACAGACATTCTTAGATGGGAACAAATCGTGGAAGTAACTCCTGCGTCTGCCGGCCACTGTCACAGCTATGTGGCTGTATGCTCACTCACTGCACAGTGCTCAGTCAGCCCAGGACGTCCGGAAGCGGGAGGAAAAGCAGTGGTGACATGAAGGGGATGCTAGGAAGTGCAAAGCAACATACATTGTATATTTGTGTCTAAGGAGTGTAAGACTCAATGTATTGGAGTTACGAACCAGTCCGACTTATGAGTGTTCTTCCGAAAGGAACTTGTTCATAAGTCGGGGCCTCACTGTATATCAAATCAGATGTAAGAGAAACAAACAGACTCACCGGTGGCCTGAGTGCTGTGTTGCTCTCAATCGAAGGACACATGAGCCCAGGTTTGAGAAATTATCAGCGTGCTCACAACCACAGAGATCGCGTGAATTGTGCAGTAGCACACCAAATGCAGACTTTTCCACCTTTCAATAAAAAGCTGTATCAGTGAAAACTCTGTTGTTTCTCTTTTAAGACAAAAGATGTTAATGTATGAGTTGTTTTTTCTAAACTAAAACCTCAGCATTCAGGTTCGATTGCAGTGTTGGCACTGTGCGATAAAGAGGTGGGTTTGGGGTTGCAGTTTGGGTGCTGGTCTCTGAAAGGTTCACCATCGCAGGCCTAAGAGTTTCCATTGGGAATAAAAATATTTTTTCTCCTGGAGATGTTCTCCACAAACAGTATTAAATGCTAGAATGCTGTTTGTTATTTGGGGTCTGATTCATGTTTCTTGGCAGGTGAAATTCAAACCCCACCTCCTTGCTCCCTTTCTGAGAGATCTTGGGGTCTGCAGGAGGGAGGGTCAGGGGCCCCAGAATTGATCAGATCAAGCCCAGGAGCCCGGGCAGACCAGGGTCCCGTCCTCAGGACAGAAAAACAAACAAAAAGCAAAGATCCAGCCCACATCCTCTGGTTGCACAGTTTTCTCAGGCAGAAAGAAGCCCAGAAGCCCTCCTAGGAGAAAAGGAAACAATTAGAAAGCGAGGCATGGAGTCGCACACCTGTCATCCTAGCACTCTGGAGGCTGAGGCAGGAGGATCATCTCAGGTTTGAGGCCAGCCTGGGTGACATGGCAAAACCCTGTCACAAAGAAACAAGCAAAGAGACAAACTCCAAAAATCTAAAAATGTAATAACAGCTGAGGCTGGGGTTGTGAGTCAGTAACTGAGTGATTGCCTAGCATCGGCAAAGCCGTGGTTTCCATCCCCAGCAGTGCCTCTACCTCCAACCAATAATAACTTAAGCGAGATACAACTCACTTAATGGTACAATCCACTGGGCGAGGGGGATGCATCTGTAGTCCCAGCTCCTCAGGAGGCTGAAGCAGGAAGGTCACTTGAGCCCAGGAGTTTGAGGCCAGCCTGGCAAACATAGTGAGACTCATCTCAAAATAAAGAACTAAATTGTACAATCCAAAGGTTTTCATTTTATTCGCAGACACACAGTCAAATCTACTTGGTATGTGCAGACTTGGGTAGTCAATACTGTTATTTAAATTTGTTTATTCATTGATTTTTTTGGTTTGTTTTGTTTTTGAGACTGGGTCTCGCTATGTAGCCCAGGCTGGGCTTGAACTCATGAAGATCCTCTTGCCTCGGCCTCCCAACTGCTGGGATTATAGGACTCCGCCACCATGCTCAGCTGTATACACCACATTTTATCTGCTCATCAGTGCTGGGTATCTGGGTTTTCTACTTTTTACCTACTATGAATAATGCTGCTAAGAAAGCGCACACGCTTCTGTCAGTGTCGGCTTTCACTGTTCTTAATTATACAGCTACTAATAGGGCAGGCGGGTCATAGTTTCTTCTTTTTTTGGTGACCATGCTGGTATACAGGAATGTACCGCGGTTTGGGCTTGTGTTTCTCTATAGGTAACTGTCGCGACCCGCACAGCGTAGGGTCTGAAGCCAGGCAGAGCGGAGAGAGATGAAGAAAATTGGAAAATAATAAGAAAGAAGGCAAAATTATGCTTTATAGCTGGGACCAGGTGGGACCATAGCCTGACGAGCTTGAGGCCGCCTGGCATCCAGTGCGCTCTTTATTTATAGTGTGGGAGGGCCGGGTGACTCCTGCCCCCGGCCCGCCTGGCCTGGGCGGGAACTGACTGTCTCCTGATCGGGCATGCGCAGAAAGGGAGCACACGTACCGTAGCTGTCTCCTGGCGCTGCACCATCCAGGATCTACCATCTTAGTCAAACAGACTGTTTGACTCTCTAATCTGCGGAGGAGAAAGGGAGAAGGGATTAGGCGAAAGGCCACCTGCAGGCTCGGCCTGCGGGAAGTAACCAGGCAGAGATGTGTTTCCTTCAAGGTGCTGGGGGTGGAGCCCAGGGGCCCATGGGTGCTCCAGCGCTGAGCTGTACCCCCGTGTATTTTAACTTCGGTTTATTTTTCAGGTGTTTATTGGCTATTTCTGTATCTTCTTGGGAGATGTGTCTATTGAACCCCCTCTCCCCAGTGCTGGGGATTGAACCCAGGGCCTCACTGAGCTCCATCCCCTGCCCTTTTAAAAACATTGTTTTGAGGCAGGGTCTCACTAAATCGCTAAGTTGCCAAGACTGGGCTGGAACTTTCGATCCTCCTGCCTCAGCCTCCCACAGGGCTGTGATGGTAGGTGTCCACCTCCGTGCTGGCTTGATGGAGCTCTTGCAGGCAAAACATTTTTGTTGTTGTTGTTTTATTTGATTTTTTTTTTCTTGGTACCGGGGATCGAACTCCGGACCTTGCGCTTGTGAGGCAGGCGGCGGCACCACTGAGCTAAATCCCCGGCCCATTTGTTGTTTTATTTGAGACAGTGTCTTGCTATGTAGCCCAGGCTGGCCTGGAATTTATGGCAGTCCCCCTGCCTCAGCTAGGATGACAGGCGTGCACCACCATGCCTGGCAAAAAATGTAATTATTTTGAAATCCAGTTTACCTCTCCCTCCTTTCCGTTGCTTGTGCCATATCTAAGGAGCTGTCGCCTAATCCAGGGTTATGCTCTTTGGTGCCCTTTTTATTGGGAGAATTTTCTAGCTCTGGACTTCACCTCTGGCATTTCAGGGGGGCCAGAACCCCTTTTCTGTTCGGGCAGGTGGGGAGACTCCATCAGAAAGGCTCTGCCAGAGCCGGGGATTTAGCTCAGTGGTTTCGCCACCTGCTGCGCAAGCGCAAGGACCTGAGTTCAATCCCCGGTACCAAAAAAAAAAAAAAAAGCGCTGCCGCCAGTGTCCACCAGGGGGCAGAAGAGCCGCGGTTTGGTCTGCCCGGGGCCCAGCAGTGGGACTGGATGTGGGGTTCACACAGGTTCAGATCCCAATGATGGTTCTCTGGCGCGTGGCCAATCGGGCCTCAGTTTCCCCGCCCATAAGGTGCGCTCCGGGCCTCAGTTCCCCCCAGCTCCGGGGAGGCGACACGCGGTAGGAAGGGGTGCTGCAAAGCCTTGGCCCTGCCTGGAGCAGGGGTCGCCTTTGGCAGGTGGGAGCCTGGTGCCCGCCTCGTCTGCAAGGCCCGGTCACAGCTGGGGCTGGGGACAGGTAGGTGGGGCCGGGAGTCCCGAGGCTCAGCCCGATTTGTGTTGAAGGCTGTGTTTGTGAAGCAGGAGGGTCTGGACTGCATAGCCAGACCCTGTCTCAAAAAACCAAAAAACATGCAAAAAACCCCAAAGAAAACAAAAAGCCTCAAGGTTGGGGCTCTGTGGCAGCACCTGCCCAGCATGCAGGAGGTCCTGGGTTCCATCCGAAGCACCCTACAAAGAAAAATGAGAGGAAACAAGAGGGGTGCAGTACTACATGTGACACTGGCTCCTCAGGAGGCTGAGGGAGGAGTCACAAGTTTGAGGTGAGCCTGCGCATTTATTTTTATGTTTTGGTTTTTTGAGACAGGGTCTCTCTATCCAGTCCAGGCTGGCTCTGAATTATGCAGCCCAGGCTGACCTTGAACCCTAGGTAATCCTCCTGCCTCAGCCTCCCAAGTGCTGGGATGACAGCTGCGCCCCCCCCCCGTATAAATAAATAAATAAATAAATAAATAAATAAATGAAGAAGGGCTGGGGATGTAGCTCAGTACCCTTGGGGCCCAATCCCCAGTCTCACTGCACAAAACCAAATCAAAATCAAAATCCAGGAATAATGATGGAGGAAATGGACAAAAACAGGATAAAAGTAGAAAAATCCACACAGCCCTTTCTCTGTCACTGCAGCTTCCTCTCCTTGTCTTTGGGGCAAGGGAAGCAGAGCCGGCCCCTCGTTTCCTGTGGTCAGGCAGCCAGTGCCTCAGTTTCCCTCCTGGGACTGGGGAACACAGCACAGGCCCCCGGGACTCTGCTTTCTGGGTGGTGCTGCTGCTCTGGCCACACCACCGGCCACCTTGGGGCATGCTGTTTTTATTACTCACAGGGGTTTTTGTTTTTTTTTGTTTTTTGCTTCCTGGTCAATATTTGGCCAGCAGTTCTAATAACTCATTAATTTTCCCATTCTTTGCAGTTAGATGTTTCCTTATTAAAGCAAATATTTACCTTTCAAACACGATGAGCATGAAATGCTGTGACAGATGAAAAATGCTATGGGCCCCAGAGAGCTGCCTCCCTCCTTCGCCCACACAGGGTCCCTGGGTCCATCCCCAGAGCCACAAAAAACAAAGGAACAAACAAAAACCCACAAGGAATAAAAAACACCACCGCAAGAAAAACAAAGAAGAAAGGCACTGTGATGAATGAGCGAGAAGATATGGCCGTTACTCCTGGACGGCTGGGCTCCGGGGGGAGCAAACCTCAGCCCCTCCTCCTTTTCTTTCCCTGGCGCTGGGACGCCACCACCACTGGAGTGACTGCTGCCCTTGGGGGGTGTGAAGTGTGGCCTCACTGTGGCTGGTGCTGCCTTGCGGCTCGTTGATGACTCATGATACTGTGCACTCTTCCTGTACTGCCGGGCCCCTTACAGACTTCTGTGGTGAAAGATCTGCTTGAATCTTTGTGCTATTTTCTTTTTTTCCACTGCTAGGGGTTGAACCCAGGGCCTCCACACTGAGCTGCACCCCAGCCCTTTTTATTTTTTATTTTGAGACAGGGTCTGGCAAAGTCACTGAGTTGCCCAGGTGGCTTGAACTCACAATGATCCTCCTGCTTCAGGCTCCTAGAATGCTGGGATCACAGGTGTGCACCACTGTGCCCTGTTTGGCAATTTTCTTGTCAAGTCGTTTGTCTTATTTTCAAGTTGGGAGAGTTCTCTGCATACAGTTGTCTCTAGTGAGGTGGATGAACCATGGTCGACTTGGAGCGCCCAGCCGAACTGAGTCAGTGTGGTTGGGCGTGGAAGACCCGCCTGAGGATTGTTGCCAATGGCTATAAAAGGAGACCTGGAGAGGAATCTCGTCTGCTGTCCATTTTCTAGGAGAAGCTTGCCTCGAGGCTGGTTTTCCTGATTCGAAGTTGGCTGTTCTCAGAGGAGCTCAGGCCCTTGCTGTGGCCAGGAACAGCTGCTGTTCTCAGGGGAGCTCTGGTCTTCCCCATGAGCATTGCCTCCTGGCTCCAGTGCAGGCCCCTCGGCCTCTGGCACAATCCTTCACCCTGCCAGTGGCCCTGGGCCTTCCCAGTGCAGATCCTCCATATGGACAAGCCTGAGACATCACTTGGGCTCCAGGCCTTTAGCAGGACTCATGCGGGCCATTGCCGTGGGACCTGGTCTGGATCCTTCAGATCTTTGGGGTGTGGACAGATCTCTTGCACGCCTCTGCATTTGACTTTTTGGGTGACTATTATAAAATAATCCTGTAAATGATCTGTCCTGTATCAAATCTATTCCCCTGCAAACCCTGACTACAGCATCTAGGTATCTACAGGGCGTGATTCTGGGCCGCCAAAGGCCCAGCTGCTGGAGCACCTTCTACAAAGGACGTCGCATCTGCACAGAGCCCTCGAAGGTCCCCGTTGACTTTCCGTCAACTCTACATAGCTTAAGACATGGGACACAGCTTAAATGCTAGGTGAATGGCCATTACACTATTGCTCAGGAAGCAAGGACAATAAAAACGTCTGCCCAAATGCACATCAGTTTTGTTTCTGATTCTTTTCCGGGCGAATGAACCCAGGGCCTCACACATTCCCAGCAAGTGCTCTGCCCCGGATCTGCTCCCTGTCTCCACATAGGAATTTCCAGGTGACACACACAGACCACAGCAATATTTTAACTTTTTTCTTTCACTACTGCTGCAGATGAGATTTAAAAAAAAATTCCATCTTTCATTTTTTTCTGGTGGTAAGAATATAATGTAGCTGGTCCAGTGTTATGTGCCTATAATCCCTGCTACTTGGAAGGCTGAGGCAGGAGGATTTCGATTCCAAGCCTTGCCTGGGTAACTGAGAGAGACCCTGTCTCAAAGAGAAATAAAGAACCAGGTGTGGAGGCGCACACCTGTGATCCCAGCACTCAGGAGGCTGAGGGAGGAGGGTCAGTGTGAGTTCAAGGCCAGCCTGCACTACATAGCAAGACTCTGTCTCAAAAAAACAACAACAAAAAATACAGTACCACTGTAAATGAAAAATCAAAAATATATAAACTGCAGGTTCAGGATACAAAATCAGTTTGAAACACTTTTCCCCTTCTCAAGACAGTAAGCCTGGGGCATTCCTTTTCCTTACATTTGGACCTCAGCTATTTTCTTCAAGTAGAAAACGGGGTTTTCCTGTCACCTGCGCACGGAGCATCACCCCTTCCTCCCTGGCAGAGACCACGCTTTTCATCTTCCTTCCGGAGGAGTTCCGAGTCCCACCCCAAAGTCCAGGGAGAGGACGATGCCACTCATTCCTTTTTGTTTTGAGACAGGGTCTCGCTGCCTAGCCCAGGCCGATCTTGAACTCGCAGTGATCCTCCCGCCTCAGCCTCCCGAGGGCTGGAGTCCTAGGCGTGCGCCCCTACGCCCAGCCTGGACAGTTGTTGTTTTTAGTTTCGTTCTGTTGCGTGTTGCTGGGCATTTTTTTTTTTTTTTTTTTGGTACCGGGGATCGAACTTGGGACCTTGTGTTTGCGAGGCAGGCGGTGGAACCACTAAGCTAAATCCCCTGCCCCTTGCTGGGCATCTCTCCATCACTCAAGCTGACGCGTCATAATGACTCCATCTAGAACTGACCCTTTGTGCAGTTCACACACGCCCTCACACCTACACATTTATATTTACACCGAGAGGCCGATGAGGTGTCCCGCAGCCGCAGACCCCTGGGATCTTTCTTCTGTCGGGATCCAACGGCCTTGTGTCACAGTCACTTCCGTCGTTGCTGAGACTCAAGGCCTGACATCCGCAACTAGAAGGAGGTGACGCGTGCCTTGCGTGGTAGCCAACCCGGTAGCAGGGCCTGGGGGAGGAGAGCTGCTCAGGGCCTGGCGACCGGAAGCGGAGAGGGAGGGAGGGGCCAGGGGAGTGAACCCTCCGGCCACGCCCTCTAGGGCCACGCCCTCTAGGGCCACGCCCCCACAACGTACCTTCCAGCCAGGCCCAGCCTAGCGGGAAGTCAGCTGCGGGCCCCTCCATCCGGTCACCTTTCAAAAGTCCTGGCCATAGCGCGCCAGGCCTCTGGGGACTCCACGCCGTGACACCTCGTGCTGGCGACACAGGCAGCAGAGGGCATGGCTCTTCTTAAAACTGAAGGCGTTTGTGCCAGGATGCAAGGGACGTCTCTCTGCTCAGGAAGTGTGCTTTTGCGCACAGAGCAAAGCACAGAGCCTCCTGGCAGCAAATTAAACAACACAGATTGTAACATCAGACGTGGGGCGCACGCCTGTGATCCCAGTATCGGGAGGCTGAGGGAGGAGGATCGCCGTGAGTTTGAGGCCAGTCTGGGCTATATAGGAGACCCTGTCTGAAAAACAAAAACAAAACTAAACAACAGAAGCAAAAATAGCCCGGTGCAGTGGCACACACCTCTAATCCCAGGTACTTGGGAGGCCGAGGCAGGAGGTTCACAAGTTGGAGCCCAGGGTGGGCAATGTAGCGATTAAGTAGGATCCTGTCTCAAAATGAAAGACAAAAGGGACTGTAGATTATCTGGATGTGAAGGCCCCGGCTTCAAGCCCCCTTATCCAAATTTTTTTTTGGATACCTGAACCACTGAAGTTGCTTTTCTTGGCCTGGCTCTTGGCTTTGCCCGGGAGTTCCTCATGGGGTTGACACTCGTCCCCTCTCTGCGGTGGAAGGTGCCACCTCTGCCTCAACCCTGCTTCCTTGTGGCTCGTGCTCAAAGTTTCCAGAGTCAGCACCCGGGAGTCCTTGGCACCTCAGAGACTGGCTGACCTTTCCAGGAGCTCAGTGTGTCCTGGGAGCCACTCAGGAAGTGAAAACAAAACCCTGGGATAAGCCTGGCTCGGCTTCCTGCCGCAAGCTGCATCCACCCTTTCCCATGCCTAAGGGTCACTGCGTCCCTGACTCCCTGGCCTTCTGGGGACGCCCTGGTCCACCCGCCTCCCTGCCTGTGGCCAGCTCCAAGGCTCTCTGAAACAACTATTGGGTGATGCTTTGTTTTCTCATCCTCTTCGCTTGTTCGAGGGACCAGGTCTGCTGAGGATTTTTTTGTTTTTTTGAGACAGGGTCTCACTATGCAATTCAGGCCAGCCTTGAGCTCATGGTGATCCTCCCGCCTCAGCCTCCCAAGTGCTGGGATGACAGGTGTGCACCACTATGCCTAGCTGCTTGGTTTTTGGGGGCCCTGAGTCCTTGCAGAAAGATCTCAAGGGAGGATTTAACTTTTGCCTGCGGCAGCTTCCAGGTCTCCTTGTTCCCTTCCCTGGGTACAAAATGAGTTCCACAGTGGACACAACCCCCAAGTGCACAGATGGGTAAATGGAGGCACCGGGCTTGCTGGACCATAAGCCGACCTGGAGCCTGATGAGTTTGATGGGGCCAGGCCCCCGTCCCTGCTGTCACCCCTTGCCTGAGCCGCCCCTCCCTGGCTGGGCCCTGTTGCCTTCCACCCCCAGTGGGCCTGACTTTTGGTAAATGACAGCGCTCAGGAAGTTGAGGGGCCCGCACAGGAAGGCAGCAGCGGGACTTTCCTGTCGTTGCCTCCCAGCCTGCCTTCCTGTCTTCGGCCCAGGGTCCCTCATGCCAGGTAGGAGCTGGTGGGGGCCCCGCGACTCTGGCCAGGCACTGGGGGGCGAGGGGACGCATGGTAGCTGGGGACGGCAGGGCTGGTGGAGGGTCCTGGGGTCCCTCAGCCCTTCTCTGGGTCTTGGTTCTGAGCCCCTGAACAGGAACCCCGGATCCCAGCCATGCACCGGGACCAGCCCTGCGCATGCGTCATGGGCTGCCTCCTCCGGGGACCGCAGTTCCCAGCCCCTACCTAGGATCCTGGGCCGGAGCAGAGGGCCAGGGACTCTTTCTTTCTCACTTTCACTATTACTAGAAATAATAATCATGTTTCTTGCTGGGGATGGTGGTGGAGACCTGTACTCCCAGCTACTTAGGAGGCTGAGGCAGGAGGATCAAAATTTCAAGCCCAGCCTGGGCAATTTACTAATTTACTGAGATCCATACTCAGAGTTAAAGCGCTGGGGGCGTGGCCCAGTGGCACAGCCCCTGGGTCCTCCGGGGCCCCCTCCCCACCCTCCTTCCTGTCTGGGTTAACAGGCGTTTCCTGAACCCTGGCCGAGGGTTACACGAAGTCACTCGGATTAGCCGCAGTGACACTTGGATCCTGGGATGTGCGCAGGCAGCCACCTCTGCGAGGGAGGGGAGTCGCCCCCTGCACGGCTGCAGAAGTGGGTCCCGAGGGTCCTTGGGATGCTGGAAATTGGTGGGGCTGGGATTTGAACCAGAGTCTGAGGTCTTTCCCCACCACCAGCAGGGTGCTCATATTCCAGGTTTGCTAAAACATCAGTCCTGTGTGTCAAGCTGGGGGGGGGTGCACTTGCCATCCCAGCACTCAGGAGGCTGAGGCCGGAGGATCGCTGTGAGTTCGAGCCCAGTTTGGGCTACATAGTGAGTTCAAAGCCAGCCTGAACTACACAGAGAGACTCTGTCTCAAAAAACCAAAAAAATACTGTGTCCCACCCCAACCCAGTGTGTGCTGGGTGTTTCGGAACATGGTTTTAAAATTTTGTTTTGCTATACTGGGGACTGAACTCAGGACCTCGCCCTAGCTGTATTTATTTTTTATTTTGAGACAGGCTCTCCGTAAGTTGCCCAGGCCACACATCACACAGCCCCAGCCTCAGACGGGCCAGCGGTGACAGCCACTCCCACCCCTGTCCCTCTAAACCCCCATAGACACAAGCCAGCACCAACCTTTTCCGTTCCTGGTCGGGGAAATTGGTGGATCTGTGATCAACTGCTCATTCCTGCCTTGGGTGGGATGGGCTGGCTGCCAGGGAGACGTGGAGGTGTCAGGCGGACTGGAGCTGTGGTCAGCTGGTGATGTCTGCCCTGGCACTGTCAATAACATGGGGACCAGGGTGCCTCACTTTTCCTGCACACTCAGCCCCTCCTGCGTGTCCTCATCTCTGTCTCTGCTCTCTGGGTCCCAGCAGGTTGCATTCATGGTGCCCCCGAGTGAGGAGACGCCCCTGATCTCTCAGCGCTCCTGCAGCCTCTCATCCTCAGAGGCCGGGGCCCTGCATGTGCTGCTGCCTCCTCGGGGGCCTGGCCCCACCCAGCGCCTGTCCTTCTCCTATGGGGACCACTTAGCTGAGGAGCTGTGTGTGCGAGCTGCCAAGGCCAGTGGTCAGTAGATCCCTAAGGACTGAGCCAGAGGGAAAGACAGAACTGTGGGGGGACTAGTTTGGGAGTGGGGATTGCAGCTGGGGTTTTGAGGGATGTGTAGGAGTTTGCTCAGGAGGAGGGTGAGAAGTTGAGGCCTAGGAGTACATATTGTGGTCCAGGAGGGAGCTGATGGGCATCTCGGTAGGCATCCTGCCTGTGTACCACTCTCTCTTCGCACTGGCCTCGGAGGACCTGTCTTGCTGGTTCCCCCCAAGCCACATCTTCTCCGTGGAGGACTTGGGCACGCAAATCTTGGTCTACAGGCTCCGGTAGGAAGTACCCCGCCTCCAGGGGTCACCCCACATTCTCATGCCCCCGCACCTCGACAGCATTCTCAATGCCCATTACACAGATGGGATGCTGAGGCCAGAGTGGGTGGGTCACCTTCCACAGGTCATACAGCAAGCCGTGGCAGCGCCTGCCACCCCAGGTGCCACCCTCACCCCGGGGCCCCCTGCCCCAGGTTTTACTTCCCCAGCTGGTTTGGGCTGGAGAAATGTCACCGCTTCGGGCTCCGAAAGGACCTGGCCAGCGCCATTGTTGACCTGCCTGTCCTGGAACACCTCTTCTTCCAGGTGAGGGTCCACGGGGCAACATCGGGGCTCACAGTTGGGCGGGGCTCTGGGTGACCCTCCCCGTGGCCTGTCCCATCCCAGCACCGCAGCGACCTGGTGAGCGGGCGCCTCGCTGTGGGCCTCGGGCTCAAGGAGCAGGGCGAATGCCTCAGCCTGGCCGTCCTGGACCTGGCCCGGATGGCCCGTGAGCAGGGCCGGACGCCACAGGAGGTGCTGCGCACTGTCAGGTGGGGCCCGAGCGGGTCTGCCCTGTGGGCGCCACGACGCGTAACCCAGGCCCCCCGACGCGCAGGGCCCCGCGCACCCCCCCCCCACAGTGCGCGGCATCCCTCTCGCGCTGTCCCCGGCCCTTGCTCCGCGTGCCCATCCCTGCGAAAGCCACGGCCCCCTGATCCACACCCTGACCTGAGGCCGGGTCCACCGCAGCTACAAGTCCTGCCTACCCCGCGGCCTGCGCGACCTCATCCAGGGCCTGAGCTTCCTGACGCGCAAGCGCATCCGCAGGACGGTGCGCCGCGCCCTGCACCGCGTGGCCGCCTGCCAGGCCGACCGGCACTCACTCATGGCCAAGTACATCTTGGACCTGGAGCGGCTGGACCCAGCCCAGGCCACGGAGACCTTCTGCGTGGGGCTCCCGTGGACAGCGAGCGGCCAGGACGCACGCGGGCTGCTCCAAGTGGCCGGGGGCAGCGGCATAGCCTGGAGCCCCAGGGAGCACGAGGTACGCAGGCGTGGGGCAGGGCCCCGAGGGAGCACGACGAGAAGTGGGTGTGGCTGGGAAGGGGTGCGGCCAAACGTGGAGGGAGCAGCAAAATGGGCGGTGCTTAACGTAGGGTGTGGCTCGATGAAGGAGGAGACTGAGGGGACGGGGTTCAAAGGCGGTGCCGGGAGTGGAAATGGGAGGGGCTTAGAAGGGGAGGGAACAATGGTGGAGGTGCTTGAGGGGGCGTGGTCTAGTGGAGAGGGAGTGGCAAACAGGGCGATGTTCAGGGCGGGGCAGGAGGAAGGGGCGTGACTGGGAAGGGGAGGGGCTATGCGGTGGGCGGGGCTAAGAGGAGAGGGCGGGGCTCCAAGGGGTTGGGACCCCAAGGCGGGGTTCTGCAGGGGAGGTGGGAAGAGTGGGCCTGTCTGGGGCATGGGAGGTGGGCCTGGCAGACGTGGTCCAGAGAGTGGGTGTGTTTGGTGTGTCCAGGGGAGGAAGTGGGCGTACTGGAGCGTGGCCTGTCAGGCGTGAGGGAGGAGTGGGCGGGTCTGGGGCGTGGCCCGTTAGGGTGGGGGGGATGGGTGGGCCCAGGGCGTGGCCTGGGAGGGTGGGGAGGAGTGAGGGGGCGTGGCCCGGCTGCTGGGCGTGGCCAGGGCGAGTAGCGGCCCCCCCCCCCCAGCCCTTCCAGCAGTTCTGCGACTTCCCCGAGATTGTGGACGTCAGCGTCAAGCAGGCCCCACGCGCGGGCCCGGCCGGCGAGCACCGCCTGGTCACCGTCACGCGCGCCGACAACCAGATCCTGGTGGGTGCGGGACCCCCGCCCGGGTGGGGAGGGCCGCCCCGCGCACGCTGACCGCGTCCCCGCAGGAGGCCGAGTTCCCAGCGCTGCCCGCCGCGCTGTCCTTCGTGGCGCTCGTGGACGGCTACTTCCGCCTGACGTGCGACCCGCGACACTTCTTCTGCAAGGAGGTGGCGCCCCCGCGGCTGCTGGAGGAGGTGGCTGAGCACTGCCACGGCCCCATCACGTAAGGACAGAGCCTAGGCCGTGGGTCAGGCGCTCAGATCGCAGCCGGGACTGGGGAGGCTGAGGCAGGCGGAGACCGGGGGAGAGGGGCCGAGGTCGCCGGGGCTGGGTCCCAGGCTGCAGAGGGACCGGAATTCAGACCGAGGCCCGGCCCTGCCTGTCTGCCTCCACCTCCCTCCCTGTCTCTGCTCTCCCTTCCCTCCCGCCCTCCCTGCAGCCTGGACTTCGCCATCCACAAGTTGAAGGCCCGGGGCTCAGTCCCGGGCACCTACGTGCTCCGCCGCAGCCCTCAGGACTTTGACAGCTTTCTGCTCACGGCCTGTGTCCAAGTTGGTTCCCCTCTGGGGTCAGGGGGCCGGGGGGGAGGGGGCTTCCTGGAGTGCGTGCTGCTCCAGTGGTGTCACAGGCCTGGAATCGTGGCTACTTAGGAGGCTGAGGCAGGAAGATCTCAAATTCAATCCCAAGCCGCCACTTAGGGGCCCCTCCCTTGCAGACACCCATGGGCCCCGACTACAAGGGCTGCCTCATCCGCCGGGACCCCACTGGGAGCTTCTGCCTGGTTGGCCTCAGCCAGCCGCACGGCAGCCTCAGGGAGCTCCTGTCCGCCTGCCGCGAGGGCGGGCTGCACGTGGACGGCGCGGCCCTGAGCCTCACCACCTGCTGTGCCCCCACGCCCAAAGGTGCAGCCCTGACTTTCCGCGTCTGTGACAGCTCCTGGGTGGTGGCGAGGGACAGACACTGCAGGTCAAGGTGCTTTAGGGGAGAAAAATGTGATTTCCTGATGGGCTTCAGGTACAGCTGGGCCCAGGCGCAGCTGGGAGGATTTCGCTATCGGAAGGGACAGCTCCATGGAGCCTACAGTTCAGGGTCAACTTCTGGGGTCCCCAAACTAAGCCGGGGAGCACATAGGCTCTCGGGGACCCTTCGCCTCTGACCTCCGCACTCTGTGCCCCAGAGAAGTCCAACCTGATCGTGGTGCGGAGAGGCTGCGGCCCGGCCACCACGGCGCACGCGCAGCTCCCAGTGCTGAGCCAGCTGACCTTCCACAAGATCCCTCCGCCGAGCCTGCAGCGGGTACGGCCGGGCGCGGGCCTGCCCAGGACTTCTGTGGCCTCTGTTTCCCCGCCTGTGAGCCGGGGCCCTCACCGGCTGTCCTGCTGTCCCCGCCCTGGCAGCACGAGAACCTGGGCCATGGCTCCTTCACCAAGATTTACCGAGGCTGTCGCCACGAGTGCGTGGACGGGGAGGCCCTGGAGACCGAGGTGCTGCTGAAGGTGCTGGACGTGGAGCACAGGAGCTTTGTGGAGGTTAGGGCGGAGCCCGGTGTGGGGGCAGGGACTGTGCTTCCGGCTCCCCAGGAGGCCGAGGCGGGAGGGTCCCAAGTTACAGCCCAGCCTTGGCCACTTAGACCTGGTCTCAAAATAAAAGAAATATAATGGGTAGGGATGCAGCTCAATGAAAAGGGCCTGGGCTCAATCCCCAGGACCTCAGAAGAAACAGACCCATCTGTGAGGGACACAGGCTGAGGGCTGTGTGACCTCTTGGGATGCACACATCTTCCTCCTGCCAGTCCTTCCTGGAAGCAGCCAGTTTGATGAGCCAGGTGTCCTACCCGCATCTCGTGTTGCTGCATGGCGTGTGCATGGCTGGAGACAGTGAGATCCCCGGACCCCACCCCTACCTCCCCCGAGCTCTGGCTGCCCCTTCTACCTCCCAATGGCTGTGTCCATCCCTAGGGGTGGCTTCCTCTGTGGGATGGGTAAGGAAGGGTGGGCTCTGTAGCATCCATAGGAGTTTGATAGGGGGTGAAAGGAGGTCATTTTGGATGAAGAAACAGCGTATGTACCGGCTCCGAAGTGTGAGAGCACTGGAAGGGGATAACTGGTCATCAGTGGATGTCAGGGGGAGGAGTGAGGGAAGGCTGAGCAGGGGAAAGGTGTTCCCCCAGAGAGGGCACATTGGAATTGGGGCTTTGATATTTGAGTAGGAGTCCAGCAAGATGAGAAACACCCTGAGGAAAGACCAGCAGGCTAGAACATGTGTTGCACATCCCGGGCCACACCAGGCAGTTCCAAAGTCTTCCCCAGAGGGGGAGCACTGGGTCGGGGACTTGGAAAGGGGGCAGCATCAGCCACACCTCGTGCCCACCTGTGTGTGAGTTCCTCTGCATCTTGGCATGGGCCACACAACCGCTCTGAGCCGTGGTCTCATCGCTTTGCTCTCAGTTGTTTAATGTGGGTGAGACACAAGGTGCCCTCACCCACCTGGGGACAGGGAGGGCACAGGGAGGGGCAGTCACTGCGGGACCTGAGATGGCCCTCCCACCCCCTTGCATGCCAGGCATCATAGTGCAGGAGCTCGTAGCCCTAGGCGCCATTGACACCTACCTGCTCAAGCGCGGCCACCTGGTGCCCGCCAGCTGGAAGCTGCAGGTGACTAAGCAGCTGGCCTGCGCCCTCAACTATTTGGTGAGTGCTCCTCTGCCTGGGTATAGGGGGAATGGAGTGTGGGCTCTGTAGCATGGCTAGGAGTTTGGTAAGGAAGAAGGGGAGGGAATTTTAGAATGAAGGAGCCAGAATGTGCCAGCACTGGAAGCAGGCAACTGGTCATCCATGGATGTCAGGGGAGGAGTGAGTGAGGCCTGGGCAAGGGGGCAAGGCTTCCCCAAAGAGGGCACATTGGAGTTGGGGCTTTGACATTTGTGTAGGAGTTGAGCAAGAGGCGCAGTGGACGGTCTGTCAGACAGAGGCACAGCCGAGGCAGGGGCCACAGGCTGCAGAGTGTGTTGCACAGCCTAAGCCTGGCGGGCAGCTCGGTTGGCAGGAGCCCAGGATGGGGCTCATGAGAAGTGTGAGTGGGACCCTCGAATGCAAGGCTCAGAAGCTTCGATTCCTGGAGGTCGTGGGGAGCTGTAGAGGGGAGGGCTGCCCCTGAGAAGGGAAAGGACAAGGCCAGGTGAGCACAGGTGAGCCAGGATGCCAGGGAAGGGCTGAAGTACTCCTGGGCAGTACCAGGTGGACTTTGAGGGGGGTGTAGGAGTCTGTTAGACATCAGCTCTTCCACCAAATCCTCCTCGGCACTTCCCTGTAGGAGGACAAAGGCCTCCCTCATGGCAACGTCTCAGCTCGGAAGGTGCTGCTGGCCCGGGAGGGTGCTGATGGGAGCCCGCCGTTTATCAAGCTCAGCGACCCTGGCGTCAGCCCCACTGTGCTGAGCCTGGAGAGTGAGTGTCGGGGGGCTTTGCAGGGTGTATAGGAGTTCGGCAGAGTATCCGTTCATCAAACCCTGGCTGCCATGGCCACGCCGAGCCACTGGGAGGACAGAGGCCTCTGTCGTGCCCCTGACCCGTTCCTGCCCCTCAGTGCTGACCGACAGGATCCCCTGGGTGGCCCCCGAGTGTCTGGACGAGGCCCGGATGCTTGGCCTGGAGGCGGACAAGTGGGGCTTTGGAGCCACGGTCTGGGAGGTCTTCAGCGGGGCCCCCATGCCCACCCGCGCGCTGGAGCCCGCCGAGGTCAGAGGGGCCCCGCGTGGGCTTCGAGTGCCCAGTCCAGCGGGGCGGCGGGGCGGGGCTCCCGAGGGCGGCGGTGACCGCGCTGTCTCCGCGCCTCAGAAACTCAGGTTCTACGAGGAGCGGCGGCAGCTGCCCGCGCCCCGGTGGGCGGAGCTGGCCGCACTGATCCGCCAGTGCATGGACTACGAGCCGGGCCGCAGGCCGAGCTTCCGCGCGGTCATCCGGGACCTCAACAGCCTCAGCACCTCAGGTGGCGGGGGCGTGGCCGGGGTGGGGGCGTGGCCAGGGTCTCCGCTATCTGGGGTCCTTCATCCTAGCTCTGAGAACCGAACCCGGGGTCTCCATACCGAGCAACACCTCCAGTCTGGGAAAGATTTTATTTTCTCGTCCTCCTCCTCCTCCTCCCCTCCCCTCCCCCTCCCCTTCCCTCCCCCCGTTTCTTCTTTTTCAAGACAGGATCTTACCAAGTAGTCCGGGCTGGCCTCGAACCCAACCCCTGGCTTGGGTTCCCGGTGGGTCCCCTGCAGATAAGAGGGAGGGCGGGGCTCGCTGAGCTAGCTGCCCACGCATGGGACAGCAGCCACCTAGCCCCTCACACCCACAGCTCAGCCACAGGACCACAGTCACTGTGTTCCCCATGTCTGCAGCCCTGTACAATTGCACAGGGTGTGCACTGCTCAAGGAGGCTGCTTTGCCTTCTTCCTGGCCCACCAGGCGCCCTCTGCTCACACGGCCTGACTGTCACGCACAGAGGAAAGTGCGCAGCCGAGGTCACATAGCAGGTCGGCTCCGGACCAGGGCCGGGACCGACCGTGCTGCCCGCCTGTGCCGCAGATTACGAGCTTCTCTCCGACCCCACGCCCGGCGCCCTGGCGCCCCGGGACGGGCCCTGGAGCGGCGCCCAGCAATACGCGGGCCAGGACCCCACGATCTTCGAGGAGCGGCACCTCAAGTACATCTCGCAGTTGGGCAAGGTGAGGCCGCTGGGCGCCGGGCTGGTTGGGTTCGGCTGGGCAGCACGGACTCGCGGCCGCCTCCGTCCCCAGGGCAACTTCGGCAGCGTGGAGCTGTGCCGCTACGACCCGCTGGGGGACAACACGGGCGCCCTGGTGGCCGTGAAGCAGCTGCAGCACAGCGGGCCGGACCAGCAGAGGGACTTCCAGCGGGAGGTGCAGATCCTCAAGGCGCTGCAAAGCGAGTTCATCGTCAAGTACCGTGGCGTCAGCTATGGCCCCGGTGAGCCCCGATCCCCGGGGGGCCCTGTCCCGGGGGGCTGGGACACCTGCCCGGCACGGGTTCAATCCTGGCTGGGCAACTCTTCGGATTTTTCAGACAGGGTCTTGCTATGTAGCTCAGGCTGGCCTTGAACTCGAGGAGATCCTCCTGCCTCAGCCTCCTGAGCGGTGGGATGACAGGCGTGCCCCACCATGCCTGGCTGTTTTACGGGGGTGAGGGGGTGGCTTTTCAGACAAGGTCTCGCCATGTAGTCTAGGCTGCCTCGAACTCACTAGCCCTGGCCACCTGTCTGGCCCAGAGCTGGAGGACATTCTCCTGCCTCAGCCTGGGCGTGCAGGGCCTCTGCGCGGCTCCGGGGAGGGGAGGGGAGGGTCGGGGAGGGTCGGGGAGGGTCGGGTCGGGTCGGGTCGGGTCGGGTCGGGTCGGGTCCCGCCCCCTGAGCCCTGGCTGCGGCCCCGCAGGCCGGCAGAGCCTGCGCCTGGTGATGGAGTACCTACCTTGCGGCTGCCTGCGCGACTTCCTGCGGCGCCACCGCCCGCGCCTGGACGCGGGCCGCCTGCTGCTCTTCGCCACGCAGATCTGCAAGGTGAGCGGGCGTGGTGGGCGCAGAGGACGGAGGACGGGCAGGCGGATCCGCAGGTCCGGAGCGCCCCCTGAGTGCGTGTCGCCCGCCCGCCCCCCAGGGCATGGAGTACCTGGGCGCCTGTCGCTGTGTGCACCGGGACCTGGCCGCGCGCAACATCCTGGTGGAGAGCGAGACGCACGTCAAGATCGCCGACTTCGGGCTTGCCAAGCTGCTGCCGCTCGACAAGGACTACTACGTGGTGCGCGAGCCGGGCCAGAGCCCCATCTTCTGGTGCGCGCCCGCCCTGCCTGCCCCGTCCACAGCGCCCGGCCCCGCCACCAGCACCCGGCCCCGCCCCGTCGGCCCCGCCCCGTCGGCCTCCTTTCAGCTCTGGCCCCTTACTCCATCTTCCGCTCCACTGCCCAGGCCTCGCCACGCCCACGGGTGCCCCCGCCCACCGCTGGACACGCCCCCTCCTGTTGTCCGACCCCGCCTCATTTTAGTCCTTCCCTTAGCCCTGCCTATTCTCCCTCCTGGGCTAGCCACTCCTCCCCATTGTCCCCACCCCGCCCCTAGGCCTAGCCACACCCACACCTAGGACTTGCCCCACCCCTTCACCTCCCTGATACCGCTCCACCCACTTGGAGGCCCTGCCCCGCCTTGCCATGTCTCCACCCACTACTCACCACTGGCCTCACCTCTAGCCGGCTCCGCCTCTGGCCTGGGTCCAGTTTCCATCTGCCCTGCTGGAACTCCTCATCCTCACTGCTTGCTCAACCCCTCCTCCCTGTGCCCCCCCTCCCCCCCGCCGGCCCAGCCCTAGTCCCGCCTCTAACCGCAGTTCTGTCCCTAGCCATAGCCCCACCCCTAGCCATAGCCCCACCCCTAGCCCCACCCCTCACTGCCCTGGCCCCTTAGCCCCGCCCTTCCTCCAGCTCTGCCCCTCCCTTCACTCAGCTCCACCACTCCTCTTTCAGCTTTAGCCCCGCCCTCAGCCCTGCTGGTCCTCCCCATTGCCCCCGCCAGCCCCTCCTCCCTCTAGTCATAGTCCCGCCCAACACACCACACTTTCCCCGCCCCCTTTCATAGTCCTGCCCCCAATTCCGGCCCCGCCCACCCTAACCCGAACCCTGGCCCCGCCCACTTTCTACCCCTATGGGCTGGCTCCGCCTCCTCCCACAGCTGGGGCGGGAAACTGAGGCCGGGTCGGTGACTCCCTCCCCCCCATCGCAGGTTCGCGCCCGAGTCCCTGGCGGACAACGTCTTCTCGCGCCAGTCGGACGTGTGGAGTTTTGGCGTGGTGCTGTACGAGCTCTTCACCTTCGGGGACCCGGGCTGCAGCCCCTCAGCCGTGAGTGCCCAGTACCCTCGCGGACCGGCCCCCAGCGCGACGCTGTCCCTGCTGTCCCCCCGCTGTCCCCGCGCTGTCCCCCGTGAGGTTCCCACGCTGTCCCCGCGTCCCCCCAGGAGTTCCTGCGCATGATGGGCTGTGAGCGGGACGCCCCTGCCCTGTGCCGCCTGCTGGAGCTGCTGGCCGAGGGTCGCAGGCTGCCCGCACCTGCTGCCTGCCCCGCGGAGGTGAGAGTGCCTGCCTCAGTTTCCCTGTCTGCAAGTGCCCGGGCCTAGACCCCCTCCCCTTGTCTTTGTTGACAGCTGGGTGGGAGCATGTGACAAAGGGGGTCCTGCCCTCCCGCCCTGTGTGTGTGTGGGGTCCCAAATGCGTTCAAGACTCACCGACAGGATTTTATTGGGTGAGGCTCAGAATAATTAGGGCCACTGGGGGATCCATAAATAGGGGCAGTTTTAGGGTTCACACTTGTAACTCTTGAGTCAGTGTCTGGCAGGCCATTGCTCATTCATAAGTTTACACACTCAGGCCGGGCATAGTAGTGCATATCTGTCATCCCAACATTCATGAGGCTGAGGCAGAAGGATCCCCAGGAGTTCGAGGCCAGCCTGGACTATAGGGAGACCCTGTCTCAAAAAACCAAAAGAAATAGAGTCCTTCACTGAGGCCTCTACTGTTACTGAGTGCCAGCTGTGTGCCAGACCCTGTCCTGGGTGTGGGGACCCAGCCACTCCACCTCCCAGTAACCCGTAGAAGCTAAGAAAGCACTGGAAACACTCATGTGTGAGAAGTGAGCCAGGCAGGAGCTCGCTCTCATCCAGCTACTTGGGAGGCCGAGGCAGGAGGATTGCAAGTTCCCAAGTTCCCAACAGCCAGGGCAACTTAGCGAAACTGTCTTAAATAAAAAAATAAGAAGAGCTGGGGCATGCTAACAACAACAAACCTTGAAAAACATGAAGGGGGGAATGACGGGGTGCAGTCGGGGGCCGGGTGGGCTGCAGGAGGAAGAGGAGTCCACGCGCAGATAGAGCTGGGGCAGGGGCAGTAGCAGAGTCCTAGGGAGCCATGGGGGCTGCCAAAGCCAGTGGGCTGGACTGGACTGCTCAGGCCTGACCTCCTGTCTCCTGCCCCAGGTCCAAGAGCTCATAAGCCAGTGCTGGGCGCCCAGCCCGCAGGACCGGCCGACCTTTAGCACCCTGGGCCCCCAGCTGGAGGCGCTGTGGAGCGGAAGCCGGGGGTAGTGGGCAGATGTGACCTGGGGCTCTCTGGCCTGCTTTCTGGGTATGGTCTCTTCATTGTCTCTGGCCCCAGAAGTGTGACCTTGGGCCTCACAAAGACCCCCGTGGGACAGTGACCTCACCACAAACCTGGAAGACTCCTATTCATCCCTCAAAGCATGAGCTGTTGTGTCCTTGCAGTTTTCCCTTGTGTGCCCCATCCCTGCTGTGCCCCCACCCAACCCCGACCCTAGGGGTGGGGCAGTTTGTGTCCAGGTCTGTCCCCCCCAATGTGGGGACTCGTTGGGGGCTGGGCTGAGGCCTGAGTGTGAGTGGGCACAGAGTGGGCTCAGAGTGTGTTTGTTGAGTGAATAAAAGTGCAACGCCAGTGGTGCTTTGTGGCTGGACTTGGGCTGCAGTGGCTGGGAGGAATAGGTTGGATTGTGGTGGGAACATCCGGGGGCGCTGTGAGGTCCCCAGGGCAGCTGGGGGAGGAGGCGCAGCTGGCGAGGCCTTGGCCGGGCACTGGAGGCCGGAGCTCCTGTCCCCCAGTCCAGCTGCGGCCTTGGCTGCACCCCAGGCAGCACTGATCACAAGCCTTGGCCGGGTGGATGGAACAGGGTGCTCTGGGGGGGGTCACAGGGCAAGGCTGCGGGAGGAGGCTGGGGACAGACAGATGGAGATGAAGCCTTGCTCTGCTCTGAGCCCAGAAAGGACCCAACAGGCTCTCTGGTCTTAGCCTCAGTTTCTCTCTTTGGGAAAAAGGAGCCATGAGGATGGATGCACACAGAGGGGATGAATCCGCCTCATTCAGAACCTCCAGCCCCTGCCCAGCCTGGGAAGCCCTGAGTCGGGAGCTGGGGGGGGCACACTGTCAGCCCTGGGGTCGGGGCTCGGACCCCCTGGCTCAGCTCAGGGCCATGACTGTAGGAAGGTCTGGGCTCCCTCTCTGAGCCTCCGTCTGCTTGTTGGTACAGTAACAGGCACAACGCCATTAGGACCCTTCTCACCACATAGGAGCTGCAGGCCGGGCCTTGTGCATGGTGGAGCTGCACCCAGCCCCTCGTTATTTTGGGGGGCATGGTTTTGCTCAGCTGCTTTGCAAAGGCTGGGGTCCTACTTGAGATCCTCCTGCCTCAGCCTGTGGAGTAGACGGGACTACAGATTGTGTGCCATTGCATCTGGCTGCCACCCATTTATGTATTTATTTTGGCTTCTTGAGACAGGGTCTTGTGACGCAGTTTCAGCTGGCCTTGAGCTCACTATGTAGCCCAGGCTGGTCTCGAATTTGTGTCGATTCTCCTGCCTCAACCTCCTGAGTAGCTGTTCTCACCTCTCTAAAATGGTTGTGGGGAGTGGGGATGACATGGGGGAATAAATGTAACTCCTAACCTGCTAGATGTCAGATACGCTGAGCTCATAGTTCCCAAAATTGAAGAATGAATTCTAAGAAACAACGGAGGTTAAGAGTGGGAACATTTCATTGAGAGAGACAGAGAGCTCCTGAGAGACAGGAGGGGACCCGGAAGTGGGTTGTTGCGGACCCCACTTCACGCTGGAAGTTTTATAGAGCAAAGTCACGAGGAGAGTACAATGTGGGACGAAACTACGATCAACCAATAAGACTGTAAATATAGCTGCTTAGGTAATTTTTTTTGTTTGCAACATATCCCTTGGTTTTATTTTAACTTAACCCTGGGAATACTTTACAAAAATCCACATGCAGAAGTAAACAAGGCGATACAGCCTGACTAAATGAATATCGCTTAGGTAATACCGATCCAAGGGGGAAGCAGGGTCTTTTTAGGAAGAGACGGACAGTGCCCGCCTCACCACCTGATGACTCCGCCCATCTAGACTGCTGGACCAAGCGGTGGCGATTTTACCCTAGTCGTCAAAGGACTGCTCTCCCTCAGGGAGGCACGCAGGCCCGGTCACTGCTTCTATATCTCGAGGCCTGGCCTTCAACGAATGCACCTCCAGCCAGGTTGTGCTGCTTTCATCTTCGGCACTGACTCCTCGAGGGCCCAGCCCTGTCTGGCTGCCTAACGCGGCTGCCTAATATTTCCACCTAGCTCGGCTGTCTACAGCGGGAGACCCCTTGCGCAGTGCTCCGCAGGGCAGCTGCATGCCAAGCCACAGCCCAGAGAGGCTCCGGCCGAATCCCACCCTTGACCCGGAGGCCACCCCGCGGATCGCAGTGTTCCCGGCCAAGGCCCAGCCGGGCTGGGCTATAAAGGGAGCCCGAACTCGGGCGCGCAGGCCGCCGCTACCATGGAGCTGCGCGCGCTGGTGCTGCTGCTGTTGCTGCTGCTGCTTCCCACGCAGGCGCCGGCCCAGGGGTCCCCGCGCGCTCCCGAGGCGCGCGACCGGCTTTGCGGCCGCCACCTCCTGCGCGCGCTGGTGCGCGTGTGCGGGGGCCCGCGCTGGTCCCGCGAGACAAGCGATCCAGCCACTGGCAGCGACCGTGAGTGGGTGGGCGGCGGGCGCGGGGCTTGGGCGCAGGTGCAATCCTGCGAGTGTGCACGGCGGGATGGTGGGAGGGGCGGGTGGATGGGCGCCTGCACCCCAGGCCCTGGGACCCTTCTTTACTAAAATGTCAACATTTTGATCTCCCCGGTTTGTAAAATTTTGAGACAGGGTTTCACTAAGTCCTTAAATCGCCCAGACTGGGCTTGCATTTGTGAACTTCATGTCTCAGCCTCCCAGAGTGCTGGGATGACAGGCGTGCGACACCATGTCCAGCTTAAAGGGTTTCATTTAAAAATCAAAATTAAGTAGCTGGGCATGGTGGCACACCCCTGTCATCCCAGCACTTGGGAGGCTGAGGCAGGACGATCCCTGAGAGTTCCAGGCTAGCCTGAACTACACAGAGACCCTGTCTCGAAAAACGTGTTTCGGGGGTGTCGACTGGCTGTGTATGTGCACGGGGTGTGGCGGTGTCCTCTGGGATCGCTGTCCCTGCTGAACCCCGCTCTGTCCCCAGGTGAACATCTGCGACAACTTCCCTGGCCGGCGGCTGGTGGGGACACTGCACTGGTCGCTGACCGGCAGCCTCTGTCCCCGAAGGCCACCAACCTCGTGTACCACTGCTGCCTCACCGGCTGCACCCACGAAGACCTGCTGAGCCTCTGTCCCCACTGACCCTGCCCAGGCGGCCTCTGGGGACTTGAGGGACTCCACTCACCGGAGGGTGCGGCGCCCACTACTCCAGGACCCGCAGTTTTGCAGAGATGCCGGACCCCGAGCCCCACCCTGCCTTCCTGCCACTCAGTCCCCTTCCTGCCACTTCCCCGGTTGGAAATAAATATCCGTAAGCAGTGTCTGCTATTTTCTGTAGACAAAGGGACGAACCAAGGGTGGCCCCAGTGTGGGTTTGTCCTCCGGCCATGAGCAGCCCCTCCCAAGAGCCCGATAGCAACTTGAGGGCCATGAGGATACAGAGGCTGGCATGGGGTACACACCTGGCATCCCAGCACTCGGGAGGCTGAGGCAGGAGGATCGCTGTGAGTTCCCAGGAACATGGGCCACCACACACCAGGGCCTGAGTGAGAGTCACATTCACTGACCCTACCCCAGCCGCCGCTCTCCCTGTCTGCTCCTGTTGCCAGGCTGGGGACTGGATGATGTGACCCCTTGGAAGCATTTGACTGTGAGGCCCCTGCATCCACATCCGGGGCTGTGGTCACAACAGTCACCAGCTGGGTGACTTCCAGCAACAGGGATTTACTCTGTCACAGTGCTGGGGACAAGTCTGCAGTCAAGGTGGGGGCTGGGCTGGTTCCCTCCAGCACCATGAAGGTGAAATTGTCCCCAGCCCCTCTCCGGGCTTCCGGTGGCCATGAGAGTCTGCAGGGCTCCCGGCTGGCTGCTGCGCCCCTCCGGCCTCTGCCCCATCCTTGTGTGAGGTCAGTAGGTGCTGGGTGCAGGGCCCAGGCAGCCCGGGACACCCACCCCTCCACCGCACCTGCGATTTCCATCTGCAGAGACCCTCTTTCCCATGAGCTCCTGTCTGAGGTTCCAGGCTGCCATCCTTGGGGGACACCATTCACACCAGCTGAGCAGGAACAGGGGCGTGGGGACTCTGTCAGGGCACTGGGGAGCCACGGAGGGTGTGTGAGCTCCAGTAGGCTGAGCTCAGCCCTGCATACCCACAGCCTCGGTCTTGCCACCCTGACCCCTACCCCAGTCCCCACGGAAGCTGCAAGGCTTCTGAAAGCTTAAAAAAATCATGTTATTTACTTGACAAAGATTCCTTTGCCTATAAAACCAGCACCCCTTCCTTACCTAGTCCCTTCGAGGCCTGGGCCCTGTGACTTCCTGTCCTCTTTACTTCCTCCTATTACCTCACTCCGCCCATGGGCACCGCTACCCCCAAGTGCTGCCAGCTCACCTGGCCCCAGGGCCTTTGCATGTGTCATGCCCTGTGCCTGGATCAGCACCCAGCTGCACCCAACACCATGTCTGTTGCCTCCTGCAGCTCCAGCTACTCAGCCTCCCAGCTGACACCTGTCTCCACCTCTGTCCCATCCCCTGGGCTAATGCTACTCAGAGCTCTTACTGCTGGGGCAGTTTTGGACCAGATCCCTCTCCCCTGACCTCACTGGGGCCTGAACCCAGTGCCTCTGCACTGAGCTCCATCCCCAGGCCTTTTTATTTAGAGAGTCAGGATCTCTCTAAGTTGCCCAGGCTGGACTTGAACTTATGATCCTCCTGCTTCAGCCTCCCTGAGTGCTGGGATCATGGGCGCACAGCACGGTGCCCTGCTCCAGGTTTGTCCTCTGGCTATAAAAGGATGGGAGGGAGGGGAGGACTGGAAGGCTGTGCAGGCACAGCAGGTGAGCCACAAACGCTAGAGGAAGGGCGAGGGACACAGGCCTGCAGGCTGAGGCGGAGGAGAAAGGTGAGGGGTGGCTGCGCGGCTGTCGCGAGGGTGGGTCCCACATCCCACCCAGCTGAGCGCAGCCTCAGCGCTGAGCCTGAAGCCAGGCTTGGTCTCACGCACCACGAGGGCCGGTGGGGGCGGGAGCAGGGCTGCGCGCACTGCCTGCCGGGACCTGTGCAAGCCCCGCCCCCTAAACACTACTCTCTCTGCGGTCTGATCCCCAACCCCCCGGAAATGAGACTCGCAGAAGGATGAACGGAGACCGGCCTTAGTTCAAACTTGTAAGTGGATCTTTTTGTTGTTGCTTTTTTTTTGTTCAGGCTGGCCTCAAAATTGCTATGTAGTCCAGGCTGGTTTCAAACTCCCAATCCTCCTGCCTCAGCCTCCCAAGTGCTGGGACACAGGTAGGTACCTGGCTAAAGGGTTTTAAAAATAAAATGAAGAGCCAAGCATAGTGGCGTAGACTTGTAATCCTAACACACAGGAGGCTGAGGCAGGAGGATTGCTATGAGTTTGAGGCCAGCCTGGGCTACATAGTGAAAGCCTGTCCCAATAAAACAAAAGAAACAAACAAAAAACAAAACAAAGAAGTTAGAAATAAAAGAGATATGTATGCAAAAGCAAGTCACGTTATCACTATATGCAGATGACATGACTCTCTACATAAAAGAACCCCCAAAATCCACTAGTCTCCTAGAATAACAAAATTCACTAGTGTTGAAGGATACAAAATCAACACACAAAAATCAAGTGTTCCTTTACACCAATAATGAACTCCCTGAAGAAATTAGAAAAAAAATACCATTCACAATAGCACCAAGAAAAATTAAATCCCTAGGAATTAAGCTAACCAAGGAAGAGAAAGACCTCAACAATGAAAACTACAGTGCTCTGAAAAAGGAGATCAAAGAGGACACAGAAATGGAAAGGTGTCCCCTGCTCCCAGACAGGCAGAACCAGTGTGGTCAGATGGGCACACCTCCAAAACGGACACAGATTCAGTGCAGTTCCAATGAAAGCAGCAACAGCATTCCCCACAGAACTAGAGGAGGAAAATCCTAAAATGCACATGGAACCAACACACCTGGAGACCATAATGTTAAGTGAAATAAATCAGACACACAAGCTTAAACACTGCATGGTTTCTCGTCTATGAGAAACCCGAAATATAAATACATCAAAGAGCAAAATACAAGATACTAGAAAACAAGGAGACAGATCTTTCTCAAATGAGAAGGACACAGAGATGGAGAGAGGGGTACAGGACGGGAGAGGAGGGGATGAACAAAGGATTCAGATGTGCTTCATACTTGCCTCGACTCCACAAGGGAATGGAAACATTGTGTACTTTAAATATGTACTAATAAAAAATAAAAACTGAAAAAAATTGATACGGAACCAGAAGAGACCCAGAAGAGCAAAAGCAGTCCTGGGTAACAAAAGTAAGTGGGAGGCATCACAATCCCAGACTTCAAGTTACAGTACAAAGCCACAGTGGTAAAAACAGCATGGCACCGGCACAAACAGACCTGGAGACCAGTGGAATGGAACAGAGGACTAAGAAAGAAGTGCAAGCACCTTCAACTACTTAATCTTTCACAAAGGGGGCTAAAACAAGTGGTAGTTGGAAACCTGGCTATCTGCATGCAGGAGACTGAGTCTAGAGCCATACATCCCACCGTGTATTAACTAAAAGCAACATGGATTAAAGGTCTAAACGTTAAAACAGAAACACTTAACCTGCCAGAAGATAAAATAGGTAAAGCTATTGAAGTCGCAGGTATAGGCAGGGACTTTCTGAACAGAGCCTTGGTTGCACAAGAAGTTGTGCCAAGAATCAACAGATGTGATCATGTCAGAAAGCTTGTACGCAGCGAAAGAAACAACCAAGAGAGCAAACAGACAGCCAACAGAACAGGATAAATTTTTGCTGGATTTTTCAGACAGAGGAGTAATATCTAGAATATACAAAGGACTAAAAAAAATTTAGATGCTTCAAAATAAAAAGACCCAATTAAAAAAAATGGGCAACTGAAATGTATAGACATTTCTCCAAAGCATTACAAATGGCCAATAAATACATGAAAAAATGTTCAACCTCTCTAGGCATTAGAGAAATGTAAATGAAAACAGCAGATTCCATTTTACTCCAGAAAGAATGGCCACCATCAAGAAATCAAGTAGTAACAAATGCTGGTGAGGCTGTGGGGAAAAAGGAACTGTCTTACTTTTTCTCATTGCTGACCCCCCCCCCAAATACTCAACACCCAAAGTTAAAGGAGAAAAGGTTTATTTGGCTCACAGTTTGTAGAGGTTTCAGTTCATAGTCAGCTGGCTCTGAGACAGGGTGGATTGGCAAAGGGGCATCACAGAGGAGAAACAGTTCATGGCAGGTAGAAGGCAGAAAACCAGCAGGCAGCAAGTGACCACACTAGCCCTCTTTCTGTCCATCATATTTTATCCAGAGTACCTGCCTTAGGGTGGGTAGTGCTCACCCAGGGAGGGCCTTCCCATTATCCACACCAGAACGGTGCCAAACCAATCAGTGGACCAACTTAGTAACCACGCACCCAAGATCCAGGCACCTCCGAAAACACCCACCTATGACCACCTGAGGCTTGGGAGACATCTAGACACAGCCATGACAGGAACTCTTGTACCCTGTTGGTGGGAATGTAAACTAGTAAAATCACTGTGGAAATCAGTGTGGAGATTCCACAAAATACCGAAAATAGAAATTCCACTTGACCCAGCTCTTCTAGGTATCTTCCCAAAAGAGTTAAAGACATCATATTGTGGTGATCCATGCCCACCCATATTTTTAGCAGCACAATTCATAAGAGCTATATCTTGGAAATGGCTTATATGTCCATTTACAGATGAATGGAAAGAAAAAGATGAATGGAGAGAATGTATTTATACACAACAGAGTACTACTCTGTCATAAAGAAGGATAAACTTGAGTCATTTATAGGAAAATAGATGCACCTTGAGACCATAATGTTAAGTGAAATAACTCAGACACACAAGTTTAAATATCTTAAATGGATTCTGTTATATAAAAACACCAAAGTATAAATAAAGAGCAAAATAAAAGTTATACATACAGGAACATGGGAAAACATGGCCACAATAGACCCCCAAGACCCCTCCACTCTCCCAAGGCAGATACGAGGGCACTGACAGGAAAGCAAACACAGGCCATGGAGCTCTGTGAGCTGATAAAAGAAGAGATAAGGAGACTTGGTGAATTCAAGGAGGATGTGGCCCAAAACTTACAGATTTATAACACAAAATGACCCATGTGGGTATGAGGGAAACAAATACAAAATTGGAAGACCTGAACAAAACATTTTAAAACATGAATGACAAATTTCCCAAAGATGTAGAATCCACAAAATGGTGGCAGACAGAAATACCAGATATAAAAAGCTATAG